AACACGTCTATTCTATATGGTAGGGGAAGAAAACATCGGTCAGTTGTATTGTTGTAATCACTAACAATCACTAATCGATCTACAACATACATGAAGGATACATAGCTTTCTAGACAATTATATTGCATATTCCAAAAAGATTATACCTTAGCTTTCTAGGACCACTTTGTATTTTGTAGCAAATTAAAATGGTCCATCAAAATTACTGTCTCGCCTTAATTCTTAGCCTCAATTTAAAAGTAACTAGTAAGTATTATTAAACTTATACATCATTATCTTCTGTTTGATATGTATGGCTCTAGCTAGTTTTTTTAACCCCTTATTAGATGCTCACTATATTATTTCCCTCTTACAAAAGAAAATAGATCAAACACATATTCTTCTATCATTCACCTGAAGATTGACTACTTTAAGGAGAAAGTTGTCTTAAATACCCCTCAGAAATGGACCATGTTCATCTTGGAACGAATACATGCATTTAGAGAATATTGCTACGACTATAACTCTATAAGTTAGCAACTAAATAGTATTGTATCCATGTTGTCTATGGTATTATGTTATTCCGTTCTAATAAAATATGCATACCTGGAAATTCAAAGTTGTCACTTTTGTAGAGATAATAATATTGGATCACACTTAAATTAAGAAAATTAAGAATTGAGGTGGAGATTAAAAAGATTACTAAAGCCATTGCAAAATATGGAGTATCCAAGTTCTGATCTTTTTGGCTACTAGTATAGTAGTAGTACACTAGTGCATGTAACAGAGAACTTTGTCAAATATGTTTGTGAATGTACATTTTTACACCTTAGAAATGGTATACGAGTTAATACAAAGTAATCATGCATTATAAATTGTGCTAAGTCCATTTTTAGTTAGAAATAATAATGTACCGAAAAAAACTTTCACACAAATAAAAACAACACGTGTCAACATGGGTCAGAAGCCACGTGGGATTTTCCTCGGATACTTTTATTCCAATCAGGCTAAAATAATGTAAGTAACAAAGAAATGCAGGAAAACATTATACAAGTAGACAATGTAGATCTCTCATACATTATTAAATAGGTTGATTGTACAAAACAAGAACATTTTCGCAGAAACTCCCAAGATATACGTTGCAGAAACAAACAGACAAATTGCTTAATAAAATTTCTCATCATCCCCATACACTCGTGCTCACTTGGATAGCGTTAACCAACGTGTTTACTTGCTCAAATATGTGTTAGTGGTATGCCATTATCACACAAGATCTTCCCTAACTTTGAGATTAATGTTACGATTGCTTTTTTGGTGTCTTATAACAACGTATCCGTCCATCTTTTTACTTCATCGATGGTGATTAAACTTTAAACTTTAACCTTTCTTTTCCAAGTTATCTGTACACTGTATATTATAGAATGAAGACTATTCAATAGTTACAATTAAAATGTAGCCACTGTATAATTAAACTTTTAAGGATAAATCTTGTTCACTTATTTGTTTGACTATAAAAATGTTAAGTAAAATGAAATGGAAAAAATGCTCTTGTTTAAAATAATTGTTTGTTTAACCAAGTATGGAGTTTTGTGGTTAAACCCCGTTAATGTTATTCGTGATCTCGCATATTAGAACGACTATTCCCTCTATCTCTAAATATTTGCTTAATTTCAATCCATGCACTTATTACCGTGTCAAAAAATGCATGTATAATCATTAGTAATACATATATTTAATATTAACTTTATGTCTTAATGTAATACAGTATAAAGTTATAATACTAAAAGTACAAGTCAAAACAAAAATCACAAAGCTTATTAATCTGAAATAATATAAATCACCAAAGAAGAATATATAATCAATACCAATGAGAAATTAAAGAAATAATACAAGCAATACAAATTTTTATATATGGTCGGGGTTTTATTCAAGGGTTACTCGGTCAGTCAAGGGTTACTCAATCAGGGGTTATTCGGTTAAGGATTGTTGGGGATTTTGTGTTTAACAAGGGTCACAAAGATAACAAACAAAATAAACCGGTAAAATCTTCGAGGCGTGAACGAGATCACTTTTCCAAAAGTATAATTCCGACCCTATACTACAACCGGGTTTCACGGAAATTTACTTAGAAGATACAACGAAGAACATTTGCAATCACAAGTAGGATGATTACAAATCAATGTAAATAAGCTTTAGTAATTTGTGATGATGAACAATAGTTTGTAAAAGATTTCAAGAAAAATAAATACTCTGACTATTTTTCTCCTTAAAAATCCCCTTTCTTCATATGTCTTTGACATATATATATAGAAGCACTTTTAACTGCCAAAAGTCACGAAAACCAACTGACAAATAACAAAAGCATAATGGAAGAAAACCGTCAGCCACAAACTGAATTGACTCGCGCCGATCGGGCCTGTCACCGCCCGATCGGGCCAACTGAAACATCAGACAAAGTCCCCTCGCGCCCGATCGGGCAGTGGAGACCCGATCGGGCGGCTACCCAAATTCCAGAACACGAGTTTCGTCTTCTTCTCGTGCCCGGTAGGGCGAGCACCACCCTAACCGGCGGCTGACCAGGCAGTGAGAGGGGCTGCAATTTCAGCTTCTCTAATCCGAGAGCTGTAATTCCTTCACCATTATTCTTTTGTTCTTCCCTTTAAACCAAGTTCATGCTTCTAATATTTGTTTAAAATTAAATTACAACACCTTAACCTATGTAATTTAATTTGAACAACAAAAATTATGTCTACCATTCTCTAAATTATTCAACAAGGATTATATAGCCATGTGTTACTTGGTTAAGGGTTACTCGTTAAGTTTTTTGGTTTGTGTCAGCTAGCCACATGGTGTAACCAGCCACACAGAAAATGCGATAAATGATCGAGTAATCCCTGAATAAGTAACCTGACCAGACATAAGGGATGACCAGCCATATAAAAAACACATTGTACAAATAGTAGTAATATGTTTGTCTTATATTGGAAATTTTAGTCAAAATTAATTAATATAAAAAGTCAAATATAGAAACAACTCAATTTAGACGGAGATAGTAAATACGACTAAACAATAATAGAGGTTTATTGACGGTGGTTAATAAAGCCCAACCTACATGGCCATGGGCTGGTAAGTGGTGTCACGTAGGCTATGAGTTGAGAATGCGGGGTCGCAGTCCGCTGGAGCCTGTGCAAACTGCAAACACATGAATGATGGCTCACTAATTTTTGTTTCTTTTTGTATTTTTTCTCTATTCTGTAAGATTGTGCTTTAACAGTTTATACAAGTGGGATCCATGCCTAACTAGTTGTTTTTTTTTTTTTTTTTTTTTTTTTTTTTTTATCCCTCCAACTTTCAATCTTTCATATCAGGCTAAAATCTTTCATGAATTAACTCGACTTGATTAACGAATTTGACACTTTGAGAATGGAAGAAGGACTAGGGCATTCGAATTTTCCTACTCTAAATAAATCTAATGATAGGATTGAATCTCTACCTAAGTTAAGAAGTCATATTATACCAGAGCCCAACAATTTGTTGGATTTTTAATACTTTTGAATTCTCTTTAATTAAAAGTGAAAATAAAAATTATGTACCATGGAACATAAGACATTAAGACCATGCATGCTGCAAAATTTTAATTTGTAAATAAAATTTCCTTTTACTTTATCTGTTTCAATACATTTGTAATAAGGGCCTGTTCTCATTGACTGAACTCGGCTGAACTGGAACTGAACTGAACTGAAATGAATATTTTATAAGAGAAGGAAATTAGGAGCTGAGCTGAATTGAATTTCAACGTAAGAGAACAGACCCTAAGTGAATTTTTATGGTGGAAGTATGTAAAATTTGATTGTATTGTTTTAATGTATAATTTGAACATGTTAAAATTTTGGCATTCTTCTATATATTATTATGCTATTTAATATATTAAAGGTCAACAACATGCTTTGAAAAATGTGTAAAGCCAAATATTACAACTATTTTAAGCAAGCCAGTTTTTTTTTTTAATTTATTATTTATTATTTATTTTATATATATATATATATATATATATATATATATTTGTGTGTGTGTGTGTGTCAAATACTCCATACTTCATAGGTTTTTTGCATTTCAAAGTTTTCTTCCTCTCTTTACATTTACTCAAATACATACATTTGAGTGGGTTTATTCATGTTATTTGTGTGTGAGCTATCATACATGTATTAATACTACCCGTAATTCATTTAACACCTTATTTTAGAGCTTTAGAATGGTTAGCCTTGTCTTGTATTTTAATGTTTGTGTAAACAATTCACAAGTTGAGGATTTAATAAGCTTCAACTAACCCTAAGTGCTCATTTAATCTAAATTCTTAGCTAGAACTTAGGGTAATTCTATTTTATTCTTAGCTAGAGCTTAGAGGTGTAGACTAATATTATCATATTTAGTTTTTGTCTTTTATAGGCTTGAAATCTAAAATGTTTTTACAAACAAAGCATTCTATTTCAATGCACTATTTAACCTCTTTGTTTCTAAATATTTGAAGAAAAAAAAAATTGATTGACATTTTTGTTATTGCACAAGTATAACTATAAATTCATGCAATTTTGTATAGCAAGAACATATATATTTTTTTTTTGGTTACTTGTAATACTTTTACGATGTACTTTATTAGATTCATCTTAATCTATACTTTATCAAGTATTTTTAATATATATTTTTAATAAATACATAATTAAAAATGTTAAGGATTCAAGTTATGCATTAACAAACGTGGGAGACCACCCTCTAAGCCTAAGTATTTCTCAATGACCAAATATGTAGTAATTTAAAAAATGGAGAAAGTATAATTATATTTGAAAAATCTGCTTTGTAGTAATTTCAACAACATATTTTACATCATACACTGTAATCTAATACTGTATTTATATATTAATATGAAAATACTATAAAAATAGATACAAGTATAAATAATGCAAAAACCAATCTAATATTTAAACTATAAAAAAAGGGGTTTATCATAATCACAAAATTAAAAGAAAAATTTTAAGTCAATTTTATAATGATAGATTGATTGTACTCGTACAACAATGAACTATCTAAAAAGCCCACCAATTTCGTTCTTCAAAACATCAATGCACTTCAAGACTTTATTTATACGGCCAAATCCACATCCAGTCAAAATACTCCAAAAACAACAAAAACACATCGTTTTAACCCTCCCATTAGGCCATACGACACCGTTTTACCTTACACAGAATCCAATGCTTTTACTGTAGAAATATACGTTGACTCGTATAATTATACATATTCATACCACCCCTTACTTCATCCTCTCTCTCTCTTCCCATCAAAACATCCTTTATTTCCAGTTTCAGCTCACTTTCTCTCTCCTCTCCACTTTCTCTCTCCTCCAAAACACTAAAAAGCTCAAATCTTTCACTTCAATGGCGGATTTTACAACCACCCATTTGCTCCAACAATGAAGATCACCCCTAACACCGACCTCTCCGCTTTACTCTCCTCGAAAAACCCACCTCAACCGCAAAAAACCCCAGATCTTCCCAAAAAAACCACCCGTAAAACTCCCCGGAAAACTTCCCGGAATACCCCTCGTTTGTCCAAAAAGTCCGGCCCTCCTACCCCTCTTCTCCGGTGGAAGTTTCATGAGGAGAGAGAAAATGGCGGTGTGAAGGATAATAATAATAATAACAATAATAATGGTGATGATAATGATGGCGACGCCGGAAATGTTGGCGCCGACGAGAAATCGCCGGAATTCCGCCGGAAATCGAGGAGAGAGAAAGTGGGCCCCCCAGTTTCAGCAAGGAAGCTTGCTGCTACTCTTTGGAGGATGCAGTTGGTAGTTCCTGAAAATGGCGGCGAAGGCGGCGGAGGAGACGGCGGTGAACAGGTGAAGAAGCGGCGAGAGAAGAAAGAGAGTGAAGATCGATTAGGGTTTAAGGTGTGTTTTAACTCGTTGTTTGAGACTCAAGATCTGAACTTGAAGGTTTGCTCATTTTTTGTTCTTCTTTCTTAAAAAAAAATTCTAAAAAAAAAAAAAATCTATTTTTGGGGTTTTTTTTAAAATTGAAATTAATTATGTATCGATGATTTAGTTGCTTACCTTAGCTAAAATGAACTTTTAATTGGTGGATAATGTAACAATTTTTATTTTTATTTTGTTTTCTGGTATGAACTTTGCCAATCATTTTTGGGTAATTAATGTTGTACTTAGGTATTGGACCAGTGCATTAATTTGCTAGTTTCATTAAATTATATGGTTTTGAAGTTTATGGAATGTGTTTAAAAGATTGGAATTAAGTTGATTGAAGCTAGTTTAAGGGTTATTTGATTCAAATTTAGGATGTCCTGTTGAAAACTTTATGAATTATTATGATTTCATACTGGGTTGGCCTACCAGTGTTTTGTGTGATTGCAATGCTTTTTGGAGTTGAGTAGGTGCTTAATAATGCAGATTTTATCCCTTTGCGTATCGAGTTCGGTCTTAGTTGTTATGGTTGATGGAAACGTCGTGGTTCCTCTCACATGTAATGTTATCCCGAGTATTATGGATCGTTGTATGTCACGATTGAGATTTGAGACCTTGTGTATTGTGTTGATCACTTGATGTTGACGTTGTAATAGATGTTGATGGGAATAATGGATTCATTGGATGTTGTTGAACCATTGTCAAGGTTTACTTGGGTGTTGTTTCTGAAAATTGATAGTAAGCATTTAGCTGTAGCATGATTTCCTTCGTTCCGTTTTGCAGCCTGTGAATGGGCATGGAGGTGATCGGTTATCATATCATCATGCTAGCAGAGAATGTGGTTCTGAGGCGAAAGAACCGCTTAGGAGTCCGTGTTCTGTTAATGGTCCAACCAACGGATATCATTGTGAGGTATATTTGATCAATAAAATGAATCGATCTTGGTTTTTGTTAATCTATAGTGTTAAGTGTTAAGATCTTACTTTGCATATTCTTCCATTCTTGAAAGAATCTTGATGTTAGTGAAAGTTTTTTGGTATGGTGTATGCACAAAAAATTGATGGAAATATTATGCTGATATGCTTGGAAAATTGTTCTGATTGCTTTTTTTTTTTTTAATATATTTTTTATGCACTTTAGAGATATATGCTTCTTTGCATGATCTAATGTGGACTATATTTCTATGTTTCCTGTCTTAGCGGCAATCTCCATTTCGCTTTACTAATTACGCAATGGAGGGGGCAACAAAGTGGGACCCAGTTCACTCAAAGGAAACAGATGAACATCCTGATGATTTGAAGTCACTTGACCAAAAAGTAAATGCTGCCTCAATGATCTCTACTCTAGAGAAGGAACTTGAACAGGCTAGGGGTCGCATAGAAGAGCTGGAAGCAGAAAGACGATCTTCGAAGAAGAAACTTGAACACTTCTTGAAGAAGCTTAGTGAGGAAAGGGCAACTTGGCGGAGCAGAGAACATGAGAAAGTTCGTGCAATAATTGATGATGTTAAAGCTGACTTAAGCAGAGAAAGGAAGAATCGCCAAAGACTTGAGATTGTCAACTCTAAGCTGGTCAATGAGATGGCAGAGGTTAAATTATCAGCAAAGAGATATATGCAGGACTACGAGAAAGAGAGGAAAGCTCGAGAGTTAATCGAGGAGGTATGTGATGAGCTGGCAAAAGAAATTGGGGAGGACAAGGCTGAAGTTGACTCACTCAAGAAGGAGTGCATGAAGATCCGGGATGAAGTTGAAGAAGAGAGGAAAATGCTGCAGATGGCAGAGGTCTGGCGAGAAGAACGTGTACAGATGAAGCTTGTTGATGCAAAAGTAGCTCTTGATCAGAAATATTCACAGATGAACTATCTTGTATCAGAGCTCGATAAGTTTCTCAGGTCTAAGGGTGTGAACCTTGATATGAACGAGATGAGGGAAGCTGAGCTGTTTACACGAGCTGCTGCATCTATAGACATTCAAGACCTTAAAGAGTTTACATATGAGCCATCAAACCCAGATGATATATTCGCTGTTGTTGAAGAAATGGTGATGGCGGAAAGCAATGTGAGAGAGATTGAACCATGTGCTGAATACAGCCCAGCAAGCCATTCTTCCAAAGTACATGCTGTGAGCCCTGAAACCAACAACCATAGCAAAGAGAGTTTTCAGAGACTTTCGAATGGATATGGCAATCAGAGTGCTGACATGGATGATGATGGGAGTGGATGGGAAACAGTCAGCCATGCGGAAGATCAAGGCTCTAGTTATTCACCTGATGGAAGTATGATGTCGATTAATAGAATGTACCGGGATAGTAATGCCTCAGGTAGCTGCACTGAATGGGAAGAACAGGGCGGTGATGAGACACCCATTACTGAGATCAGCGAAGTATGCTCAGTTCCTTCAAAGCAGCTTAAAAAGGTGAAATCAATCACAAGGCTTTGGCGATCAGGACCCAATAGTGGTGATAATTACAAAATAATTTCTGTGGATGGTGTGAATGGAAGGCTTTCAAATGGACGGGTTTCAAACGGAGCTACCATGTCGCCTGATCATGGATCCAATAAGAGTGGGATTAGCCCATCAGCTATGGTTGATTGGAACTCACCTGATATTAATCGGGGGATGAAAGGTTGCATTGAATGGCCTCGTGGAGCGCATAAAAGCAGTTTGAAGCACAAGCTCCTCGAGGCAAGGATGGAGTCTCAGAAGGTCCAATTACGCCATGTTTTAAAGCAGAAAATCTGATCTCATTGGAAGCAAAAAGGACTACCTTTACCGTTCTTCTCCCCCCAGCCCGTGTAAACTACCAAAGTACCAATCTCTAGAGGTGCCATTAGACGAGGTTGACTTCAGAAAAACCATAGGTAATAATACTTGATGAGCAGTCTCATGGATTTGGGGAGGTGTTTCTCCGCCAAGCTCTGGAGTGTAAATGCTCCAGCTAGGAATTTTGTTTACTCGCTCTTGCGACACACACTTAAAGATGGGAAGATGGGAATAATGACGACTTTTGTTCGGGTAAGACCTACTGTGTTACTAAATATTCTTTGTGATTAGTGACACTGATGTCCCTTAATTTAAGGAGCAACATTGTCATCATCAGAGTGTGCTAGCAGAGCAGATTTCTCTTTGTATTTGTACCAGTAGGATATCTATATTTGTAATTCTTGAAAAAACAATTTGAGGAAAGTATATTCTCAGTAAAAAAAATCGCCTTTTTCCTCAATGGAAGTGTTCGATCTTAAGCCATGTAAATCTGCTAGAGTGCTAATTACAGTATGATTTAGAGCACTTTAGTGTTTAATAGGAGTAATATGGTGCTTACCGATATAAATTCAGGTTATGCAAGATAAAACTTAGACCCAAAAATAATTCAATGGTTCTTTGCGAGTTAAAAACTACACCAGTTTTCTATTCCTATACTCTTCACAAATTTTGTTTACGAGAAATCAGATATGGCTTCTCTCACGCAAATTTGTATTGTAACCCACCACATATCTATCTTAAGTACCTTGTAAAATATGAAGCTAATATATTTTCTAAAATACAACTAATGAGTTAATGCTTTTCAATCAAAATATAATATAAAAACATCAAAATCCTTGGTAGAAAATAAATAAATTATAAACATATTATAAAAAAATCAATTAAAGTGCATAAAATTAACAAGCATAACGCAGCTAGCTAAACCCATCAACACATCAACGGTTCTCTCGTACCATACAAATCCGTCATAAAATCTCCACTCCCTAGAATGTAATACATCTTAGCGTCTAGAGAGTAGAACACAATGTCATTCCCTTCTATCTTCGAAAGGTAGATCCTGTTTCTCATCGTAGGATCACTTGATACTATTGAACAACACGATGTCTTGCTAATAAAGAAAATATGATTTCATATATCATCAATTACAACTCAACTCTTGTTAGTGCCGTTGTATCTAAAGACTTGAACCCAACAATTTTCAATCCGATAGACGAATATTATGTAGAGTTCTCCTTCACAATCGACAAGATGACACGACTTGAAATCATCATCCACATTGTCCGACATAAAATGAACTTGCCAACTTGGTTCGCCGTTTACAATTTCAAACATACCGAGATTTCTCGAGCAATCTGGGAAGTATAATGCTCCCCCAGGATAGGTAGGGGCACATTCAATAGGCTGAAAGTTTATATCTGGATCGTCGTCTATGTCAATATCAAATTTTTCTCATGTCTCATCCCCTGATTGAAGATAGCATAATCTCAAAAACTCTGGGTAATTCAACAATGCAACTGGGAAACAATTGGAGTTTGTTGGCTTGTACTTTTTTTTTTTTTTTTTTTTTTTGAGATATCATCAATTTAAATCATTTAAATCATGTATTTTATTTTATAATGCACGTAACTATAATTTATATTACGTAATTTGTTAATTCTTATATTATTTTATGTAAATTATTTTTCGATTTGATTTTATATATCTCTGTCAATAAATTAAAATAACCTAATTACCCTCCACTTTGCTCAAGTGTAAAGTATATATGTTGAAAAAATAAATTATATTTATATATTTTTTTCAATTGGATTGGTTAGTTATGGGAAACAAAGATCTTAAATTTATATTTTTTCAATTGCACACAATTTCAAGTCTTTACTCCGATCAATGATTGAAAAAGAAATGAAAGAGATCAAATTAGGGTACATATTCTTAGACATGCTCACGCATGGCCGCATGCAGGGGCGGATCTAGGGGGGTTCAAGGGGGTTCATTGAACCCACAGATTTTTTGGAAAAAAATAATAAAAGAAAAAGGTTTAAAAGAAATTTTTGTGAGAATAATTATCACACGGGTAAGTTTGGTGCATTGGTAATTCTCTGAATAATAGAGCAGCGCGCCCCTTTAATACATTAGGTCTTAGGTTCGACTCCTACTGCCCTCTTTTTTTTGTACTTTTTTTTTAACTCCTTACATTCACTTTTCAATATTTCATATTTCAAAAATCAAACATCAGACATTTTCCCCCAAATTCCCAAACACCAAAACCCTAACCTTGCTTGACACCCTATGACCCTAGCCAGTATCCACTAGCCGCCGCGGCACCGCACACCGAAACACCGACCGTCGACCACCTCACGTCCACACGGAGTGACGGAGACACGGATTAGTGGACGAGGGACGACTCACGACTGTTCTGTCTTCTACTCTTCTGAGTTCAGATTTCAAGTTCTTCTAGTTCTACAATTGTGAGTCCTCTTAATCTCTTATTCCTCTACTAGTCTACTCCTATTAATTCTTAATCTTGGTTTGCTTGTTTTATTTTTTAAATTGGTTTATGGTTTTGATACATTGTTGAATTCTTGAATTGTTGAGAAATTGAATTGTAGAAAGTTAGAAGTTAGAAACTTAGAATTATAAATTTTTACTTGTTCTATTAATTGAAATTTGATAATTAGAAGAAGTTTATATTGTCAAATTTGTGTTTATTGGGGACTTGTGATTTTAATTGATAATTAATTGTGTATTTTGTGTATTATTGTAGATTGTAGAGCTTTTGTTACTATGATTATAATTGATGATTAACTAGAAGAAGTTTTTTTTATTTTTTTATTGTGTAATCCATCCATTTGTAATAAAAAATTGAATTTATGTATTGAATTTTTAATCAATATATGATCATCGTTTTTTTTTTTAAGATTTCGAACCCACAGTTCGGAATTCCTGGGTACGCCACTGGCCGCATGGGAACACCAAGTTAAGATCACCTCATATACTCTGCTTGCTAACAAAAGAAAACATAATTTTTTTAAAAGGTTCAAACTAAAACTCCAAAGCCTGGGTTGAATGTAGAGAAGGGCAAAAAAAGGTCTACCTACCTATGTTATTGTAAACAATGAGGTTAACAATTTCATAAAATTAATCCTTTTCTTTGGCCTAACATAGAATAAAGGAATTTTAAATCAATCACAAATAGGTTGGAAAAAACAAGATAACCAGTTTATGGAAAAGCCCTAGAATAGATATAGAGCACATAAAGTAGTCCACTATTAGATTATGGTGGATCATATTCCATCTATTGAAGAAGTTTAATATACGAAGTAATGAAGTATTGAAATATACAGACCTTCTATGCAACGAGACCTACAATTTGTCAATTGAGTAAGTTACTGAGTGACTTTCCATCAATTCTACTCTAATGCAAAAGAAATAAACAGTCAAATTTTTAATTAGAAAGGCGAATTACATGAAATGCCCGGGTAAGCTCACTCGTTTAAGTCTATAAAGGCACAGTTCCAGATTCAATCTCGGGTGGAATTATAGTTAATGCTGGAGTACTCTCCCCACTCACCAGAGAAACCTTTCATAAGATTTTAGATACTCATCCCAGATTCATAAGTTAGTGTGAAGAAAAAGCCAATCCTCGTGAAAAATATTCCCTTCATAATCATTAATTTTTTTACGTATCAACAGTTCAATCATGATCATTACAAGACTCCCCTTGGAACACAAATTGTAAAGGAAAATTTGATTTAAATAATCCAATCTTTGACGTATTTATTTATAATAATCCAACCTTTTGATTATTCTATAATAATCCAAGCTTTGGGGGGTGTTCTATTTTATTAGGCCAAACAGGTCACCTAGCCTAAAACAGCAGGTCACCTGCCACATGTTGTGTTTTTATTTGTCCAAAAAAAATAAATTTAAAAAAAAAACTTAAATTAAAATAAAATAATTCCTTTTTTCCCATTCTTCTTCTTCCCTTCACCCCTCCATGAATTCAGACCTTGCTCCCATTTCCGGTGAGCTCCCCTCCCCACCCCTACTGCCCTTTCCGGCTGCCCCTTCCCTGCCAACCTCCCTTTACCACTTCCCCTTCCTCATTCCTTTCCCAAACACCTCCAAACCACTTTCCTTTCCCCTCCCCTTCTCGAATTCCGGCCACCCTTTCAAAAGGCTTATCTCAGCCACCCCATCCACGCGTATCTCACCCTCGAAACGCTGCGCACCCTCCCTTGACACCAAGAAACCTCGCCCTTTCCCTTTTCCCCCCCTTCTCGATTGTCAATTTTTAGGTTTTGTGTGATTTTTGCTCTTCTGGGTTGAGACAAGAAGTTGCAGAAATCTGAAGCCAAGATTGATTTTTATTTTTTATTTATGTTTATTATTTGTAATTGGGGTTGTTTATTTCAATTTGAAAGCCCAATTTGCTAGCTTGATTTGAAATACCAAGGAGTGACCTTGGTTCGTTGGTTTTTTGAAAAATTGAATCTTGAGAAAAATGACTTGAAGGTTGGTTATTATGGGAGAGAAGAAATTTGGGTTATATTGGGAATTTTTATAGAAGTAATCAATTAATGGCTATACTTTAAAGAAAGAAATCCATGAACACTTGCATTGGGGTGAGGGGAAGAGATGTGCGGATCGGGTGCGGGTGGTCGGAGAAGATGAAGGGGAAGGTCGGTGGCTGTGATTTGGGTTTTTTTTTTTAAATTTTTTTTTGGTTAAAAAATTGGAAGAAAAAAAAAATTACCTAAAGAACAGGTAGAAGGTCATTTTGGCCTAATAAAATAAGACACCCCCTAAAGCTTGGATTATTGTGGAATAATCAAAAGGTTGGATTATTAAAAATAAATACGTCAAAGGTTGGATTATTTAAATCAAACTAGCCTTCTGGCCCGTGCAATGCACGGTTTATTTATAGGTATAATATATAAATAATTATTTTTTAATACATTTATATTGTCAAATGAATAGTTTATAAAGGAGAAGAAGAAGTAAAAATTGAATGCAATTGTAATTGAAATTAATCTGGAGGAAAGTGAACCAAATAACATTCAATAATTTATACATGTATTGAATTAAAGTTTTTTTTTTCATATGAAAAAAGGGATTAAAAAAAGAAAGATTAAATGAAGTGACATGTGGCATTGTAGAGAAAAAAAATGAAATGTACATGTGGCATTATAGGGATGATGGTTTTTGTTTTTAAATACTAAGTATAGATTTTCCAATTGTAAAAGCAAACATTCTTATTAATTACATACCTCATCTTTGTTGACATATACAGATATACTGGTTTCAAAATTTACTCAACTATAGCACATAAATTCACTAGTCTTATACTAGTAGTATATACGAGAGATATGTAATCTGAGTTCTGACATATCTAATCAGGACCTAAAGTTCTAAACTGCAACATAGATGAATGTTTAAGAAGCATGGAATATTATATATTAGATAAAAATAGCAAAAGTCTAAGCTTAGCAAATGACCAAAACCAGACTCACATCTGACACAGTTATTATAGAATGTAGTAGTAGTATTACTTTTCTTTTCTTTTTGTTAGACTGTTAGAGCAACAGAATTAGATTGGAGCCAGAATTTGCAACAGTTAAAATTGGCAAGTAACCAATGCCCAGATGGTTGACCAATAAGAGAGCAATGGAAGCATTTATTTCAAAAGGAACTTGTGCATCTAGCAGTGTTCAAGCAAATAACGCACAGTTGTAAAAGTCAGCTGATCTTTCGAAAGGTGTCAGCTAAAAATAATTGCAGAAGTGGAAAACATGAGCCATGGTGCAACATTTGTTCTGGTGCAAAAAATGGAGCCAAATGGTGTCTGGACATTACAATGATTGGTGTTACTTGATAAAACAAGGTTTAAAGAATTCAGGACAATGAAGAGAGAAAGAGCGCTTAATGGAGCCCAAATTGCAGTCAGGAAGTCAGATAGCTCCACCATTGTAGACCCTATACGTAGAAATATACATCAATATTAAAATCTAAAGAACTACAACTACATTCGCAACTAGAGCTCCTTCATACTCATTGGTTCATTGCTAGTAATAGCCTAATAAAATTTAATTCTTCTTCCAACAGCAGGGAGTCCTCAAGCCACAGTCCTATTTCCTAGCTCCAAAAGGTCTTTCCTTAAGTTACATGATCTAGTGCCTACTTAACAATCAGCGGATGGGCTGTACTTTCAATTCTTTTCAACATTGGTGAAAAGGTTGGATTAAAAAACTGGAATATTTTTTTTTTGGTGATCACAAGGGGCAAGCCCCAAAAAGGAGGAGAAAGCTACAAACTAGAAAAGAAAAAACAAGCAAAACAGAAAAATAAAAGCAGCTACACTACAAGCTAAAGCAAGCCAGCTTAAGCTTTATTCTTAGGCACTTGTCTAGGCAATGCCATTCCCCCTAAGTCCTCCACATACAGAGAGGAATTATGATAGAGAGGAATTTGTATTTATATGGACACGTGAGACCGCTTGCAATTGAAGTATAGGGAGTTAAAAATAATTCAGCTTTGCCATGGCTACATGCTTAAGATGAATTAGTTCAATACGGTCCATATACAGAAGGTCTGTTACACATCACGCTTTGACAGGATACTTGGAACTTAAGTGACCTAACAAAGTGAACTTCATTATTTTGCTAATACGCATTGGGTAAACTAAATTACATTACTTGTTCTTGGTCAGGTCAAGTCACCTTGGCTAATACATCAGAAGAAGGCTATAAAGAGTTCACTTTCTAATCTCTGTAAGAGTATTAGGTAAAGACTTTGCAATCACATGCAACCACATACAGCAACTTCAGCAGATAAATGATGAGAACCACCAGGCTTACTTCAACGAATCACAATTATGAATAAAAAGTTCCACCAGAACTAAACAATAACACTCTTTCAAATATTAAAGACGAGAGTAATAACAAACCTCCCCATTTCTCCAAATCAAGAATCCATGCGCAATATTCTTCATTAGTTTTCCCAAGAAAAGCTTCAGAGTATTTCATTGGATCGCTAGACACAGTAGCAGCTATAACCTTCCAAAAATAACAACAGATAATTATTTTTTCTATTTAGTGAAGAGAATAAGAAAGAAAGAAAAAAACAGACTATATATACAAGAAGCCAAGAATACAACATAAACAAAATCCTATAAACAGCTAGCTAATAATTGCAATAGAAAGGCTAGATGATTAAACGAAGAAGAGCCATATAACATTATAAATTAATGGAGCCCGAATTCAGGACAAAGAAGAGAGAAAGAGCGCTAAATGGAGCCCGAATTGCAGTCACGAAGTCAGATAGCTCCACCATTTTAGACCCTATACGTAGAATTATATATTAATATTAAAATCAAAAGAACCACAGCTACATTCTCAACTAGAGCTCCTTCATAGTCATTCCTAGTAATAGCCTCATAAAATTTAGTTCTTCTTCCAGCAGCAGGGAGTCCACAAGCCAGTCCTATACTCCTATTTCCTAGCTCCAAAAGGTATTTCCTTAAGTTAGATGATCTAATGCCTACTTAACAATCAGCAGATGGGTTGTACTTTCAATTCTTTTCAAACATCGTGAAAAGGTTGGATTAAGAAACCGGAATATGATAGAGAAGAATTTGTATCTATATGGACATGTGAGACTACTTCAATTTTAGTACAGTGAGTTAAAAATGATTCAGTTTTGCCATGGCTATGTGCTTTAGATTAATTAGTTCAATAAGGCCCATATACAGCAGGTCTGTTACACATCATGCTTTGACAGGACACATTGAACTTAATTGACCTAATAAAGTGAACGTCATTATTATATTCCAGTATTGAGTAAACTAAATTACATTACTTGTTCTTGGTCAGGTCAAGCCACCATGCCTAATACATCAGAAGAAGGCTATTAAGAGTTCACTTACTAATTTCTATTAGAGTATTAAGTTAATACTTTGGAATCACATGCATGCGACCACATACAGCAACTTCAGCAGATAAAGGATGAGAACCACTTGGCTTACTTCAACGAGTCACAATTATAAATATAAAAGTTCCACCAGAACTAAAAAATATCACTCTTTCAAATTTTTAAGATGAATAAAAGGAGTTATAACAAACCTCCCCATTTCTCTGAATCAAGAATCCATGCGCAATATTCTTCATTAGTTTTCCCAAGAAAAGCTTCAGAGTATTTCACAGGATCGCTAGACACAGTAGCAGCTATAACCTTACAAAAATAACCACAGATAATTATTTTTCCTGTTTAGTTAAAGAGAATATGAAAGAAAGAAACAAACTATCTATACAAGAAGTCAAGAATTCAACAGATTTTTTTTTTATATAACATCCAAGTATCCAATAATAAATAGTTATCTCACATGTTCTGTTTGATGGGAAGTGATTTACTTTACAGAGATCAATTTCAAAACTAACAAATAGATTCTTTAGCAAGAACATATTGTCCCAAATGCAGCGATCACATTGTGCAAATAACAAAGGAGTACGTGAGGAAAAAAGCCAGATATTCCCAGAATTCGATTGTTATCATTTTAACAAAGGCAGCCAAATCTTTTATACTGTGCATAATATAATTTATTTGTTAGAAGTCCACAAACAATTTAGCCTCAACTCATATTTTCTTCCCTCATATGGATGTGACATACTACCACATAGGCACATACAACTTCAACAATCAATAGAAACAGAAAGGTTAGATGATGAAACGAAGAAGAATCATATAAAATGCAGATACACACCATTTATATATTTCATCATTCTAATCAATCTAACAACTTATAGAAATTAGCTAGACACTTAGCCCTTGAAAAATTCTACTGGTATTAAAACCGATCAAGAGTCTCACCTGTCTTAATTCAGGAGCCTTTTTACTATCATGATCCATGACATATCTGCAAAAATATGAGTAGTGTGAAATCTGTAAACACTCCGAGCAGTATGCCAAGACAATAAAGCTGTCCATGGATCGAAACTTACCCAACAGACATCTGTTATCAGACCAATGATACCTTCCATATTACAGAACCAATATTAAACAAAACACTATTTACACATCACACATCAGAGTTCATACGAATGTAAAGTAAAGGCATAGGATAAACAAGAACAAAGGATTACAAGGCAATATCGAAATCAGACGAATATACTTCAAGAGAATTGAACATGGCAGCATACTGTAATTCAATGCCAGGCATGTAAACTAAAGAAACCAATACTGTAGCAAGTTTGAAATTTGCACCGATTTGTTGGGAAACGTTTCGTATAGAAGAAAGTTATCTGGGTTTCTAAATTTAATTTAAGAAATCGCCATTTTTAAGTTGTAGGCTGTCTGATTGGATCCCACTATTCTACCATTTGAGGAAAGGTTGACGAAGGAAGAAAAGAATATTTTCTTTTACTTAAATTTTCATATCCAAATGCACAGAAATTATTTTGCAAAAAAGTTGGTGTGCCTAATCCAAGATAAATAAAAAAGAAATGGGTTCATGTGTATAATAAATTACCGAATTACGGAGTAAGAAATAAATTATTAATGTTAAATAAAATTACTTTCATGTTTTAACCTTAATTTTTTTATAAAAAAATGGTCACCAAATATATTATATCAAAAGTTTTTATAATGGATATAGGATTGCCTCCCATGTAAATGTGTAAAAAAAAAAAAAAAAAAAAGAAAAGAAAAAATAAGAAAGGAAATCAATAGTTTTTAAAAAGAATTTCGAGAAAAATGAATTTTAAAAAAAATAATCATTTTAACAAGTTTGACATAAATAAATAAATAATAAATCAACCAATGAAAATTAAGTATAGCAATAGTCATTTTAAGGATGACTACGGTTTATTGTAAAAACATCCGCAAACAAGTGATAGAATATTTATATCATACTGGTTTTAACTCATTGCAAGCTGAATGAAAGATTACAAAGGCCATAAGATTATTAAGATATATCTTGTTCTCCTCCTCTATCCCCTCGAATGGTGGATTATTGTGTTGCTTGAGCTGAAGCTGTTTGTTATATTCTGATCATGGTTGATGTTGCTTGCACTTATACGGAGTATTAGTTAGGGCCTATGACTCATTCGATGACAGATTCATAGCTTTGTAGTGGACTAATTTGAGAATAGGAATCGGTTTTCCAGACATTATCAAAATCAATCTACAATAGATACTTTGTTGTGTCGTTCCAATGCTACTACTAGATTGTTCAAAATCAGCAAATGCATAAACAGACCGCTAATTCTGGTTGCAGATACCAACCATCATATGCTGATTAGGTACCAATCCATGCTACTTTCATTGCTCAATGAACATGTTACCTCAAGCACCGGTGCGATACATACACACCAGGTTAGTGAACATGAACCCAGGACTCCAGGAGCACATAATAATCTGCCACTTACCAAGAATATACATAAAAGCCAAGGTGTAGTCTTCTAAAGGAGGCTGAATCGGTTTAACTTGTTTCAAAATCTGGTGGGGAAACCCGAAACCCCAAGGCCTAAGGAACAGATAGGTTCCAACAAATTATTGATCACAGATTTAGCCAACTTATCAACAGATTCTTTATTGAACTCCCTAAAATAAGAAATGGGATGGAAACATGAATCCAATAGCACCCTCACTGTAATATTCAATATGCTCAAGGGTCAAATTTCGACATAAAGTCTTAACAATGTCTACAGAATCATACAATGAGTAGAGAGCATAAATCATGTACATCCAGCAGCAAGTCAAAGAAAACTAAAGCAAACATACTCCGTAGTAGGAATAGGATGCTCAAAGACGAAATTGCTGCACAGCCATGATAGCTTTATTGATCTTCATAAAGAAATCAAAGTCAGACATAACCTATAGTGCAGCAATGCACTCAATCTCAATCCTGGCATCCAAAGGCAATGCTGCAACCTGGTAAGTAGATCGAGCTGGAGGTACAGATGAAAAATCTGCAAGAACAAAATAAAATTACAATCCATAAAAATTTAAAACTCCTTTTTGAATTGTATACCACGAGTAATAAAATTCTGCAATGAACAATAGGTTAAGGGATACAAATTCACTCACACTTAGCATATATCTCATTCACTTTCTTGAAGTCTTTCAAGTCTGCCAACCTAAGATTTAGATGAAACAAATCAGTAAAGCTCAGATTACATGGCTTCTTAGAATTTCAAGAAGGAAATTTGAGAAGCAAATGCACTTACATGATGGTTGTTTTGACTACAGAAGAGTAGCTTGCCCCACTAGCTTTCAAAATTTCACCCATGTTTTTGAGAACCTGAAATGTAAGATGACTTGAATTATTAACACCTCTATCACTTTAGGGCCCAAAATATGAGATTTTTTTTAAAAGAACTAAGTGAAATAAAAGTTGAAAGTCTAGATATGCCAAACTCACGAACCATATACTGCCCCTACCTCGATACTGTGCTGGAAGCAAGAACACTAGAGGTCTACAATAATTGTAGAATGCCTAAAAGTTCATTCAAAATGATAATCTAAATGCATGTTTGGCAATAATTGGCAATTTGCAAATAGCTCACTTGCATACATCAAACTACAGTTAGTAAAAGGAACATGTTTATCTTCATGGCAAATGAAAGCCGACCAACTTATTCACATCAAAAGCAGTATTTTTGAACCAGCAGTTTGCTACAGTTTTAGGCATTTCATTGAGCACAGAAAAACAAAATTTGGGTTTACAATGCAGACAAGTGACAAGCATTTGATAAATTGATACTACTCAGCCACTGAAGCCAATTTAATATGGGCACTTTGACAGTTTGACTCATTGAGCATCATATTTGTCTTAGCTAATATTGATTAATAGGAATAAGCAAATGACCCGTTCTAGAGCATTGAGATATGCCTTTACTTTGGCATATATTATCAGCACAAGATAGTTTAAAGAACTTTTCTTTGGCAAACAGTACCCCACCTCCCAGTCTCCCATCCTAACCAAAAGAATGCTGCACAAGTAGAGTAGTTAGCAGCGAAAAAGGAGATGCATTAACAAGCTCGTCAAGGCAAAACTTCTTTTATTAAATGTATATAAATATATAATTACACTCATAAATCCGTCATTCCGTCCATCTACTATCCAGTGATTGAGTCATCACTGGTCCTTCACAATTACAAGACTTTTAGATACCCAGCATACTTGTACAAAAGAATGATTTCCTGATAGTAGAGCTATAACAAATCTTTAAGTTACCGTGTCAGTTTGCAAAAAATTTCATTACCTGCTCAGTTTGTTCCTCCACATTTTCTGATACAAACTTTCCCGTCTGCATTCAAACATGTATTGTTTACATTAGTAAGCAAGAACAATTTCAAGAACACAAACTGACAAAATTAGCTTGAAATAATCAGATTTGAAACTCAAACCTCAGGCACAAGACCCAGAACACCAGATACAAAGAGCATGTTGTTTGCTTTAATGGCTTGAGAATATGGTCCCAATGCCGCAGGAGCCTTGTCTGTTTGAACAACTTCCTTTAAACCTACATACGCGGAAATGATAACACACTCATAAATTATCACTAGTTAAGAAAATGTGATCACAAATTCACAATTCATATAAACGCGTATTTAGAAAGTCTAAAGCCAACTCCTCCTTGAGCCTACTCGATAAGAGGAAGCCATCATCCACTCAATTTCTATTTCTTGTTTATTAGATAATAAAGGTCAGTTCCATTTCCCCTTATTCTCTAACCACCCAATGTAATATGAGCCTCAACTAGTCAAAAACTTGGATTAATTGCAAAGGCGTTCAATATCCATCATATTGAAAGAAATTCAATTTTCAATATTGAGTCTTTTCTATCTAATAGCATGATAGAAATTAATGGCCTAAGTGGACAAATGTTTCAAGGTTCAAATTTTTTGATACATTATGCATAGTTGAAGTTGCAAACTGCCTCAAAAATGAATTAATCAAGTAATTCGACATTTACGGCCCGAGCTCTCCACATGCTCATTGCTCAAAACTACAACCAATTTCAAACAGAAAATACTTTCCCAACATTAAAACAATGTCTTCCTCTTGAATTAAGTATTACTCACCCTTTTCCAAATACAAATTAACAAAACAATATCACCAATTCAACCCCAAAAACATCAAATTTCAATACCACATTTTAATCCAAATTCAATTCAACATTCGAACAAGCATAAAAATAACACCAAACCCAGAAACCAATAAAAATACAAGTAACTAATATAAAGGAGGAGGAGAGGGAATACTGGCATCAGTAGAAACAGCACGACAAGCAAAGGGTTTAGAGCGAGAGGTAGAAGAAGAGCGCCATAAATTGGAGCCGACGAAAGAAACGCAGCCTAATCCGGCGGCTAATTGGCCTTTAACGCGAAGTGCTCCGGCGTCAATCGCCGGCAATTGGAAGGTTCTAGCTGCGCACCACGCCATTGTTATACAAGTCTCTTTCTCTCTCCTCTAAATTTCTGGGTGAAGTTGTTAAAGTGACTGTACACTGTACAATCTTTCTTTTCTTTCATTGTTTTATTTGGTTGCTTATTTTTGGGCTGGTTGGTTTTATGATGTTGGTCCATTGATTATGTTATGTATATGGACCTACTAGGCTACTACACCTTCAACTTTTTATGCATACTTTGATATGGTGTAGGAAATTGGTCTTAGCCCAAGTACATATTCATGAGATGTGTACATTTTTTTAATGGAATTTTGTACAAATTGAATTACGGAGTGCATATATGATTTATACGTACGGAAAAATATTGTCATATATTGTAGGATGTTGTTAAATTTGTGTTTTATTTTCGAAATATTAAACATTATGAGTATAATCTTTACAGAAAGAACTAGATAATTCTTTCGTCTCTAAATAAAAGTCTCATTTGTCTTTTACTGATGTGTGTTTAAAAGATGATTAAAATAATAATAGTAATACTTTGTTAGTGAATAATTTAATTTGGGCGGGACCTAACTTGTACCTAATTAGTCAAAATGGTAGAAAATGTTGTATCATAAGATCTAGTAAATGTTGGAATAAAGGAAGAAAATGGAATGTTAACCTTAACACATCTACCCGACCGAGTGCAATAGTAAGTGAATTATGAGCTAGAAGTTATCCCGATCAGGCGAGCTCCGCCCAACCGAACGCGATTGTACCATTTCCAACAATTTTTCGTCACTCGATCGGGCGCGTATATGTGCCTGGTGACTGTTGGAGCTCTATGTCTTTCTCTTCCTCTTCTGTTTCGTAACCTCCTCTTAACTCCCAATTAATGGGATGTTTTAAGAGGTTGTAACTCACCTTAATTTCTAGTTAAGGCTTTGTTTCTTTGGATTCTTCGACTCTTGGCTTTCCCATCTTCCATTATATATTTCTTGGTTGATAAAATCAGCATACGAGTATATGATTCCAACTTCTCACCCAAAAATGCATTTGTGTGAGAATAGTGTGTGAACCTTAAAAAACGTGCCGGCGAATATATCTGAGCATGCATCACGATTATGCTAGTCAATAATTTGTATCACGTCATATCGTCTTCCTTTGATAATTCTTTGTTCAATTCTTCTTTGTAGTCTTGAAACACTTCCTATTTTACAACAATAAACATTATTATTGCAAAAAATATATACTTAGTACGTATGTGGTCTTTTACATTGTTACTACCGTACTACCCCTCCAAACTTATTGTTGTTATAGCTATTAAATGTATGAAATCAATTAAATTATAGTCACTGTCACAGTAGCTGGTAACATTATACTTGCTAAAAAGTCAAAATATATAACAAAAATGTGGAAACCATTATTATTTGTACGCCATAAATGAATGGTCCTTAGATATAGCATTAGACCCCACGACCAACAAATAAAACGAATAAGTGAAAGCGATTATATATAAAGCAATGCTTTGATCTACTAACTTATTATTATTATTTGAATGTTACGTCGATTACGCATTAAACATCTACAATATTACAATAAGTATCAATTTCATCATGTCAATTTTACTTTATTTGGATCCATTTCTTGGCCGGTGAGCAACTATAGACTTGTACAATGTACTATCCATCTCTTTGTTTGGCCGTTTTTAGTATAGTTTTTTCGATCAGTTTTTAAATTTTTTTAACTTACGTGACTTAAATTTAGCCATTTTAGTATACTTGTATTTAGTAGAGCATATGAACCGATCCTGGGTTTCCATCATAAATTTAAGTTTTTCGACGAGCTGGTCTGGTCCTCTACAATGCTTGGTCCCTGCAGGCGCCGGTACAAAGTACCGTACCTACCATTCAAAACGACATCAGTTTGTAAATAAAACGCGAAGGTATTTTGCTACTTTGATTAATAAAAAGGCGGAAAGAACATATACTATGAAACAAAAGAACATGAGTGTTTAAAGAACATAGCTCTAGTTTATAAAGAACGCGAAAAATAAAGAGGTAAAAAGTAAAAAGTAAATTATTTTTTTATAGTATAATACTTTCTCTAGAATATTGACAAAACAGTAGTTTCTCTCTCTAGAAATATTTTTCTCTCTCTAAATTTTCTCTCTTAAAAAGCTGAAAAAAAAACCCAAAAAAACTCAAAAAAAAACTTCAACTTCAAAACCCTAAGCATTTTTTGAAGAAATTTGTACTTCTAAATCCAAAATTCTTGAATATGGTGGACAAAAATTGCATGTAAGTATAATTTTCGCAATGCCTAAGTGTTTAATTAGGAATTTGATTGGGTTCTTTTTTTTGCAATTCATACGGAAATTGTTTGTTACACTTTGTTACTTTTTTTGTTGTTTGATTTTCGATTTTTTTTTGGCAATTCGTTTGATTTTTTTGTGATTTTGGGTTCATTTGTTTGTGCTACAGTGATAAACAAGTTGAAGATGGAGATATTGAAGGCAATCAACCCATTAAAATATATAAGAAGAATGAAAAAAAGAAAAAAAGTGATAAAGTTGCAAAGATTGTTGAAAAAGCTATTGTGGACCCATTAATTTCACTAGAAATTGAAAAAGAAAGCATTCTTGAAGAGGAAAACACAAAGTAAGTACGGAGTACATTATATTATATGTATATAATTTAAACCATTTTTGTTCTTTTCTTATCTTGGATCTGTTGTGAATGTCAATATTTATTTGAATAATGGTTGAAGTTAGGTGTATAATAATGGTTGAAGTATAAAGTATTGATGTTCTTTGTATATAAAACTCATGTTCATTATATATATTCGCATGATGTTCCTTTTAAATGGGTAGAATGTACTTTATTCTTATTGCTTGATTTTATGAATATAATACTTGTGTATTTGTTAAATTTATATAATGTTCTTTGCATATAATACTCATGTTCTTTGCATGTAATACTCATGTTCTTTAATGAAACATTCCTCATTTGTTATGTGAGAAAGAAAGATAGTTAGGAGGTTGCTTAGATTAAAAAGTCAACTGTCATATATTAATTATTGTCTTGCTATTTTTTGTTCTGTGTTGCTATTTTATGGCATGGTTAGCACCTTTAGTGGTGAGCTAGTGGGGAGTGGGGACCTTTTTTGTTCATTCTATGTACATTGAAATATGATGTGGACAGAAAAATGCTATTAATAAAGTCTAAACTTTGATGGGGACCTTATAGAATTTGTTTGAATGCTAAAGCAACTAAGCAAGTATTTTGTGGAAAAGAGTATTGTACCTGCTTCTAGAGTAATAGAGTATATGGGGGTTTACTAGTATTTTAAGCTAGTCAATATACTATGAGTAATTAAGTTTTTAATAGACTCCAATCTGTATTAGGGACAATTGCTAATATAAAATGTTAATGGGAATTCAATAGAGTTAAAAGGGAAAGAGGAATAGAAGGAGGATACTAGGAGTCTAGAGTTCGTTAAAATAAAGTAAAGGTAACAAACTGTTGCTACCTTAGCTAAACCAGTTACCAAGATAAAGTGGTCATGATGCATATCATGCTAAATGCTCGTGTTCGTTGCTTCAAAAGCTATTTAACACTACTATTTGAAACTTATTGCAACCTTTACACATTATACGTTATTTGACAAAGATGACAATCTGATTTTTTTTAATTTTTTTAGCCTTTTAATATTGGATATTATGATATATATATGTGTGTCTCTTCAGATTTGGAGAAGAATCACATGGACTTGAACAATCAAAAGATGAACCTCGCATAACACAGTTAATTGATCAACAAGAAGGTGAACATCCCTCGGTAGGTGAAGCTGGAAAAAATGTGACCAAGCCAGAGGAGTCGAATGCAATTACTATACTTATGAGGGAGCCGAAAATAGAAAAAAATCACAGCCAACACAAGGAGGTGACGATGCTTCCAAGAAGATAAGACCTTATGGCTTTAAGCAAATAGCATCAAAAAAAGGGTGAGAACCAAATATGTTGTAATTATTTTTATTGTTGTATCATTATTGTTATACTAATATTCATGATATATTAATAACATATTTACATATTTGCATGCACAATTAGATCAAAAAAAGGAGGAAATAAAAAAGGCAAGGCTCCTGTAGAGGTTGATGATGATGAGAAAGAAGCTGAAGAAAAATTATTTGAGACAACTCTTGTGGAAGCTCATGAATCTGAGAAAGTTCTTATGGATGCTCATGAAAAGGCTAAAGAAAAAAATAAGAAAAAAATTGTTCTAAAAAAGAGGAGGGCTCCAATGGGTGAACCGTACTTTGAGGTAAGGGAACCACCTGAAAAAGGTGTTCCTCAATCTATTTCACAAGCAATTAATGAATCATCAATAGTTGTGGTACCACCAAAGCCGGTTGCTATTGTGAAGCAATCAAAGGCGAAGAGAGCAAGAAGGGAAATAGTTGCTGCAAATGATGATGAAGTAAAACAAGATGAAGATGAGGAAGAGGAATATGAGCAAGGTGAAGATGGAGATACCAATCAAAGAAATTTGCAGACTAGGCAAACTGTACAGCCGTTGATGATATTGACCAGAAGTTTGCAAGAGCAAGAGAAGCAAGATAAATTGCAAGCCATCAAGGATATGGGTTTTGGTGGATTCCTAGATCTTGATTTTCCAAAAGGCAAGCCAAATTTCTGTGCTATGTTAGTTTAGGAGTTTGAAGAGAATGAGATGTACATTAAGTGTGATAGGAATCGATCTCTTGATATAACGCTTATGGATGTACATTTGGTATATGGGATTCCATATGGAGGAGAAGATATTGTGGAAGCTAAGCTTGATGATCCCATGTTCAAGGAGGTATTTGAAGGTTTTAAGAGGTACCATGGGGGTAGAATCCCTACATTGGGCGCAATATGCAATCAATTATCCAAAGTTGAAACTCCTCTTACTGATGATTGGAAGAGAAGTTTCCTAGTTCTGGCTGTAAATTGTTGCATCAAACACATAACCAACCCACAACCTTATTTCAGGTATTAGTTGTTACTTTATAATGGATGTTCATTTATTTTCTACTCAATGTACTTTTTTTTTCTACTGAATGTTCTTTACATTTCTCATTACAATGCTTTTAAAAAATGAATTTTCACTTATTTTATAATGAATGTTCTTTACTCATTTTAATGTTCTTTTTAGTTATTCAAAATGTTTTTTTTTACTATAAACTGTATGTTCATTAATAAATTATATTATGTTATTTCGTGAATATGATCGTCACTTCAAATAACTAATATTATATGCATTAATTGTTTAGGTTTTTGAACATTGCTATTGACACAAGTAAAATAGCCCATTTTAATTGGTGTAAATACACCATTGAAAGCTTGATTGAGGCTACAACTTACTGGAAAGGTGATGCCAAAAGATATTTATTTCCTGGCCCACTTCCTTTTTCTCATGGTAAAAATACTATTTATTATGCTTTTTTGTAAGCTAAATGTAATTTTTTTTTTAAAAAAAAAAAATTTACTATGTTGATGGAGTTGTGATTGAAAATCAGGTTTGTTACTTTGATCGATTGAAGAAAAAGTTAACCTTCGATGAGCCAAGAGATTTTCCACTCCTCAAGGTTTGGAAAGGAAAGAAGATCAGAGATAGAATTAAACTTGAGTTGAAGTCAGGTATTGGGCTTGGTATTATGTTGGATAGGATCAAGGTCCCATGGACAGTGGAAAATCAGAATTTGCTTCTTAAAGAACCTAAACAACAAGAACCCAGTCCAAAAGAGCAGCATCAGGAAGAAGGTTTCAATCAACAACATGAGACAAAAGAACAACATCAGGAACATGACAAAACAAATCTGAATTCCCCTACTAACATGCAGGTACTATGAAGGAAATAATTTGTTATTTGGATTTATTATATTTATTTATTTACGTCAAAATTACCGTACTAAAGATAATAATCATTATGGTATAATAATATGTTCTTTATTAAACATTATAATTTATGCTTTCTTGTAATGTCATATTATTATTATTGTATCTGTAGGAATATAATCAATTGTTGCGTGAGGCAACAGAAAGAATTGCATTGGGGTTTGTTAACCTCTCTAATGTACTGAAGTTGGGTGAGAAATTCTACACTGCACCATTGGTTGAGAAAAATGCAATGTACAATGTGGCAGCCATGTGGTCAAAGTGTTCTGGGTATAGAATTCCCCAAGAAATTCAACCACAAACTCAATTTCAAAGAGGAGAAGGGAGCTCAATTCTAAGTCAAGACAATGACTTCTTTGGAGCAGACTGGTTTGGGAATATGATTGATGATGTTGTGATGAATGTCCTGAAAAGTAACGAAACTATTGAAGATAGACAACCAATCAATCCCCAAGACCAGGAACCAATCAATACCCAAGACCAGGAACCAATCAATCCCCAAGACCAGGACCAATTCTTAAGCACTGGGATTCAGTCCCCAAGTTTGACCCCACTCATTTTCAGCCAAGAGTTGCCTCCCACTACTTACGAGATGCCTACACTCCCATTTGATCTGACTCTAAAACTTAGTTTAGACAGTGAGTTTGAAGCTATGGACTATGATAAAATCTTCAAGGAGGCACAATTGGAAAATAATGCAGTTGATAGTGTGTTCACAAACACAAAAAATGATGTGGAAAAGATTGGGTAACCCATTGACCTCTTGTTTGTATTTGATATGTCTTGGTCTGTAATAAATATATGTGTAGTTATTAGTGTGATAAATAATGTTATAATCTTTGATAGTTTGTATTATTTTCTTTAGTATAATATGAAATGTTCTCTAGATTAATATATGATGTTCTTTATTTGATGCTAAATGTTCTTTATATAAATCAGGTGTTCTTTTATATTTATATGGATGATCTTGTCTGAATAATGTCATGTTCTCTGATGGTTTGTAGTATGTTCTTTAGTATAATACAAACTGTTCTCTAGACTAATATGTAATGTTCTTTATTAGATGCTAAATGTTCTTTATATAAGTAAGGTGTTATATTCTGTATAATGTCATGTTCTTTCATAATAACCAGTGAAGAAAATATTGATGATGATAAAAAAGAAGGTGGTGTTGAAAGTACAACAGATGTGAAAGATTTAGAGAGGTATGATCTGTTATAGTTTTTTTTTTTAATTTGATTTATATTTATTAGTGTTTATAAAATTATTGATTTAATATATTGTTTTAAAGTGAATCAAGACAATCAGAGTCAAGGAAGGAAAAAGTTCAAGGATGTTGAAGAAAAAAATAAAACAGGAGGAAATGGAAAAAAGAGGTATAATAGTTATAAATATATAATATATTCTATGTTCTTCAATTCATTAGATTATATTCTTTTTGTAAGTAGTATGTTCATTATATATTAATCATGTTTTTTTTATAGTGATGAATCCCCAAAAAATGTCAAGAAAAAAAGAAAATTGTCAATGATCTTCAAGTCTCCATTCTTGATCAAGTATGCCCATTTGTTGGAAGGTTCAGAAGAAGAAAAACAAATGATGTAGGAATTTGCGCTTGCACCTGAACTTCCTCTTGAGTAAGTTTAATTTACATATTCTTTTTAATAAACTTTAATTTTATTCAACTTTACGATCCCAAATTTATTAAATATTTTTTTTATAGTGATATAATATATGATGATGGGCAAGTCATGTTGAATCGCAAACAGTTCAAGACACTCTTGAACGATGTATATGTGTACTATGAATTTGTTGATGCTTGGTCAAATGTTATGAACTGGAGAAATGCTGAACTTAACGAGAGCAGAATATTTTTTCCCACTGAAGCATTTGTAAGTATTGTTTCTATTGGGGTAAAATTAGATCATAATTTTATCATTCTAATATATATATATATATATATATATATATATATATATATATATATATATATATATATATATGTTGGCAGAATTTTTTGTGCATGAATGATGGATATAAGGACAGTAGTCAAGATATAACTGATGAACATAGGCTAAATCAATTCATTGACATACTCAAATTTTACATGGAAGCATTAGAGATTGAAATGACAAATCAATTTCAATTGGTAAGCTTCATTTTCTTTTACTATCTCGGACATGTTCTTTAGTATTGTAATATATGAATGTTCTGTTGATTTTAATTAAATGGTCTTTAATTCTCAACGAAATCTTTTGTATATTATTTTGCAGATTTTCATTCCAGTGTATGAATCTGACCAATTCTATATATTTTGCATCAACATGAAGGGTAAATCTTTGGAAATTATCGACAATATTCCTCTTCAAGAAGGTGTGAATATTGAAGATAAATATAAGGATTACCCACAAAAAGTAGTAAGTAGTCTGTATATTATACAAAAGACTATGTTCTTTTTCAGAAGTTAAAATGTTCTTTTCCTAAAAACTTAATGTTCATTGATGAAATACCTAACAATTTATATTTTGCATGCAGTTAAATGCTTATGCAACTTTTCTTGAGACAAAGAAGTTGAAAAGTCATGGGAGGGTCCGAAAATTTTCTGTTGATTTGTTAAAATTGTCGTGGCAGACAACTACAAACAAGATCGATTGTGCTATATACACAATGAGGCATATGGAAACTTATTACGGAAAAAAGAGGTGGACTTGTGGGTTACAAGCCAATAACGTAAGTATTATAATGTGTTAATATTTACTTTTTTGGAATTGTGAACTTTTATGTATTATTCTAATTTTTTTTGCAGGAAAATCCTATGAAGAAGTTGAGGACTCAATATGCATATGACTTGATGATGCATGAAAAAAACAAGATGAAACCAGAGATATATTTTCTTGCTAAGAAACACAGCCATGGTTGATGGATTCATATTAGGTTTTCATATGATATTTATATCAAAAGAGCATGTTCTTTTGATTCATACACTATGTTCTTTTGTTTCATACTCTATGTTCATTGGATTCATACAGTATGTTATTTTGAGTCAAACAACATTATGTTTATATGATAACAGGAGGTTTAATAGTATATTTCTTTATATTAAGTGTATGATAATATTATAATGTTTTATAGAATGTTTTTTGAAATCACATAGAATTCTCTTTGATGTATAATACTATTTTAAGGTCAATTATAAAATGAATTATATAATTATTAAAGTCAGTGATAGGTAAATTTTAAAAAATAAAGATATAACAAACAAAAATTGTATATTGAATTACGTGAAAGACTAATGTCATTTATTACAAGATTTCAAGGTAATATACTTTGAAAAATAAAGGTATTGTTTGAAGGAATCAATGAATTATGAATACAATGGTTAACGAAATGTATTCTCCAAACCTGATTACGTTGAATATAAACCCTACAAAAAAAATTAAATAAAAAAAATAAGTAATGATCCAATGAAATTTAAATTTTAATATTAAATAATTAAATTTAGTAACAAAATTGTTACCTGTTATTATGTAAATGGTGTAACATGTACTTCAAAATATTCATCAGCTTCAAAATACTCAATTGAACCACCAAACAAAGAAGAATGAGCCAATGTATTTCCTTCAGGAGCTGTAAAGAGTCCTACACATGTAAGGAAGATTATTAGAAATCAATACTTTATAAATATCATAGATTGTAAATGAAAAGAACAAAAAAAAATACAAATATAAATGTAAGGAACATACTTTTTAAAAAACAAAATAAAAAATGAGTAAAAGAACATAAATGAACATTCATCTTCAACCTTATTAAAAATATAAAGAACATGTAAGGAACCTTATTAAAAATATAAAGAACATTATGAATAAAATTAAAGAACATCATTACAAATATAACTTACCTTTATTGTATCTTGTGCTTTCTTTTTCATTATAGACACACCCTTTGCATTTTTCTTCTTCCATGACTTAATCTTCTGCCCTTTTAGCTTGTTGCATATTTTTTCTTGTTTGCTCTTAAGTCGGATGTTCTTTTGTCCTTTCTTCCTCCTTCTAATGGGGTCTTTTACCATACATTCCTTCTCATTTTCAATGGGTTTTTCAGCAGATGTTGGTGAGTCTTGAACGACATTAGCTTGAATCACATCTTGTGGCTCTAATAGATTACCACTTTCCAAGCATTGGGCAGCAGCTTGAGCATCTGTGTTATCATCATTTTCTTTCCCGTGACCCTCTTCATTTCCATCTTTTCTCAACAATATTTCAATTCTACTAGCACACTCATTAATAGCTTCTTCAATTACATTACAAGTGCTTAAATCATGTTGTCCACGATCAATTAAACGAATGAAAGTCCTTACATATTGTAGTCTCCAAACACTTGAAGGTGTCACACCATCTTTTTCAACAACATGGTCATCCACCTTAGTGCACATATCTGCCTTAGTCCACCTTTTCAAGATATATCTTTTTGGTATGTAGGTCACATTGTTGAGATGAAGAACACGAAGGGTATGCTTGCAAAGTAACCCAACTTCACCAAATTACTTACAAGTACAATCAACCGTAACCTCTGACTCATCAAAATTTACCGTGTGTGCAATCAAGTCCCTTTTGGGATGTCCAACATGATACTCGTAAAGAGGAGGCTGCATTGCAATAACCCTAGCGGTGCATGGAACACCATTTACAAAGTTATCTTCAAATTGAAGATACATTTGAATGGTGTAAATTCTTCTAGCATGCTCCAATAGACCAACATCAGCCCAAACCAGATGACGGTTTCCCGTGATACTACCGTAATCATGGTCATTTTCTTTGCTCCTCCACTCTTCAACAACCTCAATGAAAGTCTTGTAAAAATCACATAAACCATGGGTGAAGTGAAGTCTACGTGAAACAGATTTATTTGTTGTTTCACTCCTTTGAGAAGAAAGAATTCCTCCACTAAAATAGTCTTTTGAATATGCAGGACACCACATCTCCCGAATGTTATGCAAGTTGTTGAGCCAGTTGTTATCATTGCACTTGTATTTGGTAAGCATGCTGCATATTAACAACAAAGAACATAATCATGAATGCAAATGAACATAATATTGGACCATAAAGAACAGACAATTTAAATAGGAAGTACATTGGTATAATTATAATCTTATATAGAAGAAAGAACATATAATGAAAAAAAATGTTTAAATTAATATATAAAGAACAGTGCAAATTAATCAAAGAGCACACTTAACCAATGAAGAGAAAATATGTTATTTAACAAAGAACATAAAAGTAGACAATAAAGAACATAATGGTGATGATTAATGATCATGAGTCTAACTAGAAAAGAACATATATTATTTTAGAGCAATTATAAATTGTGAGATATTAAAGGTTACCTGGACCAATAATGCTCAAACTCAACCATTGTATCAGTGTACTTCAAAACAATATCAAATAAATCATTGAAACCTTCCTTTGCTCTTAGTCCCTTGATGTTATTTTTAGCATTCTCTCCAATGTGCCAAGTACATAATCGATGACGACTATTAGGAAATACAATCCTAATGGCTTTAGCCATTGATTGAGCTTGGTCGGTCATTATAGTGATTGGATGTTTGTCACCCATTGATCTCAAAAAAGTGTTGAATAGCCACTCAAAAGACTCCCACTTTTCATTGATCACAAATCCAATACCAAACATGACATTCTTGTTATGGTGATTCATGCCAACAAAAGGACCACACATCATACCGTATTTATTTGTCCGATATGTAGTATCATGTACCAAAAGATCTCCAAATGCATCATAATCAACTTTCATCCTACTATCACGAAAGAAAAAGGACTGTAGATGACCTTTTTCATCAACATCAAAATCATAGTAAAAATCATACTCCTTTGACTTCCTTTCTTTAAAGTAAGAAATCAATTGTTTTGTGTCACAACCATCAAACTTCTTTTTCTTTTCCCCACTCAAAGCAACATAAAGATCTCTTTGAAGAAAACTAAGATTGGCTTCACCGCCATCTTGATCCCTTATAACACGATATGCATCAGCAATAGGTATACCATTTTCAGACAAACTAGTAACCATGGCAAGTTGATCACTACTAACCTGTATATAGTATATTTTAACACATGTTCATTATCGTTTCACGTAATGTACATTGAAACAAATCATAATGTTCTTTGTCATATATACATGTACATTAATTCTGAATTAGAAAAATGAGCAACAGAAAATCATATTCATTATCATTTTACACATTGTACATTGAAATAAAACCATAATGTTCTTTTCCATATATATATATGTACATTAATTCTGAATTATAAAAATGAGCAGAAGAAATGAATGTACATTGCAAAATTACAAAATGTTCATTTAATATATGAATTATGTTCATTAAAATAATATATAATGTTCACTAACCTTTCTGTGAGATCTTATCAAATGTCTCTTTGAAACGGGAACCCTACTGTGATTATGCTCCATTTCATGTTTCACCACGTAATATAAACCAGACTCCTTATCAACATCAAACTGGATGTATGCTTTGCAACCAGTACGAAAATCCCTTTTTTGGTACAAAACATCACTCTTTATTTTTTTGAAACCAGCATAAGAACATGTTAAAAATCGCTGCCTTACTGTCTTATCATTCCTTGTTTTTTTGTCTCCTTTACGTGTACCGAATCCATGCTTAAAAGCATATGAATTGTATAATTCACAAGCTTCTTCATCAGACTTCACTTATCTAAAAAGTAACTCTGAACTAGTAGATTCTGTGAAGCCTAAATATAAATGAATATTGTAGTTATATTAAATGTATATTATAATAAAGATAAATATAACTTTGATGTAATGCTCATTGTATAATATTATACAGAACATAAAGTTTAAATCAAATGTACATAATGTAATACAATAAAGAACATTGTAACTATTATAAACGGACAAAAAAGAAATTCAGTAAAAGTACATAATTGCAATTTAGAATGAACATCATCTTCAACCATTGTATAATTAATGAAAAAAAAAACCAGAGCAGAATGAACATAAATGCAATTTAGAATGAACATCATCTTCAACCTTTGTATAATTCAAAAAATAACAGAGCATAAACTAATGCAATAATTATTGATTAAAATTTAACATAAATACAATAACAAGGTCAGGATTCAATTCACTTATATATATATATTTAGCAATTAATTAATAATTTGCATAAAATTCAATAAAATTTCCAATTACATTCATCAAATTCAATAAAATTACAAAATCAATGAGAAAAATATATTTACCTTTTCCTTTGACTACAATATCATGAAATTCACCACCATCATCATTCTCATGATCATCATCACCGGCAAATCGACGATCGAAATTATGTTTAAATTCATGAGCAGCCATTTCTCTCTCCAAAAACTTGAAATTCTCTCTCTATCAATGAAGTTCTCTCCCTAGAATTGCAACACTTCCAAATGCCACTTCTTCCCGTCGCAACCGTCTTCAGCCACGAAGCGAGAGCAGCTGCCAAGGAAAAGTTTAGAGGCAATTTTCAGAGACTGTGTGATGTAATGAACATGCTGCAGGGTCAGGCCTTTCAGATCAATAGACATTTGTTACGAAGACACAAAGCAAACCTAGAAAGATTTTTTTCAGCACCCCTAGGATCTGAGGATACCCGAAAACCCAGACCTCAATAAAGGCCGGGTCCACGCATGTTGAAGATAGTTGTTATAAAATTGATAGAACTTCTGCAGAAGTAGGAATAATGGCACCCGAAATAATATTGTATTCTCTCTCTAGAAATTCATATCTAAATTGAAAATGTGATTTCTAATTTATGAACATCCTAATTCAATCAACATATATATGGAAAGACCCTCTTACGTAATTCACGTAAAACAGAGGTAAAAAAAAAGAAAGAAAGAAAGTAGCTGCCGTGATTTTCAAAGAGATGTACCAAGCAGCATACCACCTGCTGTATGGTAAAATTTTCAGGTCCTCTAATATGATATCTAGAGTCAGCGTAACACAAACAAAGGTCCTACGCTTCAATTATCAGCTTAACCTTTTGATTGAGTTGGTCTTCTAACAAATTTTTTTTCTTAGGAGTCAATGTTCATTAGATTTGACCATGAATTTTCATTGATATAACAATTGTATGTTTTTGCTATGCAAGTAATAAATATACTTCTATATACCATTTGATCAAACGAGTCAAATAATCAACTAGTCTATTTGGAATATGAAGTTTACGAGCTAAATTTGAAGAAGACAAATGGAGTTGGGGTATATGATGGAATAATGACATTAGTTTTCTTTAATTATTTGGATAAGGCATATACTTGTATTATTATTTATGTTATTTAATGAAAGAGAATGTCAACTAAACAAAATAATTCCGAGTGATCACAAAAGTGATATTCTTCCCAAATGTCAAATTGCCTGTTTTTTTTTCCCTTTCTCTTTAGTACAGTAAATTGTGAAATGGGCAGATAAAAGCCTTCCAATAAACTTGAAGAACATTTGGAAAAAATGATAGATTACTCCTTCATATTCCCTTTTTAAGTTTAGGTGATCATTATACATTGTATGCATATTTTGTAGTGGTAGATCATGATGAACAACACAAAGTGGTGGCACTACCATAATTTTAAGAGGAACGAGGGAAAAGTGGTCAAAAAGTAGTGAAGGCTAGAGCTACAAGACTAACACCTAACACGTTGCAAAAACGAATTTTAAATTTGTGTACTTCGTACAATTATTTTTTGTAACAAACAAAATCATATAGATAAACTTTTTAAATTATTAAGGCTTGAGAAAGCTCCAATTACAATAAACTTTTTTAATACTATGTTTTAGAGAAACTAGAGATGATATGTGTTTGATTTGATGATTGATATCCTTCGCAATTCTCGCTTGTTAATTTAAATGCAACAAAATCTTTTTGTAACTTCTATATATATACTTTATACAGTATATATATAAATAACCTGGGTACTTGGCCTACTCTTCAATCACTCCAAATGATTCACTCTATTATCATTATTAACACTGATCCGTAAAAAAATACAGTAATCAATTTAAAATTTTTAAACAAAGTTATAAATAAATTCATTATCATTACTGTCTTTAATCGACACAAAGCTATAGACAAAACGATAGAATTGAATAATATTGATTTTGATGTGCATTGCCCATTTGCTCCCTAGTGACTATACATATGCATATGCTTATTATTATGCACATAGTTAACCTTGGAAAAAGACAGACGTACCTCCCGGCGCTGCTTAGTAAGGTTGGTGCCCTAGCTAGCTAACTACTTAAGACGGTTTAGCACTTTCGGTGCATGCCATATTATAAGCTAAGGTGTTATGTAGACTTTAACAATTACGTAACAAGTTTGTATAAAAATATTGAATGCATAAATTTTGCCAAATTATGAGGAAATTTCACATGAATTGCTACGACGTGGACATGCTTAGAGGACTTAAATAGAATCTTATCTGTCAATTAGTTACAAAATCTTTGCCTTCACTTCCATTTTAAAATAATTTTGTAATAATTTAATATAATTTAATTTAATTATTTTTTTTTTTTTTGCCGTGAAAGGTGGTTGTCGTGACCTTAATATAAATACATTATTGTTCAGTAGAGTGGTCCTTGAATATTTTTGGGTTTATTCTTAGTTTGCACTTTGTAGGATAGTAGTGCTTATCACATTTTTGCTTACATAAGTAATTGATTTTGTATTCGGTGATAGGTTGTTAGCCACCCGACAATTCACAGCATTAATAATAAATTAATAATCCATATAAATAATATTGAAAAAATCAGATGAGACATAATAATAATTCTTGTATAAAATGTATTGTAATTGTCAAAAAATAATTAATATTCAAGCTACATATATGTTACATATTTTTAATATGATTAAATATCATATCACATCACATGTAAGTTAAAAACTTTTCTCATCTAATAATTATTGAGATTAGAAAGACAACGTAATGGTATAGATGGAATTCGATTTTATTTTTTAGGAATTAATTAGTGTTCAGTCTGTATGATCAACTAAATAACTACTCTAGTTGACACCTAATTTGATTTTTCTAGTCTTTTATTCTTTTTAAGTACTTTCTTGTTGATAGATATTAAGCATTTTGTTATTGGGATTTAATCATGTCATTGAAGACTAGAAAAAATCAACGTGTTTAGATATCATGTTGAGCGTCTATTAAATAGAATTTATTTTACATACATACGAAGTATACAGTTGGGAGCTTATAATTGATCAACTTATAGCTTGATGGACGTCTTATACTACGTAGTTGATAAAATGTTTAAACGAAGTCTTAGTCAATGATTAGATGAGCTGTTTTTGGCAGGATAGAGTCAATTTTGAAGATAACTTAAACTATATATAGTAATAATGATATTGCATTATTATTGTATTAATAAATTCCATATGGATCGCTCATAGCTAGGTACGTCATTTTAGTTGGGTTTAAGACTTTTGGCTAGCTATACATAGATCAGCGTTTTAGATAGAAAAAGAAGGTAAGGGAATTCTCTACTCCAGTAGTTAAAGTAGATAATGAGGCTCAAACATCTCCATACTACGTATTTGTTTGGAATTGACATCACTAAATTAAAACATAGAAAGTTTCGATTTGTTCTCCCTTAAAATGACACTTGTATTGTTAAAATGGAAAACTAGAAAAATAAAAAAGTTTAATTAGTTGAGATATTTCTCACTAAAACTAATTAATAAGTAGTTAATAAAATATCTAACAGGAAAACATAAGCATGCATGCTTATTGTACGTGTTTTCATTAAGACATTTGCTTAGCAAATCATGTTCGGTTATTTTAATTGAAATTATAAATAAGTTAGGTATTAATCAACTAATTAAACTCTAATTTTCAACGCAGTCATTTATCAAAGTTTGGAATCTTGGTGAATGGCAGGGGTCATAAATCATAAGTATACGTACGTATAAAGCCTTTGAGATAATTTTTTATGATTTAATACATATACTTTAATTACTACGGAATATTAGCTAGAATAAGAAAAGTAATTAGTTGGTATACAAAGTTGCATAAAGAGCTGCATCTAAATTGCAATGTGTTTTGTGGTGCTTAAATTTTAATTCTCTAGTACAATTCGTTCACCTTGATTTTACTTATTTAAAACATAAATAAATTTGGTTTAGAAAAAAAGATAATTTAAATTAGTGCAAATTTGATAAACGTAATCAGGAAAATAAGTTTAAATTATTGAAATTAGGAAAAAAATAAAAAATAAAAAAATAGGGCTTTTAATTTCAAAATCAAATTACAATTGAAAGAACACTAATGAATTTTCTTCAATCTACCTCACATTATGAGAGTAACGTCTTGAGTCTTGACATACAAACGTATGTATATTATTCCTTCACATCTATTATTTAAGATGGTAAAATTGTTTCATCGAACTCATCATCAACATAAGATAACAAACAAAAGCCAGATATAATTAAGGAGAGAGAGGAAGCCAAACGGATGCAAGTAACCCATCAAGATTGTTAGTGGATGGTTCCATACTTCCATTTCCCATACGTGTAAATTACGGATTAACTATTAACTGTAGTGATTACCTACCATTTTACCAATTATGTGTTATGTTAGGTGATTATTACCTACGTATTTAGCTATCTTTCAAATCATGCTAGTTTTTTGAATGAAATCTTTAAAGAAAACTATGGTTGTAAATTTCTTTGACAATGACTAAATAATTGACTAATGACTAGTGACTTAACTCACTAAACCTCATAATTTACAATCGACATGTATATACTACCTCCGTCAAATGTTATGTGTAACTTGGGGGTATTATTCGTGAGATATAAAATATTCCAAAGTTGCACGTAACATTTAACGGAGGTAGTATTTACCATATCCATATAAATATATAATACCGTTAGTGCTTCTAATCCGTTGCATTAATATATATATATATATATTTTGAAGGAAATCTGTTGCATTAATAAAGTCAAATAGTATTGGAGAAATAATGCAAATAGAGCGATTATAAAAAAAATATATAAATAAAAAAATTACTAGTTAATAAAATACTAGTAATAAAAAAAATGCAAATAAAGCAATGAATGTGACAAGATAACCGCGTATAAACACGACCATAAGTCCATGACTGAACTGATAACTGAGAAGTCAATAAACTAATCCATTTCTCACGTTTTCAGCCGGAACTTCTACTCACGTCCCACGTGGCTACGCGTACATTTGTCTCTTTTGCAATATACGAGATTACGAGTAATAGTATAGGTTTGTTGCGACACGTAAATATCCTGGTTAAGAAATAAGGGTGTAATTGTGTTTGATTATATTAATGCGAAATAAATTAAAGAAAAATAAGAAGAAGAAAAGCAATAGCCTTTTTAGCAATAAAGAAGATAAATAAAGAACACAAGCATTAATGTATTTCGGTCAATAATTAGACCTATATTCACGGTTAGGGTATTTGCGAGCTTATTTACTATAATAATAAAAAAAATAAAAAAAAAAGAGAGGGAGAGAGAAAAAAAAAATAAATACAAGTCCTAAATCTAATGACTTAAAAAGTATAAACTAATTGATCAACTAAGAGGTTCTTTTATAACCCAGGAAACCCTAACAAAACGATGCATTGTTCCCCGAATATACTCAAATAACCATCATAAAAAAGATATAACGCTACATTGCTCCCCAAGTATACCAAAATTCTGAAATTTCCGACTAGGCACAGACATGCCTCTTTTATTTAGGCACAGACGTGCCTCGTCGAGTACTTCGGCATCAGCAAAATTCCAGCGTCGCAATTTCTTCGTAAATTGGTCATGACTTTTTCGTTTCTTATCAGAATCGGGTATATGACCTATCGTTGAAAAGATCTAATCTTGAAACAAGCTATCACCTCCAACTTGAATTATCTCAAAATAACTTATAGTTTGAGAAATATCTACATTTAAAGTTAGTCCTATTAGTTTCCGAGTCACAATTTAACACACACCAATGCCAACATTTCAATTACTCATAGTTGATTAAAATCTTGAAAGTGGTATTTCAAATATCTCGATCTCTCGATCTATTTATATAATACTCGGTATTATGGTTGTTTTTCTATGTTGTTAATATTTGTGACTCGAGATTGAATTCTTTCTACTTATATATATTTGTTACGAAGTATGTATTTAGAGTGGGGCAAATGTATACTAAAGATTATATAGTGTCAGTACCACAACAAAATGTCGTGGAATTGGTATCTTGCAAAAATAAAAGTCCAATGACAAAACGACTAAACAATCTTATCTAAATAATTGCATACTCTTTATTTTTTTTTTTCAAAGGAATAATAATAATGGGCATTAATTAAAAATATATACGTAGAAGGGACATAATTAAGCGAATTGTAACATGAAATTTGGTGACGATTTGGACAGTGCGTGGTTGATAAACAGTACAAGAACTAGTTATTGTTTGTGTAATGGACGTGAAACATGATGATTAGATGTGGAAGAAATTTATTTAAATAATAATGTTGCTTCTAAAGTTTGTTTCTCTACTTTACTACTCCTATTGTTTTGACATCACTTCCAAGTAAAGATGGGCATGGGCCGTGCCGGCACGTGGGCGGCACGGGCCCAGCACGATTCCGACACGACACGATCGTCGGCACGGCACGGCGGCCCATCTATGGACTGTGGGCCGTGTCGTGAACAAAAATCTGGGAATCGGCACGAGCACGGCACGAGGCACGGTGGCCGGCCCGTGGGTCGGCACGCCGGCACGACACGTGGCACGGTCTGGCACGGTAGTGGTAATTTAATTTTTATTATATGTATTGTTGTTTTTTGTTAAATTAATAAAATTATTTATATAAACTTAAACATAATTAGATAAATAATTTTTATAACCTTAATTAAAATAAAGTTTGTTTAAAACAAAATATATTAAGATTATTAACATTAACATAAACATAAATTAATAACATTATTTATATAAAATTAAGTTGTACTAAAAAATATTTATATATCGTTTTTTTTTACGTTCATTTAAAAAAAAAAAAAAAAGTGGCACGATTTGGCCCGCGGCCCGGCACGGCACGGCCCGCCAGGCACCGCAGGACCTCTTTCTATCAATTGAATAAGACGTGGGCCGTGCCGTGCCGTGGGTTAGGGTGTGCCAAATTTAGGCACGGCACGCCCACCACCGCGGCACGGCCAGGCACGGCCAGGCACGGCACGGCCCGTTGCCCATGTTTACTTCCAAGTGTTTTTAAAATACTGTTTGATTACTTTGATTGGGAGGAAAACATTTACACTAAATCGATTTTCGCTTTATATGTATATACAAATACGAAGTACGGAGTATATGTTTAAGTTTGTGATAGAGTAGTAACTAGGTTTTTCAATGATGAATAATTCTCTCAAGGAAAACATTTCATATACTTGTATAAGATAATTTTCTTTTTCATAAAAGGTAAAAATTAAATTAATAGTAAGAGACAGAAAAAAAAAATATTTATTTGAAGTTTTAGTTTTCCACCTAACAAAATAAAAAATTGCATTATTAATTTCATGAAAACCAATACAATGATTTACTTGTGCATTTCACAATACGTATCAAAATATTACTAGTCTAGTAAGCATACATCACACATTCACACCAAATTACATAATTCGGTCTCTAATAAACACAAGTGTCAAAAGAATACTTCCACTTACACTCATATTAGCGGTATATATATAACCGCCCAAAACCCTAATGAGACCAACCGATCACAACCCTATCAATTTATTGATCTTTTAACTCAGTTTAGACAAACTCTCATATCGACTCGTTTAATAGGTTGTAATAAATTTAGGTTAGCGAAAGAGGCAATTGGTTGAACAAAGGCGTCAAGGTAAATACACGAGACAACAAGTATAATTCCGTAGACAAAATCGAAAATCAAACTCTTTAGGAGTATAAATTATACGCCAAAAATCCAAAATCAAATCAATTACTGTTATACAATTAGCCCGATTTGCCGGCCCGAATTTTTGCCATTTTCATACAGGTTACACATACAGCAGCAGGTACTTTCTTCCTTCCCTTTTCTCTCTCCTCATCTACCATTTTGACAGTTGCCTGAAACATTCAACTCTCCATTATTTCAACACATGATTCAGCTGACTATTTCTCCTTCAATCATCTCTCCACCCTTTTCATCACTTCTATTTCAATTAACATAATAACCCTTGATCTATTATTCCTTAATCCAAAAAAAAAAAAAAAAAAAACACTTTTTTCATAATTTAGAGTTGAAATTCTTAAAACCCTGTTCAAATCACAATCTGGGTATTGTTCATTTCCACCCTAATTGCTTTATTTAGTGCTGAATTTCATAATAAACCCTGTTCAAATCACCAATTGGGGTTCTGGGTATTGTTCACTTTTCCCAGATAGTTGAATTTAGTGCTGAAATTTGATCCAAATCTTCTGATTTTTTTGTTTTTTTAATTTTATAGGAAGATTGAAGGGAATTTGAAGAAATGGGTATTTGTGCAAGCAAAAACAAAGATCCAAGACCAGAGCAAAATGGGTATAGTAGAGGAGTAAATGAGCAAAATCAATCAAAAACATCATCAGCTGGGCAGCAAAATCAGCAGTATCCTCAGCAGCCGCCACCGGAGAGACCGGTTGCGCAACCGCCTGTTCGAGTTCCAAGCCCTGCTAAATCAACTGCAAGAACTGATTCAAACACAATTGTAGGAAAACCCTTTGAAGATGTGAAGATGCACTATACAATGGGGAAAGAATTGGGTAGAGGTCAATTTGGTGTTACCTATCTTTGTGTTGATAAACAAACAGGTCAACAATTAGCTTGTAAGTCAATCTCAAAGAAAAAACTTGTGACAAGAGCTGATAAAGAGGATATGAAAAGAGAGATTCAGATCATGCAACATTTGAGTGGTCAACCTAATATTGTTGAATTTAAGGGAGCTTATGAGGATAAGACATCTGTTAATCTTGTCATGGAATTGTGTGCTGGTGGAGAATTATTTGACAGGATCATTGCTAAAGGGCATTACAGTGAGAAAGCTGCTGCTACTATTTTGAGGCAGATTGTTAATGTTGTTCATGTTTGTCATTTCATGGGTGTGATGCATAGGGATTTGAAGCCTGAGAATTTCTTGCTTTCTAGTAAGGATGAAAATGCTGCTTTGAAAGCTACTGATTTTGGGCTTTCTGTGTTTATTGAAGAAGGTATACTGATTTAAGTGTTTGTCAGCTGTTTATCTGCTTAATTTTGCTTGTTTTCTTGATTGTTTTGGTTTGGGAAATAGTGATTAGATGGTTTTAATCTGAGCATATAGATCATGTTTTTATGCTAGGTTGTTGCAGGACATCAGAATTGTTAATCTGTCCTGTTTTGCGGATCCATTGACCTATGAATTGATGGTGGATTGTTGTGGTGAATTTCTGTGATGCTTGTTATGATCTTGCTTAGGAACTTGTTGGTTAGAGATGTGGAGTTGACTTTTTTAGTTGTTGATTAGAGATGTGGGGGTTGTCTTAACAATTTGTTGATTAGGGATTGCCCATATTCAATGTACTTAGGAGGCTGATCTTGATTGCATTCTGATGTAAGATTGCCCATACATTCTTTACTGTTGACTGTTGGCAATGTGAAAACTTGATCTGATTGTTTTACTCAGAGCTGGAAATCCCTTTTTTACTTTTCTCCTCTCAGGTAAAGTCTATCGAGATATAGTAGGTAGTGCTTACTACGTTGCTCCTGAGGTATTGCGTCGTAGGTATGGTAAGGAGATCGACATTTGGAGTGCTGGAGTTATGTTGTACATTTTACTCAGTGGTGTTCCACCCTTTTGGGCTGGTAAAATTTCTTTCTTGTATTTTTTTAGTTTATTACAAATGTTGTATCATTGATGCCTTTGTTAATTACTTCATCATAATTTTGTGTTATAGAAACGGAAAAAGGGATATTTGATGCTATTCTGCAAGGACATATTGATTTTGAATGTAAGCCATGGCCAACAATCTCTAATGGCGCCAAAGACCTAGTAAAGAAGATGTTGACATCAGATCCCAAAAAACGAATCACTGCTGCTCAAGTTCTTGGTATGCAATATTGGCTTACAGTTGCTTTAATATTTAATGATTAATGCTCCGTTGTTTACAACAAACTTTGCTGATGAGTAAATTGGGTTCTATCTTCTGTGCAATATTTTTCCATTTTCGCACAACCTGATACTGAAATCCAAATCTTCTTTGTATTGATGGGGCTCAGAAATCTTTGAATTGGCATTGCTTAGGGCAGTGGCAAGGAAAAATTTCATGTGCTTGCCCCCATAAGACCTTCAGCTGTTGGGTGGGCATCCATTGATGTATTTCTAGAGGTGGCAAGCATCCCTTGAGTTTTGATCGTCTACGGACTGCTGTGCCTTTGTTAACTGTGGTATTATTTAATTTGCATCTATGTCCTGAAACTCAAAGTTTAATGTCAACAATGCAGATCATCCATGGCTCAAGGATGGTGAGGCCTCAGACAAGCCTATTGATAGTGCTGTTCTCTCTAGGTTGAAGCAATTTAGAGTCATGAACAAGCTCAAGCAACTAGCGCTGAAGGTTTGTAAACCTCGTCTCTATTTATGTTTTTCCTTTCTTCTGACACAATAAGGTGTCTAAACTTGGAACATCATATGTGCTGTATGAATGTCAGAAATAACTTCAAAGGATTTAAATGTATTGGCTCTTTTTGTTGGGCATAGGTCATCGCTGAGAATCTTCCTGCAGAAGAAATCCAAGGGCTGAAACAGATGTTTGCAAACATGGACACTGATGGCAGTGGGACAATCACCTACGAAGAATTGAAAGAGGGATTGGCCCGTCTTGGATCAAAGCTTACTGAAACTGAAGTGAAGGCACTCATGGAAGCTGTAAGACATGAATTATATTTAATATAAGAAACAATGAGACTTTTACTATGGCATGCTCTTGTTCTCTGGCTGACTTCCATTTTCTTTTTAGGCTGATCAAGATGGAAGTGGATCAATTGATTACATCGAATTTATCACAGCCACAATGCATCGGTATAGGCTTGAGAGAGATGACCAACTTTACAAAGCATTCCAGTTTTTTGACAAAGATAATAGTGGGTGAGTAGCTCCTTTTTAACCTTTATCTACCCAAGTAACCAGACCCCTTTCCTGTTCTGCTTTAAGCTAATCTGTGGAGAATTTAAACTATAATGTCTATGTTCATCAGCTCCACCTGTCTCAGAGAAAACTAGAGGAATTTTAGGCCTAGAAAAAAGTCTTAAGAGGAAAAAATAATAAATATAAAAATTCCAGATTCTTGTAAGAAATATCAGATTTACAAAAGTACTTTGTGGGTTTTATACCTCTGCATGTGAAGATCATGAACATTATGTAGACTTGCGCTACCACATCAACTTCCACGTGTATACAAAAGTACTCTGCGTGTTTACCTCCTAGATGATTCATTTTCCCGCCAATAGTCACCATCTAAAATTAGACAAGAATATGTTCCGGAAAATAACATCTGTAATTTTAATTACTCACTTTGTGGGTGACGATTGTTTATCATCTCAGTTGCTTATACTTGTCATTTTGATCAAATGTCTCAGGTTCATCACCACAGATGAGCTAGAAGCAGCAATGAGGGAGTATGGGATTGCTGATGAGAACTGCATCAAAGATATATTGATGGAAGTCGACACTGACAATGTAAGATTTGCTCCATCCCTTGAGTTACCTGGACTTCCTAATCAATAAAATGCCTTTAATCATGCATTGTGTTAATTCTGTTTGCAGGATGGAAGAATAAACTTTGATGAGTTTGTTGCAATGATGAGAAGTGGTACTCAGAATCCAGCTGCTAAACTCTTTTGATGTACTCTTACTCTGTGTGATCGTTCCACCTATCTACTGCAAGGTGATGTTCGAGGGATACTGTTGGTTAGAAAGACAGGCTGGTTCCCCTAGATCAAACGACTAAGTCGGATGAGGCCCATCGTTTGTAACATGGTTGAGTTTTTTGTAAAAAGTTTGTGCATACACAATATCCCTTGGACTTGGGAGTTATGTTATTTTAAATTTGAGTTGGAAGATTTTTGGACATGTTTGAAGATTTCTGTAATGCGCTCGGAGAAACTAATGGCTCTCATCTGTGTTAATTTCTAGATGTTGGGCGACAAAACAACCTTAAAGAGAGTTATATATGTATTTTCTACAAAGCCTCTCAGAGGATCCATTTGTAAGCTATCTATTCAAGAAACCTTTTTTACCCAGAGTTCATAGTCCAGTTGCCACTCCAACAATAGTAGCGAGTATTTTGTACTTGATAAATCCAGTTGTGAAAATGTCGTTAATGTTGCTACGCAATATATGCTTGCCTCACATCCTGCCTACCCCGGTGCCCCCTCTGGTCACACGCTCTTGATAGTTAACAGCAAAACAGGCCATTAGCTAACGTTTGCTCAAACTACTGTCCTACCCTCCGTCATGGGATTGGGTCAACCTGCATCAACTTACTTCAGGAGAGCGACGTTCAACTCTCTTTAGTGATGGACAATTGAGTTTGAAAGATATTGGACTCCATCATAGTGTAGCCTTCAGTATAACTGTCTCACAGGTGCACTCAGGGAAGAACTTCATCTTCTTCTTCCTACAGAAATACTCTTCACAAGTAAATCAATCCCCTTCTCTACTACAATATTGATTCATGATTCATTGATTTTCGCAAGGGATAAAGTATAACCACGACCCAGATACTCGAGTCTTTTTTGCAATAGAATCAAAGTAGCTTGAGTTGCATTTCTTTCATCTAAAGGACTAGTCTGAATTAATAGGGTACATCCTAATCAACAAGGAGGATTCAAAGAACCCGGTAAATTATACGGAGTATGATCACGAAGAACACACAGTTTAAACCCAAGAAAACATCCAATTTTATCACAAAGAACACGCGTTTCAAACCCAAGAAAACATCCAATTTTATTTATCAGTACCAACTTCGAAAGCTGATTACATTCCACGCTACTTCGAATCAAATCAAATCAAACTGCAATAAAGGAAATCAAATCAAACCACAAACATCAAACTGCAATAAAAAACTTCGAAAAACGGAAATTGAACTTCTAGTTCATCAGCTGAATAGAACTCAAGGCTTAAAAACCATGGATCTTGATCCGATCCTTCTTAACAAGGCCGGCCTGAACGAGGAAATTCGCGACCTTCTTACGCTGATCACCTTGCAGTTGGATAACCTTTCCTAGCTCCTTATCCTGCACAACATTCCCATTACAGCAAAACTCCTTCTTGAGGTCCTTGAGGATCTTTTCGTAGCTGAAATCTTTCTTCAGCCCTTGAACAGTCGTCAAGCTTTTCTTTCCATTCCTTTGCTGAATTCGAATATGCACATACTCCTTCGCTCCAGGAGCCTCCGACTCGGCGTCTGCAAACGGGTCAAGAGCTGCGGGGATCTGAATGTCTAGATCAACCATGTACCTTGCTTGTCGAAAACTCGAAAACGGTCCTAAGAGGGTTTGTTCTGTGAGCACGTAAACTGCAATCAAATCCAGTATACAACGATCAGTAAAAAGAAACTAACCATCCAAATATACGGACATACGGTATCAAATTCAATTTCATCGAACGCAATTTGATGGTTTTATCAGCAATTTAATCATCAATCTCATATTATCAGCAATTTAATCACCAATCTCATAGTATCAGACAATTAAATCATCAAGTTCATATTATCAGCAAATTAATCATCAAATTCATATTATCAGCAATTTAATCATCAATTACACTTCGAAAAACTTAAACAAAATCATAATCAGAAATTATATTACTATTGAAATCAGCGATCAAAAACCAATTAAATTTGTTAAAGAAAACCTAACATACCCAAATAAGCGCAGAACAAACATACAAAAAAATAAAAAATTAGTAGAACAATCTTTCTTGAAAAATTATATTATTCACTAGATTTAATTTGTAATCAGCGAACAAAACCTAACAACTTTCTTGAAAATTTCACAATTTTGGATCAATCAATATCATAATCAACGATCAGAACATACTTAAATTACCCAAGATCAATTAAACAAACAAAAAAAACTTCAAATTCATCCGAAAAAATACTCAAAACATGATCATGATCATAATTCCAACAACCAACTTCGTAAAGAATATCGAATTCCAGAAAATAATAAAAATTACAACCCAGAAATTATGAATTATGAGTATAAACAAAGCAAAACAAAAGAAACCAAAAATTTAGGAGAGAGAAAATACCTGAAGAGATTGATTTGCTTCTGCAAAAAATCAAACCAAAGATTTTATAATAAATTAGATCAAAGTGTAATGGAAGTCTATATATAGAGGGTTTTAATTTTATTTTTTTATGTCGGTTATTAGCCACAAAAATTAATTAAAAATAAAAAAGAATAATTATATCAACTATAGTTGCGTTATAAGTAATCATGGTTAAAGGGGGTGAATACTCTTTAAGAGTCGGTCAGCTAAATCGACGGTATGACGTGTACAAAATCAACGGCTGAGATTGAATTTTGAGAGTTGACGTATTTAAGTGAATATTTATTGCAGAATAAAAGGGAATAATTACGTCATAATTAGGGGGCAGGAAAATCTAAAGAAGGAAGTTTCTGGGAGAACATGAGTAGGGCCCAAGGTAGAGACAGGAAAGGGTTCAGATAAGGCGTAGACTCAACGCAATCCAAAGAATAATTTTATTTTATTTTTATTTTTTTGGCTTTTTTTTTTTTTTTTTTTGGTTAATTGATTGATTTTTTGTTTAATTTAAATTAGGTGATGTCTCAAAAAAAAAAAATTAGGTGAAGAAAGTCATGAAAGTTGGGTTTTGTGGGTCCATTAAATAAGCATGATAACAATCGTGAAGAGTTTTTAGATGTTGTGTTTGCCACTTGAGAAAGTAGAGTTGACAGTTGACACAATTACACAAGTAAGGGTATGTTCTCTTCTATTGAAGTTCAGTTCAGTTCATTTCAGTTCAGTTCAGCTCCTAATTTCCTTCTCTTATAAAATATTTATTTTAGTTCAGTTCAGCTCAATTCAGTGAATGAGAACAGACCCTAACACAAGACACAGCTGAATTCTTGGATTGGTCCCAATCGAGTGAATTAATCTTGAAATAAATAATTGAAAATGGGATTAATATCAAATATTAAAAGTGACTATATCCAAAATGAATCGTCTAATTTGAAATAACGACACAAATAAAAAGAACAAATAACCCAATTTAGTAAGTCTATTTCCAAAATGTTCTTGAATTTTTGAATGTATGGGAAAACAATTGCATTGTATCAATTTTTTAAAGGTGAAAGGAAATAATAACAAAAAATCCTTCTCGCGAGAGGAATCCATGATGTGTTTGTAAACCATAAAAATTCAAACCTACAATATATAATTAAAGAGGTAGAAAATATACGGGAACAATTATCAATTATTGATAATTTGTAGGTTACAACTCTCGTAGATCTCTTGATTACTCTCTCCAAAGGGTTAGGGTTTTTATATTTTTTTATAGTACGGGGCCTTGTCGGCTTAATCCATACTATGTACCTACAATGTTTGGTAGTAGAGAGGAGATGGGGTCTTTGTGACTTATTCCATTTGAGTCTAATTAAACCCTAGATTCGACCCTCTTTATATAGAGAGTCGTAGATTAAAAGATAATCTATGAGATTCAGAAGATAAATATCTTATAATTTTTTATATTATCTCCTTATTTACATATATCTTGACACCTAATAATTAACAAAATTTTGGTGTCAACAAATGCGAACAATTTCCCTAGAAATTGTTTAAATTAAAATTAATTCCCACTTTACATTGTTTTAAAAACTTATTCCCTAAACAGTGTCCACGTAGGATCGGGTATTAGCTTAGGATTTTTTTTTTTGGTTCTATATAGAACCGCATTTGGTGATAGCGGTTTTACAATTACAACCGCAATGTATTTGATGAACCAATGATGCTATTAAATATTGCTATTATTGAAGGTTCTTCCTGCAAGTTTATTTAACCATCCCATTAAATATCATCTCATCAATTTACATGTAATCATCTACAAGTTTTTTTTTTTTTGAAACCATCTACAAGTTTTTTTTAACAGCCCTATCACCTGTAAAAAAAATTGCAAAGAAATTAAAATAGGAAGTAAAAAAAATACATGGGAATTGAAGTTCTTGAGGTTGAATGCTGGGATATATATGTTGAGATATTCTCTTGAATTCATACTTTTATGAAAATTACCCATAACAAAATTACAATTAAACATTGGTTTTAGAGAGAGGAAGAATAGAGAAGATCTAAGAAGAAATAAGAGGTTTATAAAACCTGAAATTCTTTCTTCTACTATTTTCTCCTTTTCTTCTTCTTCTTCTTCTTCTTCTTCTTCTTTTTCCTATTTCTTCCGTACAAAATCCTTTAATTTTCTACTACTCTCATTCTCTCTCCTCCAAAAACTTTGTGATTTTCCCTCACTTTTTCCACCCCTTTTCAATTTTCTCCCAAATTCATCGATTTTTCATGCAAAATTGCAAAATCCCATTCGAAGAAATCGAGAATAAGAGGTTTTAAAAGAAAAAAACAAGAGTAAAAGTTGAGGAGAGTGAAAATGGGAAGACATGGGAGACGTAGAACAGAGAAATAGTGTTTTCTTCTTTTATTTTTGGAGGGCCCAATTTCATCATTGTAATTTATCATGTAAATGTAAAACCACTATTACCACTTACCAGTTGTGGCTCTATACCGAACCAAAAAAAAAAGCCTAAGCTAACACCCAATCCTACGTGGACACTATTAAGGGAATAAGTTTTTTAAACAACACAAAGTGGGAATTAATTTTAATTTAAACAATTTCTTGGGAAATCGTTCCAACAAATTCCCCCTCGAGACCTGTTGTAGAGATTTGATATCGGATGCAACTTGGTGTCGAAATTTGGTGCAAAGTATTTGAGTGGTTTTCTCTGTATTTTAATTCTCTCTAGTTTTCTCTCTTTCTAGGTTTTCCTCTGAATTTTTCCTCTCACTCAAATGATGTGAAGAGTGCTCTATTTATAGAGTGAGTAACTCTTAGGATCAGGGTTTGTTGTACAATGAAGTTGGGCTTTTGACTTGGTAATCTTGACTCATTTTTAATAGGTTTTAACTATTAAATAAACAATTTAATTAAAAATAACTAAAATGGGCCAATTTAATTTATTCACCCAATTTCATTAATTTTAATTAATAGTCAAATTAGCATCAAGTCAATAAATTGACTTTTGACCCATATATTATCCAACGTGGCACTTATATAAATTTTTCTTGCTTAAAGTATTAATTTAGAGTATGAAAACTAGATTTGAGCTAGTACAAATGTACAATCATTAATTAACATAGAATCTACCGCTAGATGGCCTACATATGCTATTCAATTTGCTTCTCGATTTGCTTCTCTATAGACGCGTTATTTTGATGCTCCAATTGTCAAAGTTTGTCAATTGAATATGAGAGTCTTCATTCTTCAATGATGTTTTGGACTTGTCATGGGGTGGACCACTTGCATGTAATTTAATTGCATTGCCACTGAATAAGTTGTCACCTTCGATTTGGATGCTTGGACACTCTATTGAAGCGCTAGCATTATGCCTTTATCAAGAGAAGTTGCTTCTTCAACAAACACCTTTGTATTATTCCAAGGTTGTAAGTTGGTGCCAATAATAGTGCACCTTTGCTGTCCTTGATGATGACGTATGCTGCTGGTGAATTGTTTTGAACCGACCCATCAATATTTAGTTCGAAGAAATTTAGAGGAGAGGGTTCCCAAACAACTAGAATAGAGGAAGGATGATGGTGATGTTGTTGCTTTAGGTATCTAAAGTATTTTATTTATCATAAATAAATGCTATTGTGAAAAATCTGCCATAAGAAAAGTGATAGTTTCGAAGGGATATCCACTTCCATAACCAAGGATATGTCGAAAGATTGTCATTTGGATTTAAATTAGGGGTTATTCAATTAGTGGATTTTACTTAAACATTTTTTTGAGGGGGTTGGACCCCAAATGGGCTTATCTTCAATGTTAGTTGAAGGGAGGGGGATCCCTACTACTTGTGCAACTATTTCATCAAGAGTAAGATATGTTAATTTTAAGTCTATCCCAGTGACTGTGTTAGAAGAATGAATTATATGGTTAAAATTGCAAATACGGTTATTTGTATATTTCGTATTTATTTGTATTCCACAAAAGAAACGACCTTTTTATAGAATAGTGGCAATTACTTAATCTTGACTCAAGCCTTTAATATTTTTTTCCTAGTTACGTATTTTATGAGTTAATTCTTATAGATAGTTTGATGTAAATTATAGTCCTAATGCATATGATTAATACCTAAATTTATATTGTAAATGAAGGTATAAAGTATGGAGTACAAATGCGGGATGTATCCAAGTTCATTTATAACAACAGGGTGTATCCACTATTATTAGCTCATCTTATATACTTTAGTTTGAATGTATCAAAGTTCTTTAGTTATGTATAGAATATATCAATGTCCTCTATTTATGCTTTATTTTTTCACAAAAATTTAAATCTATATATTAAGTACCATTAATCATACTTGTCACTTTCTTTCTAAAGGGACATAATGACAAAATTTAGAGAGTAAGAAATTCCATAAAACACATAATTTATTTCCAACATGTACATGGTCTTGCAAAAAAAAAAAAAGGTTCATTTTTTACAAGGCGATATGAATGATACAACTTAGGCATTGTTTGTGAATAAAGTCCAGGGAGGTATATAGCTTTTGTGGCTTGATACAAACCGAATACAATACAAGAGAGGTATAAAAATTGACTAATGGGTTATGCCTAAACATCATGTTTAAAACTTTAAATTTTGGTACAAGATTGAAGTGAAAAAAAGACAAACATTTAATTTCCACCACCTCAAATGAGTCCCCTTCTTACCTTTAAACTCGAGAAATTTATCTATTATACTTTATATAATAACCAAGAAAAACATACCCTTTTTACCTCAATAGGTTTTGCTACCCACCCATCAAAATTAAGCCCAGTAGTCCAATAGACCAATACAATGCACACCTATTTTCACAACTTTTGTGGCTAGCAGAATTGGTAAACTCAGATAAAAAAATACTGAGTTATGAGAAAAACGAAAGCCCCTTCAAAAAAAAAAAAAAAAAAAGCACAAGCGTCCAACGTCGGCGATGAACACCCCGTATATAAATTGGAAAATTTAACCAACGTCGACTAAATTTTCTCTCTCCTCTGATTCATCTTCAACATCTCGAGCTTCACTTTAATGGAGGAACACAAAGCACCGGCAACCGCCATTGCAGCTTCTCTCCAAAACCTTGCTCTTGATTCTTCCGCCACCCCCGCCGCCTCTTTCTTATTCCCAGGTCCACTCTCTCTCTCCTTCTCTCTTATTCTTGAATTGTTGATGTTTGATTGCAATAGACACTATTGGGTGTGAAAAATTGTAACTTTGGACTTTTATCGTGTAATAAAGCTTATAAATTGTTTGATGACTAAATTGCTTAAGAGGGTACTAGTATCGACAAGATTTGATCTCAGGACGGCCCTCAATTGACATTGGTATAGTTTAATTGCCGCAATACTGCAATAAACAATACTGAAAGTTGTAACTTTGGACTTCTTGTTGTCTAATAAGGCTTAGAAATTGTTTGATGAATAAATTTGTTAAAAGGGTACTAATGTGGACAGGATTTGATCCCAGGTCTCGGGCTGTATGTCCCTAGTTGAAATTGATACGGTTACTGACAATACTGGGTGTGCAAAGTTGTAACTTTGGACTTCTTGTTGTGTAATAAGGTTTATATATTGTTTGATGAATATATTGCTTTAAAGGGTACTAGTATAGACAAGAATCGATCCGAAGTCTCAGACCGTATGCCCCTAATTGACATTGGAAGTATAAGGCTAAATTTGTGACTGAATTGGGTATCTTGCACTGTTGTATAGGTAGATAGTTGAAGGCCATGATGAGTGGTTTTGAGCATAGAAGAGCAAATTGATGTTGAATGTCCTTGGTGCATCAATTTTTTTTTGCTGATTGTTTGTTCTGTCATTGGTCTTTTTGCACTGAAGTGCGAAGGGCATGCTTGTAGACATGATTACACATTTACATCCCACAGCATAGCTTTACCAGCTAATCTTGTTGGTATTGTGCGAGGTTTAATAAGTTACCAAGTTTTCAGTATCTTTCGCTGTTAATTTAGTTAGATGGTTGCAATCCTTGACTAGTGTTTAGGTTCAATAGAACACATTGATGTTGTTTTATGTTTTTCCTTTTTGCATCGACTATAATAAGATATGGTTTGATTGTAAAATGTGATATGTGGATGCTAAAGCAAAACCCTAGTGTTCTTCAACTCTATTTCTTTTTAGATTTTTTTTCTTAAAATTTAAGGGATATGATTGTGTACATCTGACCCTCACTAAGTTGCTGAAGTATATGGCAATGTGTATGATATGGCCTTATTAGTTTAGTGTGATTTTATTACAGTCCTTCCACTTAAAAGAACAAAGCCTCCGAGTTTGGTCAGCTTATGCATTGCTGTCATTGGGAAGCATTTGGAGGATCTCATTCCCGAGTTGGGCGAGATTGCTATTGGTTTTCCGGCACATATTAAGGTTCTGTTCTAATTATTCTTCATTCATTTTTTGGTTTAGAAGATGATATCGACTATCGAGTACTATGTGTTGTACCTCATGTGTAGATTCATAGAGGGAAATTAGAAATTTAGAATTAGCTGTTTATGTCCATTTGAACCTTGAGGGTTTGATTATTTTGTACCATTTGTTGTTTTAATCAGAAAAGTCATGTTTTGATCTCAAATCCAACCTGGGTTACAGGCTCAGTTTTTTATTGAACTAAAGCTGTAGGTCATGAATTCATGATCAGGCATTTGCATGCAAAATATGTCTATGAATTTAATTTGCGCTCCCATAGACCATAGTCTCATTAGTTTACTTGTACTTTTTGTTTAAAGATTTCTGCATATGCTGTTAGTAAAGATTAACTGCAAAATAAAATAGGTTTAGATACCATATTGTTGTCCTTGTGAACAGAAGCTATACGAAGGTTGCAAACTATACTGAAAGAAAAATTACCAGTTTCTTGTAGTATCCTCCGTATCTCTTCTAATAATAAGTAGGTTTCTTGTGCACTTAGCTTCAGGCTTCATTCCCTGGATCAGTAGGTCAAAATCTTTGTAGAACCCTACAGCCAAGATTTTAGATTTGTAGTCCATTGTATTGCGTCAAGTAGAGCCATTGCCTCTGCTTGGATAAAGTTTCAGCTACTTAACTTTATTAGACTTTCATCCAAACTGTAAGTGTAATCAGGCTCCCAATCCCTGCTTACAATGTCACATTTTCTTTTCATTTTTTTGTAAGCTCTGTTAATCTAGATGATGAGCTGCACCTGGAAATTGCCCTCCCTTCCAAATTCATGATGGTGTAGAAGGCTGAATTCAAAGAGAGCTGAACTATTGCTTTGCATGCGTCCATAACTTCTAAATATAAATAAGATCCCTCATCTCCCATGTTATGGATGCTTCTGCTGTGGTCTGAATTTATTGTTACTCTCTTCCATTAGTGGCCAGGGTTTATCCTTCTCCCTCTGATAAAGTAGCAAATAAATACTATGGACCAAAATATTGCGGTTATCAGCATCACTTTTCATTCACCATAACCGTCTTTCTTTTCAACACGCTTCAATGTTTGTAGTCTCACCAATTGGTTTAAGTGTTGAGTTATCTCTCCTTTGCTTCTTCTAATAATAATATCAGCAGAGAATTCTTATATGGAAACCTTAAACACTGTGGTTGGGTAGAAGAGAAGTTGTGCAGCTTCTTACCTAATATAGCTATCAGGACCTCCTTAAAGGCACATTTATTTCTTGGCCTCAGCCCACCAAATCTCGTGAGTAATTGTACTTTTTTACTCTACTAATGCATCTTTCATACCTTAAGCAGCGATCAATTTGTTTTCCGTTCTTCCTTGCCGTTAGAGCATAGAGATTCAATCATTCAAGGCTGTAAAGATACTCTCTAGGAGTCCTATTTTCCCTGATTGTGAAAATACTGGTTTCACGTAAAGAAATCTTCTTTAAGATCCAGTGGACCGTAGAGTTAAAATTTGCTGTACAATTGCCCCTTACTGAGATTGGAACCTCCAACTAAGAGTCCATTGTGTTTATACTCTATGGATATGCTCCAGCTCCTTTACTAAGGGCTGGTTTTTAAGTGTGGCTTTATATACCAAAGAATTTTCAAAATTAATCAATTCACTCAATTTGTTTCATAACCAGGTGATTGTGTTTGCAAATTTTTACATAATATTTTTGTTGCCTCTAGGAGAAACCGAGAATCATATGTCTCATCTGAGGGGAAAAAAAGATCTAATTTCAGGCCATCCATTGCCAGTTTTATCACCTTAGTAGAAGAATTCAGCTTCCTTATAGCTGAGAGCTATTGATAGTAATCTTTGAGCATGAGGAATAAGTGATACCGGGGATGGGGATGCTGTTAGACGGTTGATTTTTGGCAAAAATATTTGTTTTAAGTAAATTTACATCTAAAACTTTTCTTTTCTTTTTTTTTTTAATGTAAGATGTAAGAAGTATTTGGTTCAACCATTTGTAAAATACTCATTTGATCACTCTCCTGTAAGTCTTTAGCTTTGTGAACTACACAATTTTGATAGTTTCAGACCATTCAAAAAAGAACTCAAGTAATTTTAGAAAAACAAATAGAAGGATAGATATACTATAAATAGAGAGTTACACATGGATGAGCATTCAAGAGGCTCACTTTTGTTCCAAGCGAAGAGTTACAACTCCCTGGTTATAGAAAATACTAGGCTTAGGCCTATGCTGAGCATTTCCACTTGGAATAGCATTCGAACTCTCTATGCCCCTTTTTATTGTACTATCTGCTGTCACCAGGATTCCCTCATATTCTCTTCCAAGATGATTACTGTTACACCTCTTACAAAAGAATCGTCTTTCCCTATTGTTTTCTTTAGACTATCAACATCCTGTTTACCCTTTTCAGAAAAGTTTCCACTTCTAGGCTTCTTAGAGTTGCTTTGGTTATTAGAATCCCGAAGTCTTTCCTCCAGGATTGCTACTTTCAAATGTGTCTTTAACATGTAGATCATATAAATGCGCAGCTCTTTGATGCAACTTGCCTAAGGTGTTGAAAACCTTCCTCGCCAAATCTTTCTGCACTTGCTTAGTCAACCCTCAAATATCTGAACTTTCAATTCTTCAATAGGGACAACTTTCGGGCGGGGTCATGAATCTATTGTAGTAATCTAAAATCAAGGAACAAGTTGATGAACTCTAGAACCTTCTGCTTTTTCAGGAAAGGAGGATAAAGTTTATCTATCTACACAGTCAAGGTTTCCCACCCAAAGTTCGGTTGGGTTCTATTCCTCTCAGCCTTATCTTTTAAATATGTAGCAGCTTCATCCCCTCTTCAGCGCTACAAACAACTTATTAAACTCGCACACCCAATTCTCCAAGAAGGTCAGGTCAGCACCCCCTTTATAAACACAGGTGGCCTTACTTGGGCAGTTAGCCAGTTTCTTAAACATTTCAGTGGTGGATCAGGTTGTTCCACACGATTCTGGTTCAAATTTTGAGCTAGCATTCTTATTGCATCGACTAAAGCAGCATCGTTACGTGCCATATTGTCCCTACACCTGAAAGCAGTAACCATTCCCTCAGGCTTAAATTGAAATGGGAAAATGCTAATCAGGCATAGGCACTTAGTCACAAAATTGCTTTTATAGCACATAAATTGTTCCAAGAGGGTATTTAGCGATGCTATAAGGATGCTAGCCCAGAATTTGAACCAGAACGTTTGGAACTACCTGATCCACGCAATGAAATATTTAAGAAACTGGCCAAGTGAGACCAAAAGTGACTGCTGACCCCACCTTTTGGAGAATTGGGTACACGAGTTTAATAAGTTGTTTGCAGCCTAAATAGGGCATGAAGGTTGATCAGACTGCTATGTATTTGAAAGATGAGGCCGATATATGGTGGAAAGATACTGTGGAGAGGATTGGAGCCCAACCAAACTTTGGGTGGGAGACCTCTAATACCGTGTCGAGAAATAAATATTACCTTCTTTTCCAGAAAAGCATAAGGCTTAAGAGTTCATCAGAAGACGGGTCGTATGTCGATTTTAGATAACTACAACAATTATACGACTCTATCCAGGTTTGCCCCAAAAGTCATACGAAGAGTTGAAAGCTCAGAGTTAAGCAACTGCAGAAAGATTTGGCGGAGAAGGTTTTAAAGACCTTAGACATAGTATATGAAATAATTGCGCATTTATATAGTTTGAATGTTAAAGACGCATCTGAAAGTAGAGTAGCAATGTTGAAGAAAAGAGGAAAGACTTTGGGATGGTACCGAAAGTAACTCTAAGAAGCCTAGAAGTAGAAACTTTTCTGAGAAGGGTAACCAGGATGTTGATAGTTCGTCTAAACCAAACTTTTTTCTGTGTATATGTGTGTGTGTGTGTGTGTGTGTGTGTGTGTGTGTGTGTGTGCGCGCGCGTGATGGTGGGTGAAGAGACATACTTGACTGACATTTTCTGTTGTTAGTTTTATCAAATCATTGATGTCTACAAAATTGTGGTTATTTTGAATTCTTTCTCAGTTTTGTGTACTTACAATTTTTTTTATTGTATCATTGTTATAAACTACAGCTGTCAATTGCTGCAGTTGCTAGGAGAAAAAAGCTTCTAAATGATGAAGTAATCATCTCTCTTGCTGATGGCACCTGGGAAATCCTTGACGTTTCTTGTACAGATGTTTCAGATTTTGGTCTTGCAAAGGTGGCAGAGATGTGTCCAAATTTGCGAGCAGTGAATATAAGGTTTGAGTTTTGATTGGGATGGCTGATAATCTGAGTAAAATGAATAACAAATCGCAGCCCATCATAAATTTAGGATTTCTGCTTAATTTTTTTGGGCCTTTTGTTTGATGATTTTTTTGTCAAATAACTGTTTGAACTGACAAAAAAGTTAAAACATTTGTTTTGCTTGTTTCAATGCTCTAAGAATTTCAGCAGCTTGCTGTATACCCCCCCCCCCCCAACCCACACACACACACAAGAAAAAAAGTAAAAAAGAAAAAAGGGGTTCAACTTTACAAAGTTTTGTAGTATAATTAAAGTTATGGATACTTTAGTCGAAGATGATCCTGTCTACTGATGCATTCTATAACATGTTCATTTTAGATTACGTGGATAGAACATAGAACTTGGCTGCTCCTTTCTATTATTGTTGTATCTGTTGTATGAAATAGCTAAGTTAATTCCTTTCACAGCCAATGCAGCAGAATCACTCCTAATGGTGTCTCTCAACTGGTGAAGCATTGTCAATCTTTGGAAATATTAAGATGTGGGTATGCACTTGTTTCTTTGACTAATATCTGGCCTTTAAATTTGTAGCTGTACTGATAGTGGAAGTACTGAACCTTGTGTAAATGATAGTTATATGTTTTAAATTATAAAACATCTCATTAATTTGTCATATCGTCCACAAATCTACTTTTGACAGAGCCAAACGAATTTAATTTATTTTACTTTTTTTAATTGGGGGGGGGGGAGAGGGGGCAAATAGATTGTGGAAAAGTCTTACTTATTTTTTTGTTTATAGATTGCTTAGACTTTATTGTTCTTTATTATATTAATTGTCATCCCAAATGACGGGGTTGTCCAGGATGTGGGTTTTTTAATTGCAACTTGGAAGAGGCTATGAACCAAACTTAATCTTGCAGAGGGTGTCCTCGGAGTGATTACACTGGAAGAAGAAGCTTACACTTATTTAAACCAGATCTGAACAATTTGGAAGGAGATTCGTGGGAGGAACTCGATACCACAGAGTTTACTCATGGTGGACAATCCCTGAGATGGCTTGTGTGGGTATGATTATTATCTTGTTTTTAATTTCATCATTGCAACATACCTCATATTTCTTCTAATGGGCCATGGCAACAATTATTGATCAATCACTTATATATACCTCTCTGTGTGCTATTCACATCCTGTCTCCTACCCATGTGCTCTTCTCATAAGCACTTGGGGATTTAAATGTGACAAGGTGTTAAATGCAAGTCCACTTTTAATAAACAATTATTGATCAATCACTTACAGTTGTCCTCGCAAACTTCTTAGTGTACCTATAATGAGGTAGTTGTTTTACCGTTCTTGTGTTAGTGGCTGATTATAATTGTTATTAACTCAGACTTCCTCATGTGTAATCATGCAAAATTTAAGGACGACACCATATTACCACGGATAGAAAACAAGTTTGTGTAGTATTTACATTAATCCTTGATGTCATATCAACAAGTATTCTTCCTCCTTGAGCAAAGCTTTCTTTTTACATCAAGTTGTCTACTTTTGTTTAACCAGTACATAATTGATTTATGGTGAGTAAATGCTGTACATCAAATGTTCTTTCACTATTAAAAGTCCTGCTTTGCCAACATACCATTGCTGCCTTTCTTTCAATTTTCTGCTGAGGGTGTTAATTAGGTCAATATGACAAAGCTTAATATTTGATTTGCTATGTATAGAAAGTGACCTACTTGTATTATTTTGGCACGTTTTAAAGTAGAAATGTGACCTGTTATTCAGGGATTATGGAAATTGCAAAAAGATTAGAAATTCCGGTTACACCAGACCTTACTGTTCACATGCCTAAATCTCAATTACAGTCTTTAATACTGATGTGTACACCATTAGTGCTGTTAATCTTTTGTAAAATACCAGGATTGGAAAATTCTTGATTAATGGATTTAGCATATATGAGGTCTGCATCCTTGTCTACTTCTGTAGTTCTGTAAGACTTATTATTCACCTCTAATATTTCTTGCTATTTTCAGCCAAACATTGATCCTGATTCTTTGGAGAATTTCTCCTCCGAATGCCCTCGTGTTATAGTCAACCCAAATCCTTCACCTTTTGACTTCAAGGAAGTTGCTGTCCCCAAGGAAGCTCTGCCAAACACAGTTTTGGATGAACATGCTGTTGAGGATATAGACCCCACTATATGGGCATCATGTAGACCAACAAGAAAAATTCTACCGATCATTTCTACTCCCAGCGAGTTGTCCATGGCTGAGAAGTTTAGGTTAGCATTTGTTGAGAGAGATACAAGGTTGGCTCCTAAACGAGCCAAGAATGCAAGGCAACATCAGCGTCGTGCAGAGAGAGAGTGGATGATGACCTCAGAAGCCAAAGCTATATCTCATGCTTCACGGGCAAACAAATCACGTGGTAGAAGCTAGCGTTGCAATTATATTTGATGGCCTCTTTTCTTTCTTTTAGCCATTTAGTTTACTGTTATAATCTTTCTGATATTAATTGTTAAAATGCGGGGGAGAAAAGAACACTTGGTATCTTACTATCTTGGTCAATTGGATTACCTTTAGTGGTATACTTGAGGAAGTTATAGGCAGGGGACGCAATGTATTACGTATGTATGACAATGAAAACATAAGACGTAGCTCTTAAGTTTGTATATTGTACAAATGTACAGTTTTACATTAGTGTGTATGTTTGGATACTTTGATAAGTACTCTGTGATGATCCATGTCTCTATTGTCTGTTCAAATCGGGGCAAATAAAATGAGATTGGGCGAGTAATTTCTTGTATGATTACTTTTTAAAGGGAAGCTAATAAGAGAAAAATATTGGGATCACTATATGAGAGTTATAGTCTTGCATGGCCATTTGTGTATAAAACTATGGGGCAAAATGGAAGGAACAAATTAGAAAAGAAATTTGGGTAAATATTAGAGGGACAGATTTTATGAAATTGCTACTCTTTGAGGATGTGAAAAATTGTTTTGCAAGAACTAATATTTGTTGAAACTTAATTTGAAATATAGAACAGTTGTGATAATATCATAAGCTAAACTGAGTTGAAAAATATTTTGTGCTTTGTAAAACAAAATTTACTTATACAGTATTGAGCTATCAGAGTACAAGAAATTTGTCAGTACAAGAAATTAAGAAAGACTGATCAATTAACAAGGATGAAGAAAAGTACTCATGGTTCATGAACTCTGTTAAATCAAGATCTTGTAAACGCGTATGTGATCTGGATGGATCACTAGTACGATGTTGAATACGAGTAAGGTTTTATTGAGTTGTTCGCAGCTAAGTTATTTTCCCTCACTCATAAATAGACTATTTCCCGATAAGCTCCTATGATCCAAATGTTCAAGATGTCAAGTTAGCACAAAAGGTACTCAAGTGATGAACATACTTTAAGCTGTCATTCTGATCTTTCAGTTTTTCATGAGGTGTGACTGTTAACTGTATTTGGTAAATCAAGCAAGGGTCGAATTCTCCAACAAAATTTTGGTGTGCAATCTGTGCATCATAATTCTAGTTCATGTACAAACGTTGTTCCTTCAACAAATGAATTGAACAGCTTTTTTTACATCTTCAAAATTCTCCTCTTTATTCAATATTTTCACAATTGTGCCAATAGATGGAATTCCTCAGTTCAATCTGATCAGTTGACAGTTTATGAGCACATACAGTTCAGAGGATGGAAGACTAATTAGTACCACGTACTCGTACTTTCAACTTAAAAATTGCAAAAACTCTCTGTGGCACTCTTCATTATTAAAGTTGGAGTCGACTCTTCAAGAAAAGTAGGTCCATTGTGTCTAAAACTCAATTGCAGTAAACAATCAACAAAAGGAAGAAACTTGGATCAACAAACTAGCCATGTTTTAATCCGATGCCAATCTAATCAAATGGTACAAGAGCTTCAGCTCCAGCAACAATCTCCAACAGCTCTTCAGTAATCTTCATCTGCCTTTCTCTATTGTACGCAATAGAAAGTGTCTTCTTCAACTCCATAGCATTCTCATTGGCATTGTTCATGGCATTCATCCTCGCTGCTAGCTCACTCGCCAGTGACTCCTGCAAGGCTCTCAGTATCTGGCTGTTTAAATATAGAGGCATCATTGCATCAATAATCTGAACCGGGTCCTGCTCAAACTCCAAAAGAGGCTGCACTTCCTGCTTCCTTTTCTCAACTCTCAGTCTTTCAACTGCTAACTTCCCTTCCTTACTCGTCAGCCTGAAGAACTCATCCTCCACTGCATCAACACTATTCCCATAAGCGTCAACAGCCTTCCCCTTTGGCGAAAGAGGAAGCAAAGTCCGAATCACAGGATCAGACCTAACCAATGACACAAACTTAGTATACAACAGCTCAACCTTATCAACCTCCTCACTCACAAAAAGAGAGAAAACATCATCAGCAATCGTCTGTGCCTCTCTAGCAGTCGGAAAACCCTCCCCCTCTACGAATCGATCCACAGACACACTAGACACCCGCCTCGAAAAATAAGCATTACCCTTCTTCCCAACACTTATAATTGTACAACCTAAACCAAGTTTCTGCAATTCCTGCATCCTACTCTCAGCTTTCCTAATAACTGCACTATTAAAACCACCACAAAGCCCTCTTTCGCCGGTAATTACGACAAGGGCAACTCTTTTAACAGTCCTAACACTAGCTAAAGGAACATCTACATCTTCTAATTGAACACTTTGATTAATATTGTACAACATATCAGCTAAACCCTCAGCAAAAGGTCTGCCATTAATAACAGCTTCCTGAGCTCTCCTAACTTTAGCAGCAGCCACAAGTTTCATGGCTTCTGCAATTTTCTGGGTATTCTTCACAGTATCGATTCTATCTCTAAGCTTTCTAATGGTACATCTGATTTGAAATCGGGAACTGGGTTTTGGTGAATTGGGGAATTCATGAAATGGGTTGAATATTGTTTCAGAAAAGATTGGAGATTTGGGGTTAATTGAAGGGTTTAATGGTACCCGAAATACAGAATTTGAAGAACAAAACATGGTGTATGTAAAGTTTAATTACTCAATTCAATCAATGTTAAACTTCATGATAAAATCAAATTACAGACTAAGTGCTCACCAGCTGAGAAGATAATCAAGATATAGTTGATCTTGTTCGTGGCTGCTTGCAACAGTACTTTGGAATTCTACGACAAAATTATGTTGATTTTTGGTGGAATAATTAGGTTGGAAAATTGGATACTCCGTACTATGAACTATGAATTGAACTCAATGTAAAACTTGTACTTTGTATATTTTTCTATAAAAAAAAAATATTTAATTGAAATTTATTTTATTAAACTAAACTAAACTTATTTGAAGAAGGGAGAGAGAACATGTTTTTAAAAAAAAAAAAAAAAAGAGTGAACATGGTAAGAACCGTAAGGTCATATTTGGTTGACAAAATAAACACTAACTAGCCTTCTGGTCTGTGCAATGCACGGATTGTTTAAAGGTATATAATACGAATTTTAATTTATACCAAATGCGTAAAGGTTATTGTTTTGAATTTTATAAAAAATAATTTATTAATAGAAATTTAGAAGCTATTAGGTTTTATATAAGAAAACGAAAATATAAGCTTAGGTTAGTACCCGTATATGTCTTCAAAAAAAAAGGGAAAAAAAAAAGGTTAGTACCCGTATATGAACTCATATACATTTGTCCTTTATATTTTTGTTGCCACACTTTGACCGGCATTAAATGAAAATAAATTTAGTTGATTTATATTATTTTAGGATAATTAGTATTCCATAATCAACTTTTTTAAAATGTATTTATAGTGAGTAGTAGCGGTTTTTATTTTGATTTTAATAATCACATTGCATAACGATTAATGTTGGAGCTTGGAGGAAAAAATTGATACTCCTTAATATTATAATAATCTTGGACAATGATATATTTAATACCTTATTTTTAATCTATGTTTGTATACTTGTAACTAAAAGATTAAAGTATATAGAATATATGTTAAAAAAAATATATTAATTGGTATGATTGGATTAGATATGTTGTCAAAATAGAAATAAGTATTATTGTAGCTTATAAAATGAAAGTCATTTAAATTTGGTAAAAATAAAAAATAAAAAAAATAAAAAAGGAAAGTGCAAAAAGGAGGGAAAATTATTAATGACATTGTGACAAATGTCATCTTAGATTCGCTTTTAGTATAGTTTAATTGATTAAAGCTAGTGTTTTTTTGTTTTTTGTTTTTTTTTTTTTTAATATGAGAAAGGAAATTCAAAAAAGAAAGGTTAAATAAGGTGACATGTGAGCATGTAGCATTGGTGAAAAATACAGTTTACATGTGGCATGATGATTGGGGATGATGGTTTGTGTTTTTAAATACTAAGTATGGATAATATAGAATCTTTACATGTCATGTTAACGTTGCAGAGGCTATATATTTAATTTGTTTTTAAGCAGTTTTATATATTTATCTTTTTTATGTATTTGGGAAATGTTCATGGTTTTGAGTGAACTCTTGTATTGGGGTGAGAACTTAAATGAGTTATTTGTAAAGCTTTGAGTGAAGCTTATGAGAAAGAGATTAGTAAGGCTTTGAGTGAAGTCTTGAGTGAGAAGAGAGATCATTGAGAATATGAGTTCGTTGAGTAACTCGATAGGCTCAAGTTTCTCATAGGTTGTAATAGAGTCGTTGGCCTATTTTAGTAGAATGTTTTGAGTCAAAATCCCTTTGAATCGAGGTTTTTCATTTCCTATTTGGCCTACGAAGTTTTCCTCGTAAAACATCTCTTGCACTATTTCTCTATTTGCGTTAAGTTTCTTTTAATTCCGCAAAAAGTGACTAGCAAGCTTCATACTACAATTCACCCCCCTCAGAAAATCAATCATTTAACTACTAACAAACATGTGTTGGCGTACTTCTACATTATAAGCACATCTAAGAATAGTGATTTCAACAAGTTAACATAAAAACAACCAAATAAAATTACTGCACAAAATAATGATTATCTTCATTTTATATTAGCATAAAATTAAAGGTTATACTGATATGAAAAAATTATCAAATTGATCTAGGTAATTTTCATAGCATAATTGATTCCCTATTGAAGGTATATCAATCACCACAAAGATATTCCAGATTATAGGGCCTTTAAAACAGAAAATTTTGAAAAATACTAGATAATATAAATCGGTTTATAGTCTGCATAGCAAATCATGATCGCTTTCACACTGACAATAGTACACATTTTCATTTTGTAAATTCAATGAACCCAGAATTATGCTTTCAACCCATATATTCCCAATTTTTGTGCAAAGTAAAAGCAAATAGCTATTTTCAAAATGCAAATATGCATCCATAAACAAGGTTGTCTAAGACATCAACATCAATACATCATCAAGAAAACATAGCAGGCTAGCAGCAGTTTTAACTCTGAAAAAGGTAGTTGTTCTTCAAGCACTTCCAAAAGCTCAAAAAACTTTGGTAGAAACTAAAAGAGAGAAAATGGGAAAGAAATTAAGAAATACACATTTACTAACTTCAATTCAACATACTTAAAAAAGCATGAGTGAAAGTTACTTTTGTTAGAAGTTAATCTAGAAAAATCTAGATGTGCAATGAAAAATTTAAAGAATAGTTTAGAATATTCTAGAAAAGGTAGAAAATTTAGAGAGGTTTGTATCTAGAAATTTCTTGTAAAATATTTAAGATGAGTGATGTAGAAATATGTAATATTAAACAAGTGTAGATTAATCTAGAGAGTGGAGAACAACAACTATAACTATGTTGTATGTGCGAGGGTTAGGAGGTGAGCCAAACAAGAGAGCTCCACCAAAGTTAAATTATGGATGCAGTGACAAGAAAGTCGCACGATAATTTGAAAAATATTCTTAAACAATTTGATTTATATTTAGATATATTAAAAAGATCAAACACCTTTGCTTAAAATCCTTCTAATATCCAATAATATGGGTAGCAACTAACAAGTATTTAAAAAGTTATATAAATTGATAAGAAGTTAGAACATGATTTCATTAAATACTTTAAACAATTGAACCCATAACCTCTTACAACAAATAATAACACATTAACTAATAGATCAATTTATCTCCCTTTTATTAAATAATATTAAAAAGTGGGGGATAACTGTCCTCTTTGAAGACCAAAATTATTGTGTGAAGGTTTGAACCTACTACTTTTTGCATAAATTACATGCATTACCATGACAAAGCTATATTAATGTTATTTATTACATTAAAATTGTATTTAACCTACAAATTTATATTTTTACCTTAATTAATAAATAAAAAAATTATTTTTTTTGGGGGGGGGGGGCGGTGCAACCCAGGACCCTTAATAGGTCCGCCCCTACATCTGGCATCTCTCACAAACATGTTTATACAACGTATGATGAAATTCATGAAAACATAAAATTGTTATATAATATTTGAGTTCATTTAACATTCGCGTGAGCCCAAGAACTTTTTCTCTCTTTATTGGAAAGTGGTGCGATGGTAGAGGAGGCAAGTGGTGGGGCGGTAGAGGAGGCAGATGGTGTGGTTGTAGAGGGGTGGTGTAGTGGTAGAGGAGACAGATGAAGCAGGTTTGTAGGCGGGTGCAGGTTTCTTGGCGAGGGCCGAGATATTAGGCCCGTACATTTGTGGTATTGTTTGTAATTAAACTTCTTACCCCACAATCAAGACATTTGATGTTTCTTGTTTCTTACTACATTCTTTATCAGTAATTTTGACATAAAAAAATCCTATGAATTCTTTATACTCATTAAAATAATTTTAAATTGCACATAAAAATACTCTAACAGCGCTATTTATAATCTAACTTAAAAATGTCGCAATAATATGAGATGTCATGGAAATTTCTCATTGGAACTTAGCAAAAACGAATTTGAATTACAGTAACATTTAGTTCAACTAGAAATTAGAGGACACAATTCACTTAGATACACATAAGCTTAAATCAAATTTACAGACTGACATGAAAATTGAGAGAAATTTTAGTTCGGCCACTAATTAACAGAGGAATTGATTCACATAAATATGTAATAAAATTGAAGTTTCTCGTCGAAAATTTCAAATGAAACAAAATTTCTCATAAATTTATGAGAAATTCCTTCGACAATCAAGTTTAATTCACACCGATTTATAATCTAATTAACTTGAAACTAATTTCACAAAAATATGAGATGACAATGAAATTTCTCATCGGTAATTAGGGAAAACGTATTCGAATTTGAAAAAAAAAGAATTAACGAACCCACTACTATTTGATTATTTCTCTCTCCTACCAGAGCAATCACACTACCTTTTGTATTATTTTTCATTCATACTCGTACAAGCTAACAATTAAATATATCTCCACTGACTGTACTCTATACCTTATACGAGTATTATGAAATTTTTCATCAAATTCCCCACCCCATAATTTTCCTAAAATTTTATGCCTTTCCTATGATTGCAATTATTAGAAAACAAAGAAATATATATATTAGACCGGCTGCATTTATTGGGTCAGCAACATTATTGGGTCAGCTGCATTTATTAGGCTAACATCATTTATTAGGTTGGCCGCATTAATTGGGTTGGCAGCATTTATGAAATCGGTTTGAATAGTGCCTGAGTTGGGGCTATATATAGCCATGAAACATGAGCTATTCCATCACACCTCCTACTTCTCTTCTTACTTTCCTTCTCCTTTCTCCTTCCTCCTCCATTTTCACCTCCTTTTTAAGCTTTCATTTTGTAGTCTTGAGCTCCTCATGAGCACCTCCTCGTCGCCACCCTATTACCACCATTTGGCCACCACCTTGCCGCCACCTCCTTCCTTGCGTTGCACCGTACATAAGCCATATATTTCTCATTTTAGTACTACTACTAAGTACTGGTAATACTACTACTACTACTACTACTACTACTATTACTCTCAACTTCTTCTTCTACTACTACTACTACTACTACTACTACTACTACTACTACTACTACTACTACTACTACTACTACTACTACTACCACCACTACTACTACCACTACTACTACCACTACTACTACTACTACTAAGCACTAATAGTACTACTAAGCACTAATAGTACTACTACTACAACTACATCTACGTATTACTACTACTTCCTATATTATTATTATTATTATTATTATTATTATTATTATTATTATTATTATTATTATTATTATTATTATTATTATTATTATTATTATTACTATCACTATCATTGTTACTAATATGACTACTACTACTCACATGTACTACTACTACTTACGTAGCATTACTACTACCTTATTATTATTATTATTATTATTATTATTATTATTATTATTATTATTATTATGAATTATTAAAGATTATTTTATATATACAAGTGTTAATTTTATAAAAGGGTTATAATAATAAGTTATTCATGCACAACTAGTCAAAGTCGATAGTCTAAGTCCTTGTATCTATGGGTTGAAAAGTATTTGATTAGGATTATTGGTTTGTTGTAGGAGGTATTTCCGGTTCGTAACTAGGAACCCCGTGTTTGTTTTGCAAAGATCAAGGTACGTACACGTGGCTAGATCTTTTAAAAAGTGGCTTTTATATGCAACGTGTTTTACATGTTAAGTGATTTCGAACCATGTTTAAATAATTGTGAAATATATTTCAGTGAAGCATGTTTTAATCGTTTAATCTCAAATGTTAAAATATTTTATATGGTTGATTATAAACTTGTACTGATATTCAAGATGTTTACAAAAAAAGGGAGTTTTATTATTTATATTATCCCGAGTATGGGATATTGGAAAGTTTATTTAACAGGATTTATTCCTTGGATCTTTGGATTTTCAACTCCCACTGCGCGGAGTAAGTTGAAGACTATGAACTTTGTATGACCTAGTCTTTCCCCTTGATAGCACTATGTAAAGGAGTTACTACCTTGGGAGGTGTGCACACTTAAATGGGAAAATGATTTATGAAAATATGGATTGATCCATCCTATTCGGAATTATCTTTGGAAAGTTGGTTATTTCGGAAATTGGTTCTTTTGACAAGTTTTTTTTATACATAAATTTCTATTCAGGAATGGTTTGGATAAATTATGATTTATTAAAGTTAAATCTCTTCGAAGACATGTTTAATTAATTAAATTGATTTTACATGTCTAGCATTTGTATGTACTTAGCATTTTGGCTAATACGTATTTGTTTTGTTTTGGCTTGGCCCTACTTATCATTTTGATAAGTAGATAGGTGATGGCGATCGGACAACGTGAACTATATGCTGCATTGGGAATGATGCGCGGTGATCACCTAGTTTAATTTAGTATACATAGTATTAGTGGTGTAGCTACTTTGAAAGTGTATCAAACTATTATTATTACTATTATTATTAATGAAAGTTAAGTACTATTTTCCGCTGCAAAACTCTGTTAAGCTTTACGTAATCACGTGGCGGTAATACTCCCATGTTACTCCCTAAGTTGGATACTATTGTAAATATATATATATATATATATATATATATATATATATATGTTTCATGCACAAAGGGAGTATTACATTATAAGCTTCTATCGTATACGGAGTACTTTGTAATTATTAATAACGACTTTATAAATAATTTTGCTATTTTTAATAGGGTAATGCTATACGTAGCCCCTAAAGGCTATATATAAGCATTAAATATACTTTTGAAAATTTTATAAAATTAGGAATTTACGACAAAAGCACGCGTAAATCAGTGTAATTTTAGTGTTTATATTTTCGTGATTTATACCCTTTTATAGTGTGTTTTTAACGCTTTTATGTAACCCTAAGAGCTATCTATACCATTTTTCTTTTTAATAAGTTTCAATCAAATTTAACAACTCCAAATTAATTTCAATCAGATCTTATATTTTTTTATTTATTTTTTTTTGACGGGAAAATCAGATCTCATATTTATTTGGTCTAATATTGTGAATTATTCCATTAAAAAAAAAAAAAATAATAAAAAAAAATGATATGTGAATTACTCAACCACAACCCCGCCTCTTTCAAAACTCAAACCCCAAAATAAACCTCCTTTTTTTTCAAGTTCCCTCCAATTTTTTCCACCCAATTCCCAAAACCTCTCCCTTATAAAACCCCCTCTCATTCCTTCATACCCCTCAAACCCACCAAACACCTCTCTTTCTCTCTCTTTCCAATTCTCCTCTTCTTCTTGTTCTTCATTCATCCCTTAAACAATGAAGAGGAGAATCCGAATCAATTCGCTTCGAACTCATCGATTCAACAAATACGTTAAACCCGGTGCTTTGGCCCGTCTCCGGGACTCCAGAATCCAGTCCAATCTGCTCAATCACAAGATCATCATCCCGAAAATTCGGTCTCCGATATCGACATTGGCACCCCACCAGCAGGACTCCCCGAGTCCTCAGATCGAGTTGATTCCCGAGTTTCCGAGTCTAATTCGTGGGCCCCACTCCTATGGAAGGAAGAAACTCGTCGCCTCCAAAACTGCTTTCATTATCAGTGTTAATCCTGTTCCAGAACCTTCTGATTCTTTCATTAGTGTTCATTGAATTAAACTCAGTTTTTATTTTTACATAATTTTGTGGGAGGGGGTGGGAAATTGTTTGTTGTAGGATGTATGATACTATTAGGGTTTATCTGTATGTGAATTAAATAGTTGAATTAAATGAATACATAATTTTCTTCTGATTTATTTTCTCAATTTATTGGATTTATTTCATGTTTATATGCTTATTTCAAGTGTTAAATGCGTAATTAACATCTGGAGCTATTTTGCAATTATCGGTGATGGAATTATTTTTGTGGGTTGTGTTTAGATAAATGGATTTGTGAATATGCCGTGATAATTAAGGTCGGATTTGCTCCTAATTAACAATAATTTCAATCATTTTTTTATTCATTTAATGTGGTTTAATTCAAGTGATTTAAGTCATTTGCAGGGTGTGCCATGGCGGCACCGATCTGAATAATTAATTTGATGGTGTGATTATGGAGATATTGAATGATTGTTCTTAATTGCTAATTATATGGTTTTGGCTAATTTTACTTTTTACTTATGGAGTATTATGTTTGAAGAATTGAAGTGGTTGGGTTACTTCAAATTTTGCACTTAATGAGAATTTAGCTATTTATTGACATCAATAGAGTTAGTCCTTCTATTTGATTCTAAATGTAAGCTAGTATGGTGTTGCTATGGTGCTATTAATTGATTATAACATGCTTATCTAGTTGAGTGGGAGTGATAGGAGAGCAAGGGACACTTTGATCTCACAACGTGCTGCTCGAGTCATTAATCACACCGGTTATGCTAATGTGCATCATTAATTGTTTGATTTTATACCTATATAAGTGATAATAAGCTTGGATTTGTTTACTGCATACTATCTCTTTTATTCGGCATGGTTGGTAGGTAATGTTTGCTACTGTCCTAACTCATGTGATATGAAATTGGCTTAACATTGTTTTGAGAAACCCCTGCAGCAGACGAAGAGGCAAGCATGCCTTAATTTATGAAGGGGCCTTCAGAATTAGACTATCTTGTGTGTTTCTTGACCAATTTTAGATTTTTTTTCCTTTCTTTGTCTTCTCAAGGTATGGGACTTGGGAGGAAAGATGTTAAGGGTGTTCTAGGAATAAAAAAAATCAGTGATTTTTGACACATCTGTGTACAAAGATGCTTCAAGTCTATTTGACTTTGTGAGCATGAAGGGAGGCTTACTTACCTAGAGCCTACTTTGCGACAGCTTTCCAGATGATGTAATACTTACATCTCAAATGATTTCCTTGAGTGAATTTTGCTATTTATAAACCATTTAGTTATTATGTGACTTTTGAGGTTAATGATATTGCTTTCGATGTTAAACTCTGTTTCCAAATGTTACTGTTATGTGATTTGTATAGATTTGTACTATGGTTATATATGAATAATTGAATACTGCCTTTTGACTCTATGCACATGGGATAAAATAATAAGCTAAGTATGTTGTTGACAGTTAAACTTGTTATTTGTAAGGTTTAACTTGTAATGGGAAAGAATACTTGACATTTTGCACTAGATGTAAATATGTAATAGATGCTATTAGCTAGACTTCACACAGTTGCTAGCTTTGTTTCTCATGACTTGATTCTCCAATAACAATACACTTTGAGTCTAATTGCAAATAACTCGGTGTTGTTTGTCATGTTGCTATTTGGGATAACATCTAAATATCTAATACAAGATTGCCCTCGGTTTTTTTTTTTCTCAAACATAGTTAAGCTGGTATCTACAACTTGCTTCTTGAATCTGTTAATTGTGTTTGGTGCTGTTATTCCGTTAATTGGTATCATATAAAATGCAGGATCACCTTTAGATTTGGTAGCACGCTAATCTACTATCTATATTGCTCCATGAGTGAGTTTGAATTCGTCTATTGCATGCTTTCTCTTAGCCAATGTGGTTGGCAATGTATGTTATTGTTGTAGCTCTTGTGCCATGAAAAGAGCTTTCTATTGTTCAAAAATTCCCTGCAGTGGAAGAGGAGGCTGATGTACTTTTACTAGTTTATGATTTATGAAAGGTCTTTAGCCTGACTAGGACTCTTTTTTTTTTTTCTTTTTCCTTGTGCTTGTCTTTTTCTTTCTTTCTGTTTGCCAGCATTGGGGCTTTGGGGGATAAATGTCAGATATTTAAGAAACAGAAATTAAGTAATAAAGATCTGTATGCAGAAAGAAGATTTCGTTTCTTTTCAATGATGAGGGTATGAAGAATACCCTTCTTTCCTAGAGCTTGACTCACTATGGTGTTTTTTGTATGAAATAATAGCTGAACCTCAAATGATTCTGTGGCCATCTATATTCCATCTTTTATTCATGTAACTTGTTAAGTTTGCTGCTATTCTACCTTGTAAATGTTACTAGTTGAACCTTAATTGATTCCATTAAACAGATAGCTGCGTAGGCTGCATCACAAGAACCCGCCCAACTACTGCAGTGCATTCAATTTCTGTCTTGCAGCTTGTGGTCAGATAAGTGATTTGATGTACATGCCTTTACATTTGACTGACTACTCTTGCTTGAAACTTCTTTGCTTGGTGTCTAGTATTCTGATGACTTTTTGAGTTTTCGCCCTTGTTGGTTCATATCATGTTTGTAATCATCATTGTTTTCATAAATTTATTGCAACGAACTTTTACAAACTTACAATGTGACGTAAAAGTATAAATGAATTATTGGATGTTTGTCTCTTTGCTTATTTTCTAGGAATTGGTTTGTGACAAAGTCGATCTGTTAATTCATGAGCTTCTACAGTCAACATTTTTTTTAAAGGAAAGGGTTTATTGTACAAGTCAGATTTAAGTGCTTATGTCACTAATGGCTAACTGCTCGTTTCAGTTTTGTGCTTGTGCTGTTCTGTGGTTTCTCAACATTGACAAAGCACCTATAGAGTCATGGGGCAGGAAAAAAAAACCAACTGTTACCCAGGCAGTTCTCTCGTTAGATTCAGATTTCAGAATATGGTTAAGTTCCTTCTGTAGCAATATTTAGGGAAATTTCTTGTTAAAAATCTATATTAAGATGTTATGCACAACAGAATATCATAAATAAATGTTTCTTCTCTTTTGCAATGGCACTATAGGAGACAAGAGTACTGACTGTAAGTGTTATGGTGAGATTGCTTAAAAACTTGAATTATTATAACAGGCATGTGCTTTGATTTTGTCATGCCTATTCCCTAAATTAAATTGTGATATGTAACGAGACCGCCCTGTAGTTTTGGTGGTGAGTGCAGACCAGTTGAGATATTTTGCCTATGTTATTTCTGAATTTCAGGCCTTTTCTATCTTTCATCTGGCTCTTAACTTACTTTATAATGGCATTGTTTTCTTAGAACAAACTGCTAGTATTTCTAGAAATTGGAGGATAGAGTATAGGCTTGAACCTATAGCTGGCCTTGGGTGTACAAGGACGTCAAGGAGTATTTTTTTATCCATCACTTGTACAAGATAGAACTTTGCTCAAGATTGCCATGTCTTTTATGACAGATCACTAATACAGCTACCTACTTAAAAGATGAGAGTTTCTTTGAGATTGGTGTAGGCATTATATGTGATTATGTGGTTTATGCTACACTGTTACAGTGCCAAACTTCATTACCCTCTTCTGTATACTGGATTGTGTCTTTAGGTCTCTTTCTGTGATCAATAGCTGTAGTTTCCTCAGAAGACAGGAGTTATCAGAACTGTTGCTCTTCTGTTAATTATATACTATGTCAAGACTCAAGAGGGCACTTTTGAAAGTGATTTAGAAGCAAAAGCCTATAGTTAATCTGACATATAAGAACCTATGCAATTCAAATCGTGCTAGCATTTACAGTACTCAATTGGCAAGGCCCCTGAGGAGAATATTAGAGAAAGCTAATATATTTGAGGTGTAATTGTTAATTTGAAACAATTGACACATCTACCAGTTACAGAGACATAATGGAGCACTTCCAACTTTAAGGCATGACGTAACAACTTTCTGCAGGCAAAACCTGACATGGAAGCTGAACTTTGGAGATTTGTGAAGGATTGAACTTAGGGAGTACAGGTCAAGAAGGCAACTGAACTAGGGGAAGTACAGGTCAAGAAGGTATTCCATAGAAGATATGTGATGTTCCTTTGTCATGGCTTTTGCAAATAAAGTTGGTATGTTCATGTCTCTTTACTTTCTACCAGTATAAATCTTTTGGATGTGCTAACTGAGATATGAACTTTCATTTGTTATTGTCTCACCCTCTTTTACAACATCTTTGAAACTCAAAAGATATCATACAGTTTATTGTTATAGGCTCTAACTAACTGCATGCTTCATCTTAAATCATAATTGGGATTGGAGGGTGATGTTTCAAAGGACAGAACAATCTCTCTGCATGTATATGCCTATTGTCTTCAAATGTTTGGTCAAGCATTCTTGTATTACCTAAAAGTGGTTATTGGGGCAACTCTTTGCTAGATCACCTTGAATCATAGCCTTAATCCTAACTATGGTTCTGTAACTGTAAACTTACAGCACTCAGCCTGAGTTATAGCTGGCTGTTGCTCCATCTATGTCGATGTGTTAATGTCTGGTTGTTTCTTGTTAAGAAAATGAGTTGGACAATAACTTTATCCATCATATAAAGATATGTTCTTTAAAAAAAAAAAAAATAGCTTTAGGAAATCTGAAATCATCTGTTCTTTTGCCGGTCATCTTAGATTTAAAAATGGATAATTTGGCAGCAAACAAGTAGAATTTGGGGGATTCAAATATAGCATTCTTATGAATTAACATAATTCCTTCACCTTGTTCAGGAACGCCATCTTCATGTGTTGTTATCACGATGTTAGAGAGTTTTAGTCGTATAATGGCACATATAAGCCCAGGAATATGAAAGTATAACCGAGGACTTGTCAACAACTTTTAGTGAATAAGGGGCATAATATAGACCTATTAATTCCATTACTTATCATCTGCCTATTTTACTATCTTTTCTTTCTTAGATTTTCAATTCTCTATAACTTGTTTCTTTTAATTACAAATGCAATGCACTAACTTAAACTCCTTAATCTGAGATCACAAGCTTATATAGACAATTAACAGGGCAGTCCTGCTGAGACTGCTTGAAGGTTAAATTAAAGGCTGCATATCACATATGATGCAAGTTCTTGACAGAAGATGTTAGTAAAATAAAAATTCGGCTCTGTAAGAGTCGCACTAACGGAGATATCTGCAAGTTCTGTTCTTTCTAATAATCAGATTTTGTGACTACTTTGACTGTTGGAAGTATCAAGCACGGCATGATTAGAAGTTAAACTGCATTTGGTGAACGTACATCGTCGCATAATCTTAGCCTATATGTTATAGCTATATTGACGTACGGTATGCAAGTATTCTAAGGTGCTCTTTCAAGTGTCAAATCCAAGAGGAGAAATTTCTATTCTCTTCTATTTCAATTACTATTTGTTTCTATTCATCAACTTGAGTTTTGTTCTGTTTCTCTTTTATTGCAGAGGGATAGTAGTCATAGACTCATAGTACATGCATTTCTTGTAACAAGGCCAAAATTTTGCTAACTGAAATAGGTTCAAGTAATCTGGTCCGTTCAAATTATATTCTTCTAATGGTGGTGGGCTCTTATATAAATGTTGTAGGTGGTAGAAATTGGCCAGTCATATGGAAAATTTGACAGCTTGGAAGGGCTTGGAACTGGAAGAATTACATCAAAGTATCAAACATCATTTCAAGGTACAAGTCTTTGTTTAAGGAGTATTAGTGTATTAATTAGACTTGTTTCTTGATGGGTAGACTTTTTGTGTCTAAGCATTTTGCTGAAGTTGACATTTTGGAAGCACGAGTTTGAAATATTAATCATTTGATTCTAAATTCGTAAATAGTATAATAAGACTTTGTTACCTCCATGACAAAGATAAAAAAACATGGTTTTCATGATCCACAGGCAGGAAAAAAGTATCTTGTTTATCCTAAGTTATGCAATGTGGAATATTATTATAGAAGTGTTCAATTATAGGCATCTACTTAAGTACCTTACAGTGTTGCCATGGAGCGTTTATAGGGTCTGATCGTAGGAGATAAATTATTGGTTTGTGTAGGTGATGGAGTAAAGAGGTGAGTCCGGCCCGCTAGCCTGGCCCGACCCGGCTCGAAAATAGGGCGGGTTTGGATAAGTCTAAAAATGCATTTTTAGTTAAAACGCCCGATCTCAACCGAAAATCTACCACTTTTTTCGAGTTTGGATACAAGGTATCATGTTAAGACTTGACCCGGTCCGATTTTAAAATCACCGCTAGGTGTAATATTAGTCTTGGAATTTTGTGTTTGACATTTTGACATTGTTGCTGTAGCTAAAGTTCCCTATATATTACTAGGCACATAATTAATTTAATGATTGCTTGAAAATAAAAAGTGCTCCGTATTTATGTGTTGTTACACTTTTTTTGTCTTGACTTTGGATCATGGGTCCAGCGAAGGTCCTAGTCAGCAAACAAATCCTAGAAACCTTTGACTTTTGAGCCGCCCTTTTTTGGACATAATAATCAAGGGATATTCATTAATAAAAATTGAATCTAGTCATTCATACTGTAGGAAGATCTGGTGGATTCCTTAGCATTTTATTTGATTGATTTCCTTGTAATTTTTCTTTAAAATTTAATAAAAACTGTAAATGTGTTAAAGTAAATACAAGCTTCAGGAAATTTGATTGGTTCAGCCACTATGTTTTCTTGACTAGTTGTAATTATCTTATTACAGTACTGATCTCCATGCATTGAACTTTATTTCTTGTGTGAATACATACAACCAAAGGCGGCTTCTTACCCAATTTAGTCTTGTAAAGGATAAAATCACATGTCTTTTTGCAATTTTTTTAATCTCACTTTTCTCCACAAGTAACCAACCAATGACCTATGTACATTCACATACTAAAACATACGGAGTACTCTCTTCGTCCCATAATACCTTATTTGTCTTGGGCACATTTGTCAACAAATTTTTTTTTCATGAATTTATTAAATAATTTACTAGCAAAAATTTCAAAGAATTGATATCTTGATAATATATGTCAAGAATAACAAAACAGTTTTTTCATAATAATAGTTGTGGTTTATATGTTACTGAAAAATGTGGTCTAAGTAAGCACATTAATAGTATACGCGGAAAGGATAAGGTATTATTATGAACCAGAGCGAGTATTTAGACTAATTACTGTTAAACAAGCAAGCCATGATGCAGATTCAAAGTTTACAGGATACTTATTTTCTAAAAAAGAAAATAATCTGGTATAGTAGGAAATGACTTATAGGAAACAACTGGGAAAATATGTGGTTGGGACCAAAGATAATTATCTCATTATTTTATATAATTGCCAGCCTAATAGTAATGACAGTAAAATTATATATTAGGCCTCCAACAACTATAAAAACATAGCACTACTAATTCTGACATGTTTTAATGAAAAAGGTACACTAATCTTAATTATTTAAGTATATTATAGAGAAAGTCTATTGTTTAAAATTATCATTAAATAAGAAGAGTTTGTCTTCTTATATTTTATGCTCTTATATATATATTTGTATGTATTGTGAATGTCTTGTATGGGATCACTCAGAAGACACATTTTGACTGCTGCTTTGTAATTTTCTCAGTTAGCCATGAGGTAAATTTTGAACAGCAGTTCACTCAGAAGATCAGATCAGATACAGGTCTTTCTTAGATCTTATAGCAGAAGTTTAATGCCTGAATGTGGTTTTAATAAAAAAAAGTTGCAAATTTACTGATTTTTTATTTTGATGTAAAATTGTAAATTAGTGATTGACTTTTTGGAATCTCTTTGGTTTGTTAATTTATTCATATATTTTCTGATCCTGCAGATTCTGTCCTTGCTACCATTGTTGGAAAATTTGTTTAATGCTTCTTTTGCACTATTGGCTTCTGGGTTGTAGCTGGCAAATCCCAAAAGTGCTGCAATAATTAATGCCTTTCCTTCTGTCAAATTCCTGAAGTTTTAAAGGCAGAAGACATTAACTCTTGTAAGCAAAACAAGGTGTTGAGAAGTTTTTCTTTGGTGTAAGTGTATAACCAAAATAATGGAGAACAGATATTTGAGGCAATACAGAAGTGAAGAGTTCCAAGAAGAAGATGTGTGGGCAGTGGTCAAGGAGGAGAGCGAAACCGGCTTCAAGATTGGTGAATCCAACGGCTGTCCAAGAACTCCACACTCGTTCTCAAGACGCCTTCCAAGTGCAGCAAGAATGATTCCAGGATCTCAGAAACATCAGCACGTTGATAACAGCAAAAAGTTCGAATTGGTGCAGAGTTCAGCCCCTGTCAACGTTCCTGACTGGTCTAAAATCTATGGCAAAAGTCCAATAGAGAAGAATAATGGCAGCTGTTCTTCATTTCTTGATCGTAATCGTGATTGCAATGATTATTATACCGTACGTGATGCTGCAGGGAGTGATGAGGACGAGGATTATGAGAACGAAAATGAAGGTGATGGCGAATTGCCACCACATGAATGGTTGGCAAAGAAGCTTGCTAGGAGTCAGATTTCTTCATTTTCTGTCTGTGAAGGTGTTGGGAGAACTCTCAAAGGGAGAGATCTCAGTAGGGTGAGGAATGCTATTTTGTCAAAAACTGGATTTCTTTGATTTGTGTCAATTTATGCACATCTTATGTATGCATCAGGTATCTTGGGCTGTGTTTTTGTATAGTTGGGTAGATTGTGATACACTTCTTTCTAGTTGACATCTATAAATTAAGTTGCAAATTTTGATTCGGTTCAAGAAAAAGTGCCGGTGTAGACAGTGTTGCATAATCTAGCATTCTATAACAGGATTTGTTATTGTTAGTATATAGGTTTTAATTCAGAATATTTCTTAATAGTCGCGCATAATAGTTTGTAATGTCCAAGAATTTTTCACATTTTGTACATGGATTCTGGTTAAGTTTGCCTTGGTTTGCTGGGATAAAAAAATTCTTGACTTGTTGACTTGATATTGAAATTTTTTGAGTTGACTCGAACTCACAAAAACTTGTAGCCAGACTTAGCTCAAGCTTCATAACCTTAACATGAAAGTGTTCAACTTAATGTTTCTACAATGCTACGCATAATTAAACTCCAAGTACTATTTTATTTATTTATTTATTAATTATATATTTTTTTTACAACAAAAAGAAGATTTTATTTACTGCAGAAAGAAGATTTTATTAAGTTAGACAAATCATCAAGAACACATTGATAAAAGGCTTTGGTCTTTAAACAACATAGAATAAAAGGCTTGTAAATTTAGAGTTGGGCATCGTAGTGTGCCGGGCCGTCAAGTTACCATGTACAGTAACCAGTTTTAGACTCCAGATATCATGAACGGTAACCGATTTTGGGCTCCGGTTACCACGGTTAGGGGTGTTCATAAATCGGTCCGCACCGAAAAAATGGACCGGACCACCTCGGACTTCCGGTGTTCGGTCCGATCTGGTCCGGTCCTAAAGCCTATAAAAACTGGTATTGGACCGGATCGTTTTTTGATTAAAATTATACGTGAAACCTTAAATAATGGTTAATATTATCCTTAATAAGTTTAGAAAACTTTAATGTTATGAGCTTTTTTTTTTGTACTAAACATCATTAAAAAAAAAATTTAAATTATAGTTTTTCCTTTACTTTTTTTTCGAGTTTTCCATAATATTACTCCCTCCGTGTTTTAATAAGTGGTTCACTTACCAAATCCGGTTATGTTTTAATAATTGTTACACTAAAATATTATATCTCTCTCCTCTAATGGTCCCTACCCGAACCCAATACTACTTTTTTTTATTCAAAAACTTTTGCACGCCCCCGGTTTACAATAATTTTATTGTACATCGAACATTTTGCGAAAAGTGACCATTTTTCTTCATAAAAGTGCTCCATATTTTCACAAAAGTGACCCTTTTTTTCACAAAAGTGACCCTTTTTTTTACATAAAAATAACCCTTTTTTCACAAAAGTGATTTTGTTCTTTCACAAAAGTGGTCCTTTTTTTTCCACAAAAGTTGCCCTTTTTTTTCTTCATAAAAGTGACCTTTTTTCACAAAAGTAATTAAACTACATATGCAAAACAGAATATCAAAATTAACGATGCAAACACAAAAATTAACAATAGTCATGAAAAAACTATACAATCACTCAAACAAATCAAAAGTCACCGCCGGAACCACCGTTAGCGACGCCGATCGCGTTGAAACCATTGTTGATTTCACCATTTTCGACCATCTCACCAAGCAAAGCGACGAAAAATTTACAAAAGAATAAGTACAAATACTAACCTAGAGCAGAAACATCAACATCATCGATTATCACCAGAAACTAGAGGAGAGAGAAAAAACAAAAGAAGATGAGAAGATAAGAAGTAGAGGAGAGAGAAAAAACAAAAGAAGATGAGAACTAGAGGAGAGAGAAAAAACAGAGAAACAGAAGATTATTTTTTTTGACGGGGAGAAAAAGAAGATTGAAGAAAAAAGAGAATATGTAGAATAAAGAGGAGAGAGAAAATAAGATTTCATTTTTTCCCTTGCCAAAATTGGGCCACCAAACTCACGCTTGCTTTCGATTTTCATTAAAATAGTGAACACCCGATTTAATAAAAAGTTTGTATTTTTTATTATATATTTCCTCTCACATTTATTACTTTTCAATAAACTATTAAACCCACTATCTTTCTTTTACAAAATATTTTAATACTCCAACTACTTCACTTACCTCTTATTTTATTTATGTCAATTAAATTGCCTAAAATTATGTGCCGGTCAAACTGTAACATTTAAAAAAACAGGGAGGGAGTATTAAAAATTTAGAATTATTTTTAAAGAAATTCTTAAACCGGTCCAAAGCGGTCCGATTTGGGTTTTGGACCGATTCTTTTGGTCCGGCCCGGGTACGGTCTTAGCTTAATCGGTCTTGTTTTCGGTTCTTAAAATTATAATTTTTGGTCTACGATCCGGTCCGGGTTGGTTTGATTTGGTCCGGTCTTTGATTGATCAACAACCCTAACCACGGTTGTCTGAAATAAAAAAAAAACACCGTGTTCCCGCCGGCCAGGGAATGTGGTGGGTTGTCATAGAAGGGGGGTGTGGTCGGCCGTCGGTCAAAAGGGCTGTGGGTCGCCGGTTGGAAGGGGTTGTGGGTTGTCGGGAGGATGAAGGGATGGTGAAGTAGTAAGGGTACGATTGTCCATTCACATAGGCGGCGGTGAACAGGTGATTATTTTTGTTGGACGGTGTTTAGCGATCCACTTGTATATTTTTGAATTGTGATCTATCTAAATTCGACCCAAAATCAAATCCAAATTTGAAACCAAACCCAAATCTGACTGACCCGAACCACCAACTGAAAATTCAATGGTTTTGAACACGTAGTAATTTTTTGGGTTCTTTCAGAATTTCAGAGGGGTGATGTAGAGAAAGAGCTACCGAAATCAAAACAGTTTGAGTAAGAGTTTCCAATTAAATCATACTCCCATCATACATTTGCAAAAGGATTCCATTGTTGAATCTGAAAGAAAGAACACAGAAAGAAAGATGTCGAAATTTCTAGGAAAGATAGCAGGGTTATTCAGCAAGCGGACAATGGTGGGCATGGACAAAGCTGGGAATCGTTATTTCACTCGAAATGAATCCGTTGATGGAGTCAGTAAGTGGGTTTTTCTTTCTTTCTTTCATTCACCTTTTTACCCTTTTGCTTTTCTCTATCTTTTGGCCAATTTTTGATGAATTTAAAGAGTAGGTTGATTGTTTATCTGCTAAAAGTTGTATATTTTGGGATATTTTCATGACCAAATTGCTTGTTTTGTACATATAATTACTGGGGTGTCTTTTATCTCATAGTTTTATATGAAATGATTAATATTGGGGATAGGATTTGTTGTTGGAAGTTTTATGATTGAAACTTATTAATGAATTCTGGAGGAATTAATCAAAGAGAATTGGGTTTATGTAGAATTTGAAATTGGGTTTGAAAGCATACAGTGTGCATGATGTTGGATTGTTTTGGACATTGTAAGAACACTTTAGGAGAATTTAGAGAATGAGCATGTAGCTTTTGATGCTTGAAATGGATAGTGATGAGATGGAAGCCTCTATAATGCTATATTGTACAATAACATGGCTAAGAAATGGGGCGTACTCGATAGAAAAGAACTGGAGGGGTATGATCTTTTAAAAGAGGATGCGCATGTAGCTTTTTTGAGCTTCTAATGTTTGGGATTAGTGTGCTTACTAGAGTGCTGCTTAAAATATAGAGACTTCCCTCCTAATTGCAGAACAATCTGTTAGAATTTGAATTGTTGGTTTCCCTTTGAACTATCTGGAGAAGTAGGTAAGGAAAGCATTACACTGAACAATTGTAGGTTTCAGCCTCAGCAGGCGAATTGTTGGAGTATCACTCTGCAGAGATTAGCTGTTATTAGTCATGGGATATCAAAAAGTACCAACTTTGATGACTGATAAGTATTTTGATTCCACATGTGAACGTTGAGAAAAACCGCTTATTTTTGGGCTGGTGCCTTGTGGATTTAATTACTTTCCCTATTAGTGTACCTAGTTGCTACATCATAGATTTAAAGCAAGCAAAGCAAGTAACGCTTAGTAGTTGCTACATCTTCGTTTTTTCTATAGTCGGTCAACAGCAGAAAATTAACTTGAGGCTCAAAAAAAGGATCAGGTATTGACTATGAAGATCAATCTAAGGATCATAGATTTTTTGGGTGAGGGAAGGGAGGTTCTCTATGTTGATTGTGTAAAAGAATGATGAGGTCATTGAGATATCATATACTTCTACATATTGAACTGGACATGTGAATTATTCTTAAATCAGCTAAAGCCGTCATGAGAAAAGAAACTTAATGAAGTGCTAAGTTAGTAATTTCCACTTGAAACTGTCTCCAAGTGTACCCTGTGATTTGAAATGGTAATTCAAACTGTTAACCATAGCCTTTGAGAACCCTGCGCTTTTATGCAACCAAAAATCCAAAATCTTATTCTAACACTGGTTACAATTACATTAAAAGAAGCCTGTTGAGATTGCACAATTGCTACAAACAATAGACACTAGAACTGACATTAATTGATGCCTGCATGAGCTGCTTTTCGTTCCCAATAAATCAATTGTGGTTACCGATGAGAAGTCTTGAGAAATAGAAGGTAATCATATGGTAATGTACTTCTAGGGAAGTAGGGCCACGCAAGGTCCACATCATTTGTCTTGAATTTTGACCACCTATGATACTTGCTTATATATGATATATGTGAGGCTCAATTGGTCCGCATCAATATCTTCTCAAATCCTCAATTGTGCTCTTTGTGCCTTGCTAGCAACCTAGCAAGGATGCCTGAAACCATCTATTTTGGCCGGGGCAGTAATGTTAGAGACTCTTCAGACCTGTGGGTTTTCACAACTTCACTGGGATGATCCATTTACTATTAAGGGGTCATCTAGAGTCTACACTTCCAGTGTATAAAGTATTGGAGGCATAAAGGGGAGAAAATTTTGTGGCAGGCTGCTTCATTTGCTTGTATGTGGATGCTTTGGCAGGAGAGGAATCACTAGATTTTACGTGATTGGTAGTCTTCTTTGGTTTTCATATTAAATCATGTGGTGCATTTAGTCTCTCTTTGCTCATGCTCATAGGGTGTTTATTTTGGGCCTTTTTGGCTGGTTCATTTTCCTGTATTCATGCGAAATCAAAGTTTCTTTAATATTTACTTGATTTCTGGTGCTTTTCTGGTCCCCCTCTTTTGCAAGCTCAGCTATTAAATTCCTTTTATAATGGAATTTACTTCTAAAAGACAATATCAATGCTTGACAAAATAATTACCACGTAAATGAAATATTACTAGGAATTAGGAATACTAGGGGTAGTTGAAGAAGATAGAGACTAAGGATCTTCCTCTCCGATGTGGCTACTCTCGGTCATCAGGTGTCCATTATTGTCAATTCGGCCATAAATAATATCAGATTCAAAATAATGCCCGCAAATTGGCTTTGAATGCTATAACTCACGCTCATGAGACAATTTGATCTTTAGTAGCATATGTAGAACCAAAAACAACAATCTAGCACTAGCACAGACTAAAAGTTGTATCGTAAAGATATAGTTGGAAGATTAGATTTGGAAACTAGGAAAAAAGACTTGATTGACCTATGGAAAATCAGTTTTGGATGCTGTAACTGTAATGGACTGATTTTCTGGGTTTATAATTCTGATATAGTAATGGAAGTAAATAAAGCTTAAAGCTTGAATTTTTATTGAAAATGGCCAAAAGGTTACAAAAGGAAGGTTAATAGGTTTAGGCTATCACTCTCAAAATGGCTTTAGGCCATGACTCTCTAAGGTTTCCCTTCAATACAAATTGCTGCCTATCTTCCTTCTACCCCTCTCTACCTTTTTATACTACTTAGCTAAATAGTACAGCTTTAATTACTAACTTTACTACCATTTGTCATTATCCCAACGTGCCAACTAGTGGCTGCAGCTTTAAGTTGCTGTTGCTTGGTGTGGTTGTGCCTCACCACCTTGGTTAGCTCAGATGTCTCAGACCCTGTACTTTCCTCTGTTGGCTGTTGTTTATATAAAGCACAGGCCGCTTGCTCTGATTCGTTACAGTAACTTATGGTTTAGAGATCCTTATATAAGAGTATAAGACCTATGGAAAAATTGAGCAGGAACTTGAGTTATGCCTTGTCAAATGGTTCAAGTAGCATAGGTAATACCATAGCTGACATAAAAGTTAAGAAGCCAAGTAATACTCCATAATTTGTTGCTCATATGTGTTTCATTTTCATTTCACTCTAATTAAATGGTCAATACTTCAATGTCACAAGGAATTGAATTTATATTGAAGTGTCTTGTTTGACTGATTGTCATAGGCTTAGATGATGTTGCTTGCATTACAGTTCAAATTTTATATGTAATTGGAAGTTATAATTCTTTCCTTACCTCATTATGTACACTAATATCTTTTGTTAATTAATAGTGAAAGAAAAGAGATGGGTGATATTTAAGGGAGAAGAAGATCCTACGTCAATTCCAGGTAAATTCCAGTATACTGAACAACAAGCAATCTTAAGTTTTTATTTGTACTAGTATGAAGATGAAGCTTTCCAGGTATCAGTCAGATCTCACTATTTCATATCTTGGGACTAATTTTATCGAATTTGTAATTTGTTGCTATGCTGTTTTTCCTTTTTGGACTGTTCCCTATGATAATTCATGTTACCCGACCCCAAATCATTTTGAGACTAAGGCTTTGTTGTTGTTGTTGTTGTTGTTGTTGTTGTTGTTGTTGTTTGTCTACCCTGTAATCTCTTTCTTTCTTGGATCATGCATCTATTATTCAAACTGAGTGCCATCGAACATGATTACTGCAGTTGAATGGATATGTTGGCTTAACGGACAACGCAAAAAATCTCCAACTCCAGAGGTATAGTATAGCATCTGCCTCCACCTTTTTCTAATGGTTCTTAATTTCATTATCTGACAAACTTCTTAAAATCCTTGAAGCAGGGTAGGGATCTTTTGATGAGACAGCAGTGTATAATTTGAATTTAGCTTGCGTTCTTTATATTATTCTATGTTATTGAAAAATGATTGCTCTGTGGCTGTCTGTTCTTAAAGCACGCAACCTTTATCACTTAAAGTCTCTTCAACATTTGTATATTGTGGTTTCAGACCCCCACAGCCACACAATAATTCATGTATACCAATATATCACCAAATGGTACCGTCATTTTACTCCATTTTAAAGAAAGTTTCCTTCAGGTCTAATGATCCCTAAAACAATTTTTTGTTATTCAATTTTTTTTTAAGATGACAGCTATCTCAGATTTTTAATGTATTATAATTTCTTTGTATGACCTTCCTTTTGACACCGGACGTATTACGTATATAGTTTACTTTGATGGCAAGTAGTACTACTAATTTACAATAGTGAGGGTTTTGTGAAAGAAGACTATATTGCATGAGATATTATCACATAGTTCATGTGTTTCATGATTATCACTTCTCTACGGTCCTGGTCTCTTGGACTTCTAATTGATTGTAATTTTGTAACCCAATATATTTGAGATTTCTCTAGCCGTGCTAACAAAATATTAGGAAGCGTGAATTATCTTTCCTATTTGGAATTAAACCATCCTAATTTTTTTTATTCATATACGCGGACCATGATTAATGAGATTGTGGTGGGTTTAATATATTACATGTCTTTTATTCTTGGTGCCAAGCATAGCATAAGAGTGAGTGAGTGACACTTGGTTTTACTCGATCCCATGGATATCTTTGTTTATGACCCTCCTTGACACACAAGAGACTCTTGGTGTTATGCTATTATATTTCTACATTACAGACAGCAGGTGTTAAGACTGTTGACTCTATCTTGATTAGGCAAGAGAGTTTCAAATAGTGCATGATATCTATTTCTGATGGCTTAGTGGTTGAAAACTACCATGTAGTTCCAAACTAAGTGCTTTGGTGGTATGGCGTCAAATGTGGTGAATGCGCAACACACACTACCCCTGTGGCCCTGTCATGTGTGCATGTGTATGGCTGCTCACAGGTTTGATGCACATGCTGGCGGGAGCATTGTACTCCAGGAACAGGGCGTGTGCACTTCTAATTGCCTTGTTGTAGAGGGATACATTAGAGTTGGAGCTTCATTTATTGCTTATGAAGAACCTTAACTTTGACCAAGAATGTAATATTATTTGTTGATCAACCTTCTTTACAATTGATTTTGCATCAACCCTATTTCTCCGATCTCTTAAATGCTTATTTTATTTTGTCCCCTTTGGTGATTTCTTGATGGTTGTTTTGATTCCTTGCTGGATACTCTGCAGGAGATGGCTGAACTTGAGGCCAAGCGTGAATTTGTTAGACAAAACGTTATGCGTAAGTTATTTTTGCTTATTCCAACATTTTGCTTTTGCATATTGTTCCTACTTTTTCCTCTACTCCGCTGAGTACTTGATTCTTTGTACAAAATAAATCAAGTTTTTTAATTCCCTTACAAGTATAAAAGTTCCAGCATTAAATAGCAGATAGTACCAGAGCAAATGTCATACTTTTCTCATGTCTTCCCTCTTGCTAAATTTTGTTCAAGGATTTATGGTAGAAGTTAAGCTTTTAAGAGGTGTTGAAACTAATGTAGATAAATTACAATTGGGTTAACCTTGTCTGTCGCGATAGTTGCACTATTGCTGCTGCTGTTAGATATTTGTAATTGAAAATGTCATCAGGTAGTATGTTTCTCACCATGTAGTATGTTCTTAACTTACTAAATTTTGAGGGAAAAAAAATGTTCCATCTTTTGTAAAAATATGCTTTGCTCTCTTAATTTTCTATCTCTATTGCTTTCATCTTCAATAAGCATTCATCATTTTCATTTTTCTGGGCAAATGAACACTGGAATCTCCCTTGGAATATTTGGTTGATTTTACATAATTTGTAAGATTGCTAATTTTTAACGTTCAAATGAACCTCCATATCCTCAATTCTGCCCTAGAAAGGTAGAGATTGAACCTATTACTTCTTGTAAGAATAATCTTAGGGTTGTGTTTAGGATTAAGATCCTACGGCTTCTCTGTTATTGCAAGAATTAAGTTGTACATCTTACCTGCCCTACCCTCAGCAAGAGTTTCTAAAAGGCCGTGGGGCAACTATTTTGTTGATTACTAAATATTTTGTCTGGCACTCCAGCTTGCTTCCTCTTCCATTCGTAGCTCCTCTAAAGAACGTAGCTCTAGTCAAAGTGTTCTTTTTTCCTTTTATCTTTTTCTTTTCCTTCAGGTTTTGCTTCTCGTATTTTTGATTGCTTGATCATCATGGAAGAGTTTTTCCCATTAAGTTGCCTAAAGATTTTCTCTTTATAACCTACTTCATAATAAAGATCATTTTTTTACCCTCCTTCCCCTTTGTTTGAAGCTTTCTCTTCTTTCTGACATACACTTTGAATTTTAGTGAGTTTATTCTTGATTTTCTATGACAAGGTTGTTGTCTCTTTTGTTTTCTTAATTAATCTCTGTCTACAAAATTAAAACCAGGCTACTGGCCTGAAGCTAATGTTGATAGCCTTTCCATGCTAGAACAGATTCATCTACTATCCTAATTTTTTAGGTCATCTCCAATAGAATTTTCTGTGGTTGATAATATCAACTACTTTAACTGCACTTTTTTATATGATGGCAATGGTTGCCTTATCTCCTATAAAATTGCATAATTTTAGAAATTTTTAGATGAAATCTAATGTTATTCTTTGTAATATGGAGTCTGATAGCCATGCAATTATGCAAACATGTTGCTGATGTACTTTAAAAAATAGAATTTGTGATTGTAAACTGTAAAGGTTGCTTATTAGATTATTTATGATGCCTAAAAACATGTTAATAGGTTCATCTTAATGATGAGGCTGATTTCCTGCCTTCTTCGAAATCTTCTACTACGTAGTAGATAATATTCTTGCCTACAATTATTTTTTCTCCTGTTTGTTTAACATCGAGATTGTGTCCTGTTAGACTATTGCAATGTACATGTATTGTTCTGATTTTCCTGCAAAGGATTTCATATATCTTTTTCTTCATAAAGGTTTAAAGAAAGAAGAAGAAGAAAGAAGAGCTGTTCAGGGCAGTACCCTCCATGCCAAGATAGCTGGTAGGTAGCAAAAGCATGGAAACACCATGTTGTCAATTTCATAATGGTGGGATGTAACTGTTATATTTTATTTTATGCAGGCAATGTTGGAGGTCCAGATTTACAGAGTTACCTGCGGCAATTACAGAGTTCAGAAGGTATTATGTGGGTTCTTTAATAAATAAAAATTTTCTGTCACCCTGGTGAACCACAATTGGAAATGTTTAACTACTTTGGCTGATTATGAAGGAAGCAGCCTTATATCTTCTAAAAGTTGATAAGAAGTGGCATATTTTCTTCTAACCACAAATATGAGTCCCTTTTTTGAAATAAAATTCAGCAAACTCTCACCAAGACTAGATTGTCTCATGTCTCTTCCCGAGGAACCTTGTTCAGTGGATATAATGACAACAGATGCTATTACAAATACTACCTCTCTCTTTTTTTTTCTCTCTACTCACTTTCCTTTTATGGTTGTTTTTTTGTTCTACTCACAAACTTTATTCTTATTTTGGCATACCCTCTTTAACATCTCACTTGCTTTCCTTAAAATGTTGACACCTTTCGATACTCTTATTTTTTCTTATACCCTCCCACCTTTCTACATTCTCTCCTACTTTATCTTACACCCACCCATCTTTTTACACTCTCTCTTGTTTTTTGACTTTTTTCTTACACCACTCACCTTTTTCATTTTTTTCCCCTTAAGCTACGTATCTACATCGAGTCGGGGGGGGAAAAAAAAAAGAGTAGTGTTAGATTCATTATTGTAAAATATGAAAATCCAGGATTACCTTGTCTGCAGTAAATATTGTACTTCTATTCTTGGGTCACTGGCCTTTATCTGTATGGCCATCAATTCATCTTGATCATATGATCAACACAAGACTGCTCAGAGTGCAACTTTTTGAAAATTTCAAGACTTCTTTTTTCTCTTTGCCTGGTTCGTCTGGAAGTGTTTATATATGTGATAAACATGAAACACATTGTATTTTACTAGATATCCTTCTTTTTTGAGATTTTCACATTCAAAGATCCTGAGTTGGGATGTTTATTTTGTTAATTTGATTATTGTTACTGTGTAGCTGAACTGTGTGGATTGAGTTTTAGACCTTGTTATCATGAAATCAATAAAGGAGGAAGCAAATATAACCTTTTTAAGGCTTCCCTTGATGATTCCATTTGCATTCGTTCTGTTGTTGTCCTTGAATTCCATTTTGTGTGTCTTGTGTTAGTTCAAGCAATCGTTAAGCCTTAACTCATTGTATGCAATTTCCCTTTTAACTGTTTGCCCATAGTAAACGCGGGGAACTCCACCTGGTTTTTATGCTTGGAGTTGGTTTAAGTCTCCTTTGGTGGGTTGGGCAGAACTATTGGAGACTTGTGAGTATGACAGGTTTTTCACTTTTACCTTTTTGAATGTTGGGACTATCTGATTTAAAATTGGCATATACTAGGAGCATAAAAAATATAGATGGGTTTGACTTTAACTGAATTGAATGTGGCATACCATTTTAGACATTGCCCTTCTCAGCATAATAAAAAATAGTTTCAAATAAGGGACAACAAGTTCTGATCTAGGCTATGATTTACAGTTAAGACAAGTTCAGATATAGGTCATTAAATTAAGATAAGGATTTTGAGGTGAAATGAATATTGTCTACTCCCATTCTTCTTATAGTTCTCATGTATCATTAGTAACATATTTTATCTTGAAATCCAAGTCTTCTTCCTTTGTTAGCTCCATCCATGCCTTGAGGGCTGCATCTGATATTTCTTAACAGATCATTTTCTTTGCACATCTTACAGGATCTGTACCTCAGGAATCATCTGGCAATTTGAGGTGAGTTATTAAATTATTATATGATTTTGAAAAATAGTTCTTGCATACTTTCTCCATTTTCTAATTGTTGCAACATTTCCTTCTATTGGAAGTTGCTTAGTAAGTGCAACATCACTAATTTTGGCAATGTTTTCTCCCTATTTCTCCTTATCACATGGGACCACCAATTTATTGCTCTTTACCTCACTACTGTCTATAAAAGTGTATACCCCCTACATTTTGCACTCATAAAAAACAGAGGAAGTTTTTAAATTAAGGGGAAAGTGGAAATGTAATTCTCCAAGCTACTTCCTTCTCATTGTTTTGCGATTGTGAATTTATGATATGACTTGATGTTAATGCATGAGGTTTAGCTGGAATGAAAATTCTGATCTTCTGCTGCTTTCAGTAAAATAAACGGTTAAACAAAGATTTGTTGCATATATATATATTTTTATTAAAAAATTCACAAAGAATGATTCTAACTGCTATAGTCACCCAATTATGGCAAACTAGTTCCTTTTGCATTCACAATCTCTTCTTTACATTGTATTTTTTGAAATTGCTTCTTAGTATTTAGTTACTAGTAATACTTATGGTCTTATGTTGCGTTGTTTTCCCATTTCTAGACTCTTATTTGTTTCATCTCGCAATCTTTCTTCTTTCTTCTCTCTTCTATATGGAATCATGGAAATGAGCTTTGTAAGTAGTGTGTGTGTCTGTGTGTCTGTGTGATTTGTTACTTGAACTTTTGTCTTGGTAATGCAACTCGCAGCAGTAAAGTTTATGCTTTTAATATATATAGTACTCCATACTATTATTAAAAGTTCAAGTTGTTAGATATGCTTTTATCTTGTCAACGAGTAGCTTACTCTTGGCCGTGGGACTGTGATCTACTGGTGTCTATGAGATCCTACATGTAATTTAAACTCGCTGCTTTGGTGCATCCAAACAGTCAAACACCATGACCTTAATGAGCTCTTTTTATGTTTTGCAGCGAATCTGAGACAGAGAAAGTAAAAACAGAATCACCTCAGGAAACATTGGAACCAAGGTATTCTAACTCATTTTATTGTTTGTTGATTACTTGTTTAGTGGCTATGTTTGTCTAATGACAGTCTAAACTGGGATTTCCTTCTAACCAGAGTATAAAGGAGAGTTTATATGGGTATATAATCAATTACCTATTCATTATTGTGATATCCAAATTTTCAGGACTACGGAGCCAACAGGGTCAGGTCCTTCTTTCAAGCCTGGAACATGGCAGCCACCATCGTAGTAGCCAATTTGGTGTTTTCTTGAGCTTCATGTCAACTGCGCAGCTCGACTCTAATAGTTTGATGAAGTTGATGGTCACATGCTTCATTTATGTCATTAAATCAGTCCTCTTTTTATTTATTTTTTTTATTTTTTTATTTATATTTATTTTTTATTTTTTCTTTTCATCTTTTTCTACCTAGATAGTAGATTTCTCATACTTTTAAAAATGCAGTTTGCAGATGGAAATGTATAGCTGTGTAAGGTGGGCTTAAGGGCTGAAGGGTGGAATAAGACAATGAATTATAGGTTTTGTTTGTTTTTTAAAATCTTCTTCATTGTCATGAAATTTTGTCCTGTTCAATGTAAAACTATATAATTATGTCTAAAATGTAAAATGTTTACCTCTTCTTGCATAGAGGACACTGTTTTATGATAACAGAAATAATTTTGTTTTTCTAACCGTACTTTAATGTTCTATTCAATTGACCTTTAACTTGTTCCAAATTTGGAGAACATAAGAACTGCACTCGCCTATTACCCGTCTACCCGCCCAGTTACCCACTTACCTGCCTAGTTATTCGCCTACCTTTCTAGGTTTTTTTTTTTGACAAACGCCTACCCTTCCAGTTACCTACCAACTTATTACTACTTTGTTTTTTTTTTTAATTACAAATTGATTATTACCTTGTATAATATTCTATTAAATTATGTATTTACAGCGATTTAGATATGGCAAAATGACATTTTTATAGAAAAATTATACCACCTCTGGTTTTTTTTTTTAGTTGCAACTTTGGAGTATTATTTGAGTGATATAAAATATTCCAAAGTTGCAATTAAAAAACACCAGAGGTAGTATAATAAATGTTGTTAGGTTGGTGGATATCCACGTGGGTGGTGGATCTAAGTTTCTACCTGCTTAGGTGAGTGTGGGTGTTAAAATTATACTCGCTGTGGTTAGTGGGTAGGTGGCTGGTGTAAATTTTTTTTGGCGGGCACGGGTATGGGGGAGGGGTACTCGCACCGCCCAATTGTCATCCCTATAATCATCATTGTGCGGAAATGGTTTGGGGTGTGATGAAAACTTCAAAAGATTGTCCATCAAAAGACACCAATGATGGATTTATTAATCTTTTCTAAATTCCAGCCCAATAAGTTATTAATTAATTAATTACTTTCCCTCAAAAAAAAAAAAAAAAGTTATTAATTACAAGTGTATATTCCTTTCAAAAATAATTACAAGTATATATTACTACTCCGCATATCCCTATCTATATGTCAGAAGACTTTTGGCTGTATTTTATTTAACTAGTGTGAAAGACTTCCTAATAAATTGGTATTTTTGTTAAGTATATTATTTGCATTGATGATTAGAAGTAGAATAATATTTGATACAAAGTTGACCTAGATTTAATTAAGGATTAGATTTTATTTTTTTTGGAAAGTAGATGAGGATAAACAACATGTCTTACACAATTAATATTTGATTGCACCCGCTAGATAACTAAGGCACAAGGGATCGAGCTAAGGATGCCAATCGATTAACCATCTTGGTAATGATTAAGGCACATGAATATGTTTTATACTCTATCATTATCTTTTGTACTGTACTTCTTTCAAGTGATTAAAAATAAAAAACAAATTAAACTGTTTATATGCATTACTTTTAACGGAGTACTAGTTTTTGCATATAGCCCATGCAACCTTTTTTTGTGTGTGTGTGTGGATGTTTTATGTTGAGAATAATGGATAGAGGGTTAATAATGATGTTTTACTTCCTGGAGTAGTTTAATTATTTGTTAAGAAATCGATTGATAAAACTATATAATGTACTCTGTATGTAGTGGACTAGCTTTCTCGATCTATATAAACTTCTCTATTTATTTTTAGTAATTGCAGTATGTATAATTGTATAAGAAAGTACATCTACAAAGAGATGAGAAATGAGAACCATGTTATAATAAGATCGAAGCGAGATTAAAAAAAAAAAAGAAAAGAAAAGAAAAGAAAAATAACAGAGTAAACCAGAATCAAAGAAGTAATCAAGCTTCCATTAATGGAGAAAACCAAAAACAATTTACTCAGAATTTGGGGAAGAACACTGAGAGCTTCATTACAGAGAATGTAGAGAGAGAAAGAGAAAGTGTTATTCAATGAATCAATTAATGTATTCTAACTACCTCTAGACTATTATACAGCTAGCTAATTATTACATTTTAATTAAATGCTGACTAGGATGATTTCATAACAAACAAGGAGTTTGTTACAACAACTTTGCTAAGCTGGCTTCCACTGCAGACGTATGCTCAATACCCCCCCTCAAGCTAGGGATTGGTGCAACCATACCTAGCTTGGACAACAACTGAGTAAGCTGAGGAGAAGGAAGAACTTTAGTGAACACATCAGCTAATTGATTTGCACTAGGTAGATAGGTAAGCTGAATAAGTCCTTCAAGAACCTTGTCCCTGGTGAAATGACAGTTAACTTCTATATGTTTGGTTCGTTCATGAAATACAGGTTTCTTTGCAATGTGCAAAGCACTCTGATTGTCACAGTGTAAAGTGACAGGCCTCAGATCAACTATCCCAATTTCTTCTAACAGTCTGACCATCCAAGTTACTTCAGAGGCTACAGATGCCATTGCTCTATATTCTGCTTCAGAGGAAGATTTAGATGTGGTTGATTGTTTCTTGCTCTTCCAGCTTACAGGAGACTGTCCTAGTAACAAAATATAGCCTGAAACTGACTTCCTTGTATCAGGACAAGATCCCCAATCACTATCTGAGAATGCTTGTAGAGTTAACTTGTCAGAACCTCTTAGTATGATTCCTTGTCCTGCTGTAGATGCCACATATTTCAAAGTATGTTGAAGAGCTTGTTAGTGTGGGATCCTGGGTGTCTGCATATATTGACTCAGAGTTTGTACAGTGTAAGAGAGGTCAGGCCTTGTGTGAGTGAGAAAGTTTAGTTTTCCAATTAGTGTTCTGTATAGAACAGGATCATGAAAAAGCTCACCCTCATCTTGTCTGAGCTTAAGATGTAAAGGTAAAGGAGTAGGAACTTTCTTTGTTACCTGAACACCAACAAACTCTAAGAGCTCCTTTGTAAACTTATGTTGTGACATAGTAATACCTTCAGAAGAATGACTTATTTCAATACCAGGGAAGTAACTTAGAGAACCCAGATCTTTTATACTGAAAACTTCATCTAGATGCTGCTTCAGACTTGAGATACTTGCATTATCAGACCCAGTGATGATCATATCATCAACATAAACAGCTGCCAAAGTAATAGAATCATTGTGCTTCTTGATGAACAGAGAGTGATCATATAGAGATTGAGAAAACCCTTGATTCTTCAACTCACTCACTAATTTGGCAAACCATTGCCTTGATGCTTGTTTTAGCCCATATAAAGACTTGTTAAGCTTGCAGACTTTATTTTCAGGATTAGAATAACCTTCAGGTAACTTCATATAGACCTCTTCATGCAAATCTCCATGCAGAAATGCATTATTTATGTCAAGTTGACATAATTTCCAACCTTTAGATGCTGCAAGAGCTAGAATACTTCTGATAGTAGGCATCTTAACCACAGGAGAGAAAGTCTCTTGATAATCAATTCCTTCCTTCTAAGTATATCCCTTTGCAACTAATCTTGCTTTGTACCTTTCCAAAGTGCCATATGCTTTAAGCTTGATTCTGTATACCCACTTACATCCAATTGGCTTCTTCCCTTTTGGAAGTGAAACTATTTGCCAGGTCTTGTTTGCTTCTAAGGCTTGTATCTCTTTCTTCATAGCCTCTTGCCAATTTGGATCCAAAACAGCTTCTTTGTAGCTTACAGGTTCTGTCATAGATTCAACTATCTTAACAAGGGCCTTGTGTGGAGAGGAAACAAAATCATAATGAACCAAGTTGCACCAATGAGTGACAACAGTAGAAGCTCTCCTTTTTGTTGATAGATCATATATGCTTAAATGGGAAGGAGTTCTTGTCACCCTTGTAGATTTCCTGAGATCAACTTGAGCAGTATCTGTTACATCCAGAACCTGTGAAGATGTGTCTACAGATTCAATAGAATCTGCTACTTCTGAAGTTATAGGAAAAGCTGAAGTAGAATTTTCAGGTGTAATATGTAGGGAAGTTTGAGGAATAGGTTGAGGATTTAGAAAAGAGAAAACATCAGGAAAATCATGGATAAAAGTCTGTTGTGTGGTTGATGGTAAGTAAATCTTGAAAGTGGAAGAAGAAGGTGTAGTAGGGGATTTGGAAAAATGAAAAGGAAAGTGTTTTTCATGGAATATTACATCCCTTGAGATCTGGATTTTCTTCGTTTCAAGGTTAAGGACTTTGTATGCATTTTGATTAGGTGGGTAACCAAGAAAAATACAGGCACTAGCCTTAGGATCAAACTTAGTTCTATGTTGTTTAATAGTAGAAACATAACACAAGCAACCAAAAACTTTTAAATGATCAATGTTAGGAACAAAACCAAATAATTTTTCATATGGAGACATGTTCTGTAAAACTTGTAAAGGCATTCTGTTAACTAAATGGGCAGCACAAAGGATACATTCTCCCCAATATGGAATAGGAACTTTAGATTGAAAGAATAAAGCCCTAGCAGTTTCTAATAAGTGTCTGTGTTTTCTTTCAACAATGTCATTCTGTTGAGGAGTGTCTGTACATCTTTTTTGTACTATAATTCCTTTGGAGTTATGAAATTTTAACAATTCTTCTTCTGTTAGTTCTTTAGCATTGTCAGATCTTACACAAAGAACTAAAGAATTAAATTGAGTATATGCATAAGAAACAAAATTTTTCATAATCTGCACAACATTAGACTTATACTTATCAAATTTATCCAAGTGTGTCTAGTAAAATCATCAACTATAGTAAAAAAACATTGTATAACCATTATATGTTGGTGTTTGATATGGTCCCCAAACATCAACATGTAACAACTCAAAAGGTTTGCTAGTTTTAATACTACTATGAGGAAAAGAAAGTCTACTTTGCCTAGCAACAAGACAAACTTGGCATATACAATCATCTAAATGCTTGTCACCTAAACTAGGTTTTATTAAGTGCATCTTGGAAAAAGGCAAATGCCCAAACCTCAAATGCCATAGTTTGGCTTCTTCCTTATTTGTTGTCTTTTCACAAGGATCAGACACATTAACAGTATTAGCAGCATGCTTATAAAAAATAGTTTCAAGTTTTCCTACAAAATTTCTGTCTGGAACCACTTCTGTGCAGTACAGATTTTCCCTCATTCTACCAAGAACTAGAGGTTGGGTCAATTGAGTGCCCTGGACATAACATTTGTCAGCAGAAAAATTCACTTCACATTTTAAATCTTTACACAACTTATGTACTAAGATAAGATTAAACTGGAATTCAGGAACATGCAAAACATCTTTTAACTCTAAACCATTATCCAGTTTTACTATACCTATATTTTTAATAAGCACCCTTTTACCATTAGGAATAGTAATAGTATTATCTGCATTTTTTAACAAATTATAAGACTCAAAAAGCTTTAAATCATGGAAAATATGATCAGTAGCCCCACTATCTATCACCCATTTATTATTAAAACCATCCATAAGACAGAATTTACCTGCAATTAATGCATTTCCAGTGTAGCTTTTGTTGTCTGTCTGGTTTTCATCTGATGCATTCTTCTGACTCCCAAGCCAAGCAATAAATTGTTGATATTGTTCCATAGATCCTTGTGTGTTTTGAGAGGTTTGAACATCTTGAGCTTCTGCATTCTGATAACCATAAGCATCCTCATCATTACAACCAGAGTCTCCAACTGCCATATTGGCTGTCCTGTTCCCAGTCCATCCAAATGGATACCCATGAAGCTTATAACACCTGTCTATGCCATGACCAGACATCTTGCAATGATTACAGTACCAAGAATTCTTTTTGTTGTTGAACTATCCTCTTCCTTGAGAATTGTTTATAGGAGCACCTCTTCCTTGAGAGTAGTTCACAGGAGCACCTCTTCCTTGTCCAGTAAATTTACCATACTGACTATTATACTGTTTGTATCCTTTATCTGCTGTTTTGTCATTGAATCTTCTTCTATCAACAGCAAAAGCCATAGATTCTAAGTTGTTTGAACTAGCAGTCTGACTTACCATCTTCTGAGTTTCATCTTGCATACATAGCCTGTGAGCAACACTAATAGTTGGCAAAGGTTGCATCATAAGAATGTTAGTTCTTACTAGAGCTAACTTATCATCCAACTTCATGAGAAACATCATTAGCCTCTGGTCTTGCTGAGTTTTTAGAATTTTTTGTGTTATCATACAAACACAATTTCTGCAGTTACAAACTGGTAAAGGATTCTCACTGTCAATAGCATCCCAAACAGTTTTAATTCTGGTAAAGAATTATGTTACAGACTCATCTTTCTCTTGTTTCATATTAGCCAATTCTTGATGTAAAGAAAACAATTGTGTAGCTGATGTCTGACCAAAACGTTCCTCTAAATCCTTCCAAATCTCACTAGCAGTCTTATAAAACCAAACACTCTTTGCAATTTTCTTATCCAAAGAAAACAGAAGCCAACCAATGACCAAATCATTGCATCTTTGCCAAGAACCATAGTTAGGATCAGTTTCTAGAGGTTGTACTACAGTACCATTGATAAATCCTAACTTATTCCTTGAAGAAAAACCTAACATCATAGTTCTTTTCCAACTGTTATAACCAGTTCCATCAAACAATTCATTCACCATTTAGTATTGGCATTATCTGACGGATGAATGTAATAAACACTTCCAGGTACTACTGTAGGATCTTGATTTTCAATACCAACAACCATACTAACTCAAATTACACCAAAAATTCAAATCAAGAAGATTCAATCAAGAACAAGTCAAGAAGAGTAGCAACAATTCAAAAATCAATTGTTGCTCAATTTTGATCAATCAGACTATTAAACCTCAGAATCACAATCAATCAACACTTCCAGATCTCAATCAATATCTCCGAATTGTAAAATCCAAATCAAAAACTTCACAATCACAACAAATACTCAAGAACAGAAGTTCTTTAATCAATTTCTCCAAACGATTTCGTACAAAAAAAACGACGATCACAAACACTTAATCAAATATGTAACCACAAAATTGATTACCTCAGTTTCGATTCAAACACCGTCAGCTCTGATACCATGTAAAGGTGCGGAAAAATAACAGAGTAAACCAAAATCTAAGAAGTAATCAAGATTCCATTAATGGAGAAAACCAAAAACAATTTACTCAGAATTTGGGGATCGAAGAACACTGAGAGCTTCATTACAGAGAATGTAGAGATAGAAAGAGAAAGTGTTATTCAATGAATCAATTAATGTATTCTAACTACCTCTAGACTATTTATACAGCTAGTTAATTATTACATTTTAATTAAATGCTGACTAGGATGATTTCATAACAAACAAGGAGTTTGTTACAACAACTTTGCTGAGCTGGCTTCCACTGCAGACGTATGCTCAATAAAAATTTGGTCATCATTGTTGGACCGTATCCTTCAGGATGTTTTTACAATGGAATTCCAAAATTAGATTTTACATGGAACAATGATTGTTTAGAATAAATTTATATTACAAAACTTATGGTAGACTATTTTGGCAGTCCATTGTAAAATTTGCAACAACAACAACATGACTTATAGGCCATGGCATTGAAGTTATAATAATTTCTCTTTTTGAAAAAGTTATAATATTTCTCTAATTTAGCTTTATTTTAATAATTATAACATAATTAACCTTTAATGATTAACCATAGTTGATTACTTAACAGTTAACACCCTCACCGCCATGCCTCGCCACCACTGCCACTACATTGCCAGTGATTGCCACCCTTCCTCTCTGCCATGAACATTGACATTTATTTTTCCACATAGATACTTGTAAAAATCATTACCATTACTATAATTTATCAATAATAACCATTTGGGCTACAATCAATCTTTGAATGTATGGGAAAGTAATTTCATTAGTAATTAAAATTTTTTTTTTTTTAATGTATAACTTGGTACAGCAACTAAGTTTATTGACAACAAATTAATTACGACGTATTTAAATTATTGTCTTAACTGGATAGGACACCTGATCTAAACTAATTAACACAATAATGTTCATATGGCAAGATTAAATTAATTTCATCAATTGATAAAAATGTTTGTACCCAGTACATGATATCAAAATCTGCAAGTAACCTGTACATGATATCAAAATCATTGTCATACAAAAAAAATTTACAACTGAATGGGTGCCCAAATCTTTGCCCCATTTGGGCCTATTATGCCCAAGCCCAATATCAGGTCTATGGCTCAATAACTCCAAGTCATGTTAAATGAGTCCAAGGTTGTGTTCATGGCCATGCTAGCTAGTCTGGTTAAAAGGTCCAAAGGCCCAAAGGCCCAAAGTCCAGCTGCCAAAAGCATTTATTTACAAGGTAAAGTAAAAATGGTCCTCACACGTGTTGAAAAAAATACAAAGTAAATAAAATTTCAAGTACCCCCTCCCCTGTATTTTTTTAACTGAAACGTCTTGACTTTTTGCATTATTCATCTACTCGTAATTCACTTTGACTAGTTTTGTAATTTATGCATAAGAATAAATATATTTTTGTGAGTAGTTGCTGAATTTATCTTAATGAATAGTTTATTACTCCATAATATTTAATTGTTACAATTTTTCTTTATTAATAACTACTCCGTAAAATATTATCAGTTAAAGTTTTGTATGGATATATGTACACAAGAGAAACATTTTATTGATATAAATATGGAGGGAATAACTAACTTAGGTATTGAGCATGTAGTCAGGCACTTCTTGGATTAAGCTTATGCCATTTGTGTACACATAAAACACAATTCAAGATCAACATCTTCTTGCAATTCAAAAGAAGATATTGCATTGACACCAAACGAACTGTAAATTACCTAGTATATTAGAAGTCGGTTGGTTAAATATGTTAATAGTGTATTTATGTTAAGGGTCTGTTCACATTTACTTATTTTCAGTTCGGTTCAGTTCAGCTCCTAAATTCCCTCTCTCATAAAATATTCATTTCAGCTCTGTTCAGTTCAGTTCAGTTCAGTTCAGCTCCAATTAGTTCAGTTCATTCATTTAATGTAAACATGTCTTAAGTTTATCTTGTTAGGAGCCAGGGGGGGCTAGTGGAGGCCCGCCCCCCCGTGGCCCAAGTGGTGATATATATAATAAGTGTTCTGTCCCCCCTAAAGTAACTAATAAATAGCAAATATTTATCCTATATATCATGTTGTTAGTGATAGCCTAGTTGGTTGTTGGAGCTTTGTATGGAGAGGGAGGTCTCAAACTCCCCACTATGAGTTTTTTGTTTTTTTTTTTGTTTAACTTTATCGTTTTTTTGTCCCCTTAGATTTTTATTCCTGGTTTCGCTCCTGGTTAGGAGTTTTAGGCTTGATAGGTTTCCTTTTATATTGTATATATATATTATTGTGGTAATCGATGCAAATACTAAGCCGTTTTCTCCAATCGTTAGTTCTTGAGTTTAACATAGTGCGAGTACTTTTATTATTAATTTTATTTCAAGTTTTGAGAGAAGAATGAAAAAAGGAATATACAAGACTCCGGCAAGTGAAAGGTATAAAAAAGAAAGACGTATGTTTGTAACAATCAAGGAATAATTCTGCATGCACGTTGAGTATGAGCTGCCACCTGTGACCTGTGTGATTCCATGTGCCTCTACTAAAATCTAGGCTGCTCTGCCTCAACCTCAAGTACCTGATTCTTTTTGTCCACTCAGATTAATTAGCTTCACATGTGCATTAACACATTCTTATATACCATAATGTTTTCATTAATTCATTTTAATTAGTACATTTTAATTAAATTACTAAGTTTTGGGTTAGAATTCACATTATTGGTTTATTCTTAAGTGTTGCCTCTATAAACTTATTTTATTAACAGCTTGTTTCCTCAGCTAATTATTTGTGGTATGTAAGCTTGATGTTTGTTGCATGTATGAAAATAACAAGGTACCCGAAAGTAATTAGATTTACTATATTCAATTAACAAACGACAAATATCATAACGTTAGGTGATCAGTGCATACCAAATCTGATATGGAGCTACCAAATACCCAAATACTGTCTATACAATTGGTTAATTATTTTATTATTTGAAGGATTATTCTAATTAAACCTCTAGTATACTCTATTTTCCCTCCGTTTTTTAAATTACATAATTGCCATATTATTATTTACCCCTATTTCGAGTTTATTAGATATTACTCTGTATCCAAACAATAAATTAGAAAAAAAAATCGTTTTATCATATAATCTACTGAATATAATGTAGGGAACGAGTATAAGAAATCTCAAAACCAAGGATGGGTGTGTGAAAGCCAAAGTCGTCTTATAACCCAGCTAATTTAGCGTCTCCTTTCAACTTCTTCTCGGTTTTATCCTTACTAATCAAACGAAAAACCTTCTTCATTGAAAAGGTAAAAGAACAAGGATATATAACATACTTTGAATGAACTAATTTAAGAACATGCAACGCTATTGTGATCATATAAAATTAGGAGTCAAATATAAATTGAATTTAATAGAACTTGTGCCTATTATTTTAGCCAATAGAAACATGACAAGTTAGAATTGTATGTAGGGACCACATAAAATAATTGTATTTGTAGCCTTTACCGTAATGATATTAGACGTTTATATGATATTATTATAATTAGATTCTCCTCCTACAGAATTCATGTGTGCATTGGCAACAACACAAATTGCAATTTTTGTCATGAACAATGATAGGTCTTATATAAATCAAGGGGGACAAAAATGATTAATTTATGGAAACCATTAGAAATAAATATTGTACTTTCAATTTATCTCATTAGATGTTAATATGATGATAGTTTTTTCGTGGGGGAAATAGAAGTGAAGCACTATCTAACCAACCAATGCAAACAACCACAAATCATAAAAGCTAATCAATCAACTTATAACCTGAAAAAAATGGATTAAAAAGCTAAAAAGTAATAAAAAAAAATAAAGGAAAAAGCTAATTGAACATACAAAGGCTGAGCAAATGATAGTGGTATGATGGGGCCAATCTGCTAATTAATGGCTTTTTTGACTTGAAATTAAGAGTTGAAAGCTTAATTTGTAATTCGACGTCGGCAAGGTGGATTATATTCGTTTACTTTTGCTAAAAGGAGATATGGAATGGAATTATGGAATGGAATTAAGAAGAGGTATGTGACGCCATAAGCAATATCTTCAACCTTCTTTAACTAAATTTAATGCAATTGATGCTACCATACTTATTATTTTATGTCAGGCGCAATTAATGCAGCTTCAACTCATAAATTGTATGTATTCAGGGTGTCTTTTATTCACCTGATTCTTTCTTATTTGAAATTATTTTATTTTAACCGAATATATCTGAATTTAGTTGAACTTATTAAATCTTATTCAAAACTTATTTTAATTGTAAGTTAAATTTTGATAACCCTTATATTCAGAACTTATTTATCCTAAACTTATTTTATTTGAACTTATCTATGTCCGTATTGTGTAATTTAGGGAAGTGGGTGCCTTCTTGGTTCATAAGAAGGAAAGAAATTCAATGCTAGGAAGGTATATGGCTATATGCTAAAAAACTACTTGTATTTAAATTCTTAATGGAAAAATATATATGTACTTTTTACGTTATATTTTATTTTGATTCTTGTTTAAA